CCTAAACGAGCAGAGAGCGAGAGAAGAACAAACGTTGGTAAATCTGTGAGAAGTACAAAAACAATAAGCCAGTAATAAAGGACTTCAACTGCACAAATATTAACTCTGAGAATTAGTTTGAATGGCACAGACAGAGCAAAACTCATAAAATGCATTCATGGGAATCCTTTCAGTTAGTACAAAGTAAGTCCAATGAGAGTGGCAATGTGACTTAGTTTTAGGGAATGAAGCTTGGTGAGTGGAAAGGGATATCAGTTGGGGAGCACTTTGGAAGTGATCGTAACTCAGCTAAATTTGGGGTAATTATGGAAAAGGCCAAAGATAGACCAGGGATAATAATTCTCGGCTATCTTTATTAAGCTGAGGTGTGATTTAGCTAAATTGGATTAGACACTGATTTGATGGCAGATCAGTACTGGATAAATCGGTGTTCAAGGAAGAGACAGCAAGGGTTCAGAATAAGTATGTTTCCTTAAATGATGAGACGAAGGGATTTGGAGCACTGTGGATATCAAAGGGTTTGAGAGAGGAAGAAGGAAATAAAGAGAAGCAGATATCAAGGGCTCATTACTGTTGGAAACCTAGAGGAGTATAAGAAATAAAGGAGTCAAACAAAGAGGTAAAACAATGAAAAATAATGGCAAGTAAAATGATGGAAACTCCACAAATCTCCTTTGATAAATCTATAAAAGAGCAAAATGTTAAAAGTAGGACCGATTATGGACTAGAAGAGAAACTTGTGTGTGAATTAACAGGACTTTGTTATAACTTAGGTCAGTTTTCACACAAAGGAGAGAAGATGGACGTTGCAATCAGAGAGGAAGAATGTGAAATATCAGGAGACATTAACATGAGGAGAGAGGAAGGATTGAGGATTTAACATCTTAAAAGAATATATGATTTTTCAGCTCCAGATGAAAAATATCCTAGGCTGAGGTTAAGGGAAGCAAGAGAAGAAATATTGGGTCCCTAACTATCATTTTCCAACCTTCTCTGGCAACAGTTGCAGTTCCAAAGGTCTGGAAGTATCTAATGTTAAACAATAATTTACAAAGTGCGAAAGGGATTGAGTCTTGAGTAGTTATAGGCTGCTTAGGCAACTTCTGTGGTGGGAAATTTTGAAGAACAGGACAAATCAGACAGATTAATTAAGTACTGTCAGCACAATTTAAGGAAAGGAAAATTGACTTTTGTGGATCTATTTTATGGAATTAACAAGGCAGTTAATGAGAATTGTTCATTTGATGTAGTATACATGGATTATATCAAGACTTTAGACAAGGTTCCACATGGCAGACTGGTCGCAAAAGTAATAGAGTATGATCTAGCCAAAGTAGTAACCGGGATACAATGTTAGCTCAGAGGCAGTGTGCAAAGGTTAATATCAATGTGGGTGATTTTGTGATTGGAAGGCTCTTCCCTTTGCTCAACAGAACTCCTTATTAGACCTCTTTAATTGGAATATATTAATAATTTGGACTTGAGCATAGGGGACATGATTAAGAAGTTTGCAGACAATATAAAAATTGGCCATGTTGTTGATATCAAGAAGAAATCTGTAGATTGCAGAAGAATAACAATGGATTAGTCAGTTTAGCAGACAGTGGCAAATGGAGTTTAATCCAAAGAAGTGTAATGTGTTTTGGGAAGGCTAACAAGGGACGGGAATGCCTGGGAAGTATGCTGGGAAGTACGGAGAAATAGAGGAGGCTTTGGAGTGCCTGTCCGCAGATCTCTGAAGGTGACTGGACAGGTAGAAAAAGTTGTTGAAAAGTTGTACTTGCTTTCCTTAGTCTTGCCATAGAGTCAAAGAGCAGGAAGTTTATGCTGGAACTGTATTATACATGAGTTAGACCACAGATGGTATACTATGTGCAGTTATGATATTGTAGGAAAGATGACTATCAGTAAGCTGGCAGTGACGTGGGCTTCTGAGCCCAGAGCTTGTCTGCTCCATCTGTTTTTCTTTTCTTTCTTTCTTTCTTCTTTTTTTTCTCTGCTATTTTATCTTACTTACCTCCTTAGTGCATTGCTCACTCGTGGCGATGGAATCTGTAGCGAGTGGGCCCAGTGGTGGCGTCAGAGGCCCTAGTGGCTTCTGCATCACCGAAGCAGTCCTAGTGCCCACTCATTGGCTGCTGCTGCAGGGGCGAGTTTGGGTTCCCTGCGGCATCTGATTCCGTCACAAATTCGTGGAGACTCGTTTGGGCCCTGTACAAGACCCAGTAACGTCAGCATTGTAACGGCTGCATTGGCGAGGTGGGCCTGAAGTGGACTCATGGTGGCAGCAGCAGAGTCAAGTTTGGACCAGTTCGCTACCCGGCAGCATTGGTGGTGTCAGCATTGGTGAGGTCCAGTGAGGACTTGGAGGCGAGGGCATTGGTGGAGGTGAGATGGAGCCAAAGATTGGTGACTTTCGTTCCAGTGGTGGTGATGTGGCAAAGTGGATGCGTGCTTGGCTACCAGTTGGACACATTCCTTTTATTTCTTCATTTTTCTGTCTTTATTTTCTATGTTTTGTTTTATTTTTCTGTGTTTTAAGATGGCACTGGAGAGTGGTGAGACTGTGCAATACCTTTCACTGTATTTTGATACACGTGACAATACATAAATCAAATAAATGCAATTGCACGAGAGAGGATACCAAGGAGATCCATGAGAATGAAACCTGAATTAGATTATGAGAAAAGATTGGATAGGCCAGGGATGTTTTCATCAGACTAGACAAGGCTGAGGGAAGACATAAAAGAAATGTACAAGGTGTAGAGCTGGATGAACGCAGCAGGTCAAGCAGCATCAGCTTCTTCAGAAGGGTCTAGGCCCAAAACATCAGCTTTCCTGCTCCTCAGATGCTGCTTGACCTGCTGCATTCATCCAGCTCTACACCTTGTTATCTCAGATTTTCCAGCATCTGCAGTTCCTACTATCAACAAAATGTAGAAAATTGACAGGTACATATAAAATGGATAGGAAAGTCTTTTTCTCCTTTGATTGAGAGGCCCAAACCAAGGATTATAGGTTTAGGCTGAGAAAGGACATATTTGAGGATGGCATTGAAGAAATCTGCGGCATCAACTATGAAGTATATTCAAAGAATGAGTAGGCCAAGGTATTGTACAACAAGCCTACAGAATAGCTCTCCCAATTTTTGCACAGGGTTCCTGATGTGAGAGGAGGACATTTTATGGGGCAACTGTGCCTGTGCCTTTACGGTTCCAAGTGCAATCCTAGTTGCATTTTCCCATGGCAATATGATAACAGTTGCGAGGCCACTTCCAAGGACAGTGAAGAGTCACCCATTTTGGTATGGATCTGAACTTCTCCAGGCCAAGTAAGGACAGCAGATTTCCTTACCTGAACAACATTAGTGATCCAAATCAGTTTTATGCCAATCTGACAATTTCATCATCACTATCGTTCAAGCTGTTGCTTGAATGATTATTTTATAAATTAATTATTGAATATTTATTTTTTTTTAATGAATTGAATTCAAATTCCATGAAGGTAATTGAAGTCTTATCTCGTAAGTACTAGATCAGTAATTGTGTGGAATTATACAGCCTGGACTGGGGGAGACATGTAAAATATAGAAGGCAGCCTACCCATCCCCATCTGACCTGTGGTCTGTCAGTCCCTCATGTTGTGGGGTGGTGGGTAGGGTGATCAGGCAGCTTGTATTTAGGCCTGTTGAGAACCTTGAGAGGCTATATAATGGGCAGTCAAGGGCGTTGGTCTGTTTCCATTGCTATGTTACATTGAGTGGGGAAGGGGCAAGAAGGCGGTTAGCCTGGCAGCTTTGATGGCTTGACCTAAAGGCAGGCAGGACAAGAAGTACCACTTGTGTTGCCCCGTGTGCATGTTGAGGTCAACTCACTAACTTGATGTCATTTATTGTGCCTTGTCCATGCAATCTTACGTAACATGCACCCAAAACTCCCATGCATCCCTTTTCTGGCATGATGAAGGTGTGCCCACCCAAAATTGTTGGACTTAGCTTAAGAACAGGACACATCTTCAGTTATTCTCAGGACTCTTTGTGGTTCTAGCAGTGACTGCTTCTTTGATTTGGCGCTGTAGTCAATCAGTTGGCTGCCAATTTCCTGTGACTGAGCTTTCTGTCTCTGAGGGAGCAGATGTCCACTAACAAAAGACTAAGATTTCCCCAGTGTGTTATCACAACAGGGAAGCCAGCTTTCTATTCAGTGTGGTGCCGACCATCTTTTTGGTTAAGAGGACCAGTGGTCCACACCCTTCATCTCAAAAATTTACCCCGTTATCACTATTTTGCCATTTCAAGCCATGTACCAGAGATGGTCATTGAAGTATCTGAAAATGTTTAATCTTTACAAAACTTTGTTATTCTGGAGCTATGATGATTGACTGTGTCTACCACAACCAGAAAGGTGCCTCCTGTGCACCAAGTATAACAGCATTTGCCTGCTATTGAGCAGGATTGTAAGGGCTCCTTTTGTGCCATACCTTGCTTGGATATCAAGAGCAGTTACCCTCACCGTCACTCTGTCATACAGTTCTAAAGGTTTCACATTTGGATCAAAACTACAATAAGGTCCCATGCTGAATGTGTCTGGTGGAACCTAAACAAACTAATATTTTGTTGGTGAGTAGATTTTTGTGTGTTGGCACTTTTGATTATTTCTTATATCACTTCAGTTAAGGTTGGGAGGAGACAGTTAGTGTGGTGATTGTCTGATGTCTTTTTGTCTATCTGGGTCACCTATATCTGCAATATTCCATATTGTTGGGTAGACGCATGTAACATAACTCTGCTGGGATAGCTCAGCTCAAAGATTAATTGCTCAATTTTGTCCCAGTTCTCTTGGAAACAATATCCAGGCACAGCTTTTGTTCTGTCCAGTGACTTAGCTGCTGTTTAATGATAAATGTGTGTGTTTAATGTTGAACGCTGCTTACTTCTTTATGTTTTAGCATTATATTGTTTGCAACTATATTGTTTACTGAACTAAATTGTGCACTTGCAGGTACTGGTTCCAATTTTGTCCAATTCAAATAATCATTTGTGGTGGCCACAGGCTATATCCTATGATATCAGAAAACATATCGAAATGATAAGAAGCAGAATATCTGTTGTTCATGGTCAAATGGAAGGCAAAACTATTCTGCCATTGCCCTTGGTTCCTGAAAGTGTATATGAAAACCAAGAAATTGAAATTCAAGATAAGTACGTTTTTCTTCTACATTCTGATTCTTTCAAACTTGTTGATTCTCATAAATGCTTTTTGGTAAAGTTTCAAGGTCTTTGCTTTTGGAAAATGTTATTGGTGACTTCTTAAAATGAAGATCCTGCCAGTCAATCTCCTACTTAACCATGGGATGGTCTCCTATATTAAATATTGTATTTTGTTTTAGAAACAATTTTTAATTTTTAAATAAAACTTGACATAATTATGTGCTAAAGTTGATAAAGTTTTACTACAGCTAGAAATTTACAGAAACTGAAAATAGTTTTAAATGTTACTGCACACTTTTTGATACCAATCATTACATCATGGAAACAGCTTGACATTGTGAAATTGATATTTATAGTCTTTTTCATGATACATTATAACATAATAGTGAGACATCATTTTAGAGTGAAACTGTAACCTTATTAGTAATTAATTGTGAGTACAGACTTGACTAACTTGGCTCCTTCATATTGCTTCTAATGCAACCCAAAGCAATGTTTAGGAAGTGTTTCTTTGTTCAAGTGCTTATGAGTGTAAGGGTTAGCACCTCTCCATGTCAACCATGTCATGAAAAGTCTTATTAGTCATATGTGATCTTGCTTGTTGCCATTAAACGCTTGCAGTGTAAGAGATTAAGGCTGTCCTGGGACCATTAGCTTGCCTAAATAAGTTAACCAAAATCAAATCTGTGGCACTGTAAAAACTGTACTTAAGATCTTCCATGATTGAGAAATACATTTTTTTTATTCATTCATTCATGAGAAGTGGGCATCTCTGGCTAGGCCCACATTTATTGCCTGTCCCACAGGGCAATTCAGAATCAACCACATTGCTGTGGGTCTGGAGTCACATGTGGGTCAGACCAGGTAAGGATGGCAGTTTCTGTTTCTAAGGACATTGGTGAACCAGATGGGTTTTTCCAACAATTGACATGGTCATCGTTGGACTCTTAATTTCCGATTTCAAATTGAATTCAAATTCTACTGTCCGCGGTGGCAGGATTTGAACTGAAGTTCCCAGATCATTATTGAGGTCTCTGGATTAATAGTTGAGTGATAATACCACTAAGCAATTGCCTCCCCATTAAATGTCTCATTGTCTCATTGTCTCATTGTGGAATTATTGTATTGTTAAACTGCTCCACTGTTTACCTTGTCCACAGGAAAGAACCTTAACTCTTGTGACATACATTGTCTTTTGTAATCACTACATAGCATCTTCATTCGAAAGCGACATTGCTGAATACTTTGGTTCTTCCAAACCACTGATTGGTTTGGCTGCTGCTGTTTAGAACGTGGATTTTGAACGTGGAGGTTGCAGTATTTTATTTTGTTGCACACGTTTGAAGAATTTCAGTTGGACCAAGATTTAGCTGCCTGTATTTTTTTGTCCCAAAAAACCTCTTGGTAATTCCATTACACATCTGACTTGAGCCTTGTAGATGGTAGACAGGCTTTGGGGAGTCAGACTTCTTGGGCGGCACGGTGGCTCAGTGGTTAGCACTGCTGCCTCACAGCACCAGGGACCCGGGTTCAATTCCACCCCGCGACTGTCTGTGTGGAGTTTGCACGTTCTCCCCATGTCTGCGTCGGTTTCCTCTGGGTGCTTCGGTTTCCTCCCACAGTCCAAAGATGTGCAGATTAGATGGATTGGTCATGCTAAATTGCCCATAGTGTTCAGGGATCTGTAGATTAGGTGGGTTATAGGGGGATGGGTCTGGGTGGGATGCTCCAAGAGTCAGTGTGGACTTGTTGGGCTGAAGGGCCTGTTTCCACACTGTAGGGATTCTATGAATGTACAGTTTTTATGAGAATATCTTTTTTTTAGTGTAAGGGAGAGCTGTGGCAGATTTGTACCCTACTCTGTCATGAAAGTTGGCTGGAATAAAATGTTTTAATTTCAAAAACATACTGGCTAGCACCTGTAAATCTGACTGGGTCAGCCAAGTGGGTCTCGATTCAAAAAGGGTCTGACCTGGGAAGGAAAGAAACAGCTTTTTAATTAGCTTTGCAACCAAAAGAAACAATTGTGATAAACTATATTTGTTTTCTAACTTTAAACAAAGGAATTACAGCTGCTCTAACCTATTCGTACTGTCTGTCTATGAGCAGTGTAGAATCAAAAAACATCAGCTAATACATTTAAACAGATATTTAGATTTCCCTGAAATACTTATATTTATTAAGCAGTTTTAAGGTCTTCTGGGAAAATTAAAAAAACTCAATTTTCACGAGAATCTACAACTCGTGGATGGACAGATCTCAGGTTTGAAAGTTTGCACACTGAAATCTCTGAATATATGGATTTAAGGCTTTCTCCAATATCCAACTTTTTTTTCTCGCAATAAATGAAGCCCAGACATTTGCAACAAGCAGCATCTCCAACAAAAGAAAATCCAACATCACCTATTGATGTTCAATTGCAGTCCCATCACTGAATTCATCTCTTTGAGCATCCTGAAAGTTGCCATTGAGTAGAATCTGATCTGGACTAGCCATATATTTACAGCAGTTCCAGAGCAGATCAGGAGTTTGGTGGCAAATAACTCACCTTCTGACTCCCCAAAGCCTGTCTACCATCTACAAGGCTCAAGTCAGATGTGTAATGGAATATTTTCCAATTACTTGGCTGCAGCTCCAACAAGATTCACGAGGCTCAGTGCCATCTAGAACAAATCAGTCCACCTCACTGGCACGTAACCCCACCTTCCACGTTGAAACCTTCCACCACATAGTGGTAGCATAATGACGTACCATCTAGAAGATACACTACAGTAACTCTGCAAGGTTCCTCAGCACCTTCCAAAGCGACAAACTCTTCCACCTAGAAAGATTAGGGTAACAATTGCATGGGAAATGCATCATCTGTCTGTTTCCCCTCCAAGTCATGAGCTATCCTGACTTAGAACTGTATTGCCATTCCTTCAGTATTGCTGCATCAAGGTCCCAGAAGTCTCTTCCAAACAATATGCACGGGGAAGGCGATGGCCAAGTGGTATTATCGCTAGACTATTAATCCAGAGACCCTGATAATGTTCTGGGGGCGCGGGTTCAAATCCCACCATGGCAGATGGTGAAATTTGAATTCAATAATTATAAAAGAGTCTGGAATTAAGAATCTACTGATCATCATCATGAAATCATTCCTGATTGTCGGGAAAACCCATCTGGTTTACTGATGTACTTCAGGGAAGGAAATCTGCCACCCTCACCTACATGTGACTCCAGACCCACAGCAGTGTGTTTGACTCTCAGTTGCCCTCTGAAATGGCCTAGCAAGCCACTCAGTTGTACTAATCGCTACAAAATCTCAAAGAAATGAAACTGGACAGATCATCTGGCATCGACCTAGGCACCAGAAAAGACAACGGCAGAAACAGCCCTGTCGACCCTGCAAAGTCCTCCTCACTAACATCTGGGAGTTAGTGCCAAAATTGGGAGAGCTGTCTCACAGACTAGTTAAGCAAAAGCCTGACATAGTCATAGTAACAGAATCATACCTTACAATGTCCCAGACACCACCATCACCAGCTCTGGATATGTCCTGTCCCACCGGCAGGACAGACGCAGCAGAGGTGGGAGCACAGTGGTATACAGTTGGCGGGGGCTGTTGCTGTGGGAGTCCTCAACATTGACTCCAGACCCCATGAAGTCTCATGGCTTTAAGTTAAACATGGGCAAGAAAACTTCCTACTGGTTACCACATACCATCCTCCCTCAGCTGATGAATCAGTTCTCCTCCATGTTGAACAATACTTGGAGGAAGCACTGAGGATGGCAAGGGCACAAAATGTACTCTGGGTGGAGGATTTCAATGTCCACCACCAAGAGTGGCTCGGCAGCAGTACTATTGAATGAGCTGGTCGGGTTCTAAAGGACATAGCTGCTAGACTGGGTCTGCGGCAGGTGGTGAGGGAACCAACAAGAGGGAAAAACATACTTGATCTAAATCCTTACCAACTTGCCAGCTGCAGATGCATCTGTCCCTGACAATATCGGTAAGAGTGACCATCGCACAGTCCTTGTGGAGATGAAGTCCCCCTTCTCATTCAGAATAATTTCCATCATGTTGTGTGGCATGATCACAGTGCTAAATGGGACAGACTTCGCACAGATCTAGCACCTCAAGACTGGGCATCCATGAGGTGCTGTGGGCCATCAACGGCAGCAGAATTATACTCCAGCACAACCTGTAACCTCATGGCTCAGCATATCCCCCACTCCACCATTACCATCAAGCCAGGGGATCAACGTTTGATGAAGAGTACAGGAGGGCATGCCCAGAGCAGCACTAGGCATACCTGAAGATGAAGTATCAACCTCGTGATGCCATCAAACAGGACTATTTGCACACCAAACAGTGCAAGCAACAAGTGGTATACCGAGCTAAGCGATCCCACAACCAATGGATCAGATCTAGGCTCTGCAGTCCTGCCACATCCAGTCATGAATAGTGGTGGACAATTAAACAACTCACTGGAGGAGGAGGCTCCACAAATATCCCCATCCTCAATGATGGAAGAGCCCAGCACATCAGTGTAAAAGATAATGCTGAAGCATTTGCAGCAATCTTCAGCCAGAAGTGCCGAATAGATGATCCATCTTGGCCTCCTCCAGTGGTACCCAGCATTACAGATACCAGTCTTCAGCCAACTCGATTCACTGCACGTGATATCAAGAAATGGTTGGAGACATTGGATACTGCAAAGACTACAGGCTCTGACAACATTCCAGCAATAGTATTGATGACTTGTGCTCCAGAACTTGCCGCTCCCCTAGCCAAGCTGTTCCAGTGCAGTTACAACACTGGTATCTACCCGACAATGGGGAAAATTGTCCAAGTATATCCTGTACATAAAAGGCAGGACAAATCCAACCCGGCCAATTACCGCCCCATCAGTCTACTCTCAAACATCAGTAAAGTGATGGAAGGTGTCATCAACAGTGCTATCAAGCAGCACCTGCTCAGTGTCACCCAGTTTGTGTTCCACCAGGGCCACTCAGCTCCTGATCTCCTTACAGCCTTGGTTCAAACATGGACAAAAGAGCTGAATTCCAGAGGTGAAGTGAGAGTGACAGCACTTGACATCAAGGCTGCATTTGGCCGAGTGTGGCATCAAGGAGCCCTAGCAAAACTGTAATCAATGGCTTTCAGGGGGCAAACTTTCTGGTAGTTGGAGTCATACCTGGCACACTGGAAGATGGTTATGGTTGTTGGAGGTCAATCATCTCAGCTCCAAGACATCTCTGCAGGAGTTCCTCAGGGTAGTGTCCTTGGTCCAACTATCTTCAGCTGCTTCATCAATGACCTTCCCTCCATCATGAGGTCAGAAGTGGGGATGTTCGGCGATGATTGCACAATGTTCAGCACCATTCGTGACTCCTCAGATACTGAAGCAGTCCATGGTCACATGCAACAAGATCTGGACAATATCCAGGCTTGGGCTGACAAGTGGCATTCGCACCACCCAAATGCCAGGCTATGACCATCCCCAATAAGAGATAATCTAACCACCGCCCCAATGGTGTTACCATCACTGAATCCCCTGCTATCCTGTGGGTTATCATTGACTAGAAACTCAACTGGACTCACCACATAAACACAGTGGCTGCGAGAGCAGAATCAAAAGTTAGGAATACTGCAGCTAGTAACTCACCTCCTGACTCCTCAAAGCCTGCCCACCATCTACAAGGCACAAGCCAGGAGTGTGATGGAATACTCCCTCTTTGCCAGGATGAGTGCAGTCCCAGCAACACTCAAGAAGCTTGACACCATCCAGGACAAAGCAGCCTGCTTGATTGGCACTACATCTACTCCCTCCCCACCGATGCTCAGTAGCAGCAATGTGTACTATCTACAAGATGCACGGCAGAAATTCACCAAAGATCCTCAGACAGCACCTTCTAAATGCGCGACCACTTCCATCTAGAAGGACAAGGGCAGTAGACATTTGGGAATGCCATCATCTGCAGGTTCCCCTCCAAGTCACTCACCATCCTGACTTGGAAATATATTGCCGTTTCTTCACTGTTGCTGGGTCAAAATCCTGGAATTCCGTCCCTAATGGCATTGTGGATCAACCTACAGCTGGTGGACTGCGGTAGTTCAAGAAGCAGCTCAGCACCACCTTCTCAAGAGCAACTAGGGATGGGCAAGACATACTGACCAGGCAGCGATGCCCGCATCCCACAAATGAACAGAAAAATTGGGGCAGCATGGTGGCTCAGTGGTTAGCATTGCAGCCTCAGCGCCAGGGACCCAAGTTCGATTCCACTCTCAGGCGACTGTCTGTGTGGAGTTTGCACATTCTCCCCGTGTCTGCGTGGGTTTTCTCTGGGTGCTCTGGTTTCCTCCCACAATCCAAAGATATGCAGGCTAGGTGGATTGGCCATGCTAAATTGCCTGTGGTGTTCAGAGATGTGTCGATTAGGTGTGTTATAGGGGGATGGGTCTGGGTGGGATGCTCCAAGGGTCGGTATGGACTTGTTGGGCTGAAGGGCCTGTTTCCACACTGTAGGGCTTCTATGATTCTAGGGATTCTTTGATTCTATGAAAAAAAAAATATGCAGGTACTTCAACACTCCAAGTATTGTAGTGGTTTAGTACAATATACCAGCACTTTTCAAGGATAACTGAGGATGAGCAATAAAATGCTGGCTTAACCAGTGAAGTTAATGCCCTAGGAATAAACAACTAGCAAATCTGCCATAGCATGGCCTCGTGAAGGGCAAATAGCTATTGAAAAATGTCGCTATTAACCTCTACATCTATCATTTCAAGCTTCAATGTTGTCAACTTGTAATATACAGATGCTGTTGTAATGAAGTGGCTTAATGATGTCAGTTGATCTAACTTAGAGGTACTGTATTTACCTTGGTAGCCTTCCACGACTGGGCAAATCAATACTTCATTCTATTGAGTCCATAGTGATTCAATGGATGCATCAGATAATAGATGTTATGAAACAAGATTCATTTGATGACTTAATTGAAGAAAAAAATCCTACTCCAAGTTCAGAGATTTCCTTTTGGATGGCAAGAAAAGAAAACTTGCTTGGAATATATAAGCAGGTTGGTATGTAGAACAAACAAACTGTTTCCTCCTTTTTTGCTGTTAAGCTTTAAAAATGTGAAACCTACAAACCTGTATTTTAATGTTCGATATGATTCTGCCTATTTAACATAACCTGATATGAAATAGTTTACACTGACATTATTTAAAAATACATCTGGAATTTGAAAACATCACTTGAATTGAAACAATGGATTAGATTTAATGTGACCTTGCCAGGTACGTTTGGGGGAGATGCATGTAAAATAGGTTTGGTGACACCATGGCAGCCCACCCAACATATTATAAACCAATAATTAAGAACCAGTTAAACTTGACAAAGCTGAATTAATCCTGTAAGACCATAAGAAATAGGAGCAGGAGTAGGCCATTTGGCCCACTCACCTGCTTATCATTTCATAGATTCATAGCTGATCTGATATTCCTGACATGCAGTTTCCTGCCCTTTCTGCTTAACCTTTTGGTTCCCCTGATGATAAAGAATCTGTCCGTCCGTCAAATATACACAAGGACTGTTCCTCCACAGCTCTCTGTGGCAAGGAGATCCAAAGACGCTCAACCCTCAGAAAAAATTGATCCTCATCGCAGTCTTAAATTGGCACCTTTTCATTCTGAGAGTATTTGCTGTATTACTAGACTTAGCCATGAGGGGAAACACTTAGCCTTTACCTTGTCATGCCTCTTAAGAATCCTAGGTTTCAATGAGATCACCTCTCATTCTTCTAAATTCCAATTAGTAGAGTCTCAACTTTCTTGACCTTTGCTCATAATGCAATCCCTCCATACCAGGGATTATCCTCGTGAACCTTCTCTGAACTGCCTCCAATGAAATGATATCTTTCCTTTAAATAAGGGGACCTAAACTGCTCACAGTACTCCAGATGTGGTCTCATCGACACCTTGTCCAGTAAGACTTCCCTACTGTTTATACTGCAACCCCTTGAAATAAGGGCCAACATTCCATTAGCCTTCCTGATTATCTGCTGCACCTGTGTGCTTGCTCTGTGTTTTGTGCACAAGTGCCCCAAGTCCTTTTGGTGTTGCAGCTTTCTGCAGTTTTTCTGCTATTAAATAATAATTTGTTCTTTTGTTGTCCCTTCCAAAATGAACAACTTTACATTTCTTGTATTATTCTCCATTTGCCAAACTCTTGCTCACTTATTTAACCTTTCAATATCTCCCTACTCTCCCAGCAGCATGTTGCACATGTCTTGTTACATTTGAAAGGGGCAAGTGGATGGGAATGGGCAGCTGTTTTCTTAATAGCTTTTAAATGAGTCGGAGCGAAAGCTTTCTTCAGCGGTGTCCTTATGTGCACTGGGTGCACTCCCAGAACCTCCCACCTTGACTTTAAATCTAACCCTCCACCATCTTAGCACCCCTTCTTTTATATCTTCTGTTCCAGCTCAGCTGGTTCTGGGATCTACTGGTGCCGCTGTCCTGAGATTGATCACAGCAGTGGGTACTGTAAGCAATCTGATTGGCTGACCAAAGGGTAGGACTTTCTCTTTCACTGAGGGTCACTCGACTCTCCATCAATTTAGGGGCCAGATGTCTAATGTAGTCAGCTGATCACCCACTTTCCTTCCAGGTGTGTTTAAGGCTCTCCTGTAAAATTCTGGTCTACAATGTATAAAAAGTGCAGAACAGTAAAATTATTAGTGTTCATGCAAAGTACCCAAACACAGATGCAGTTAACAACCTTTTCCATCAAAATATGCTGACAAAGCTATTCTATTTCTTGAATTTGAGCAACTTGCAGTTTTTGCATTTTATACTTCACAGTGAACTGAGGTTTTCTGGGATTGGTGTAATAGGTTTGTACAGTGATGTGGCTCAATAGTGATTTAGTGTATTTATACTTCAGATTGTTCACAGGGCAAATACACCACTTCCTATGCCTTGTTCCACCACATGCCAAGTTTCTTCACGAGCTTCTCAAAAATAATAAGGAAAATTGTGAAAGCATGTTTCCTTCCCTACATTATCTGAGTCGTCATCTAGTTCTTGTTTAGATATTGACGTTGACAGCAAGTAAATAAACTACTGGCCCAAAATCATAGCAAGGACAAATGACAGTTTCTGTATCTTAGTAAGACATTTATTTTGGCAGTTCACATGCGAAGAGTTGACTTACTTGAACCATGGTGATTTACAATCATACTAACTTTGAAATTCATTTTGTACAGCTCCAGAATCCCAAGATTTACAAAATAGCTAATATTCTGCGAATTGTGAAAAGCAGCTATTATTCTACATTCAAAAATGCAATCTTGAAAGTCACAGAAGGTAACTCGCTGGCATTATATTTTGAACACCTTAAGATTGGTAAAACCTTTCAAAATTAAATAACCAGCCATTTGGATATATAGCATTACAACAATTCCAGAGATTGAGATGTAACATTTAAGAATGATAATTGCTGTTTTGAAATCAAATGTAAGTTGAGCATCTAACAACAATTTGGAAATATGTTGATCTCTTTTCGATCTGTGTTTGTAAATTATTGATTGTAACTGCAATTGTTGTGTGAGAGGAAAGTATTCAGAGGGTTAGATTTAGGACTCTGATTGAGAACCAGAGACAACGGGACTCCTAAATGACTGATTATTGGAACTTTGTACATGCAATTGATCTTTTGCTGATTATTAATGTTCTCAGTAAACTCAAGGGTCTAGGCCCGAAACGTCAGCCTTCCTGCTCCTCTGATGCTGCTTGGCCTGCTGTGTTCATCCAGCTCTACACCTTGTTATCCAAAAAATGTACGCTTTGTTTAATACTTGGACTATTCCTAAGCAAAAGTCATGTTAAAAGACTTTTCTGTGCCTCTTTGTAAGCTAAGCAGCCTGCAATGTTAATATAATCATTTCATAATAAGTCAGTAATGAATAATTTGTCATGTATGAACACAGGAATATTTATATGTATTTGAAACAATAATGTGTATAACACTGCTGGATATTAAAATAACATTCTCATTGCCTGAGATTGCAAAATGAGTTACAGGGTAGACTAGGAAAATGCTGCACGCACGAGGAATCAGGTAGGAGTCAAGCTCAAGGGAAAGGAGTTCATGTATGATCACTTTAGTTAAATATAGAACCAACAAAATATTTTTCTATTAATTGTCTAATGCTTATAGAGTCATAGGGATATACAGCATGGAAACAGACCCTTCGGTCCAACTTGTCCATGCCGACCAGATATCCTAAATTAATCTAGTCCCATTTGCCAGCATTTGGACCATATGCCTGTAAACCTTTCCTATTAATATACCCATCGAGATACCTTTTTAAATGTTGTAATTGTACCAGCTTCCGCCACTTCCTCTGGCATTTCCCTTAGACCTCTCTTAAATCTTTTCCCACTCACCTTAAGCCTATGCCCTCTAGTTTTGGACTCTCCCTCCCTGGGTAAAATACCTTGTTTATTCACCCTATCCATGCTTGTCATGATTTTATAAACCTCTATAAGGTGACCCCTCAGTGTCCGACACTCCAGGGAAAATAACCCCAGTCTATTCAGCCTCTCCCTATGGCTCAAAACTTCCAACTCTGGCAACATCTTTGTAAATCTTTTCTGAACCCTTTCAAGTTTTTTATATTCGTTCATGGGATGAGGGTGTTGCTGACCAGGCAGCATTTATTGTCCATCCCTAATTGTTCAGAGTCAACCACATTGCTGTGGGTCTGGAGTCACATGTAGGCCAATCCGGGTAAGGGTGACAGTTTCCTTTCCTAGAGGACATTAGTGAACCAGATGGTTTTTCTGATAATTGACACTGGATTCATGGTCGTCATTAGATTCTAAATTCCAGATATTTTTATTGAATTAAAATTCCACCATTTGCCATGGTGGGATTCGAACCCAGGTCCCCAGAGCGTTATCTGCGTCTCTAGATTAACAGAGAGTTTCATAACATCCTTCCTATAGCAGGGCAACAAGAATTGAACTGAGTATTCCAAAAGTGGCCTAACCAGTGTCCTGTACAGCTGCAGGATGACCTCCCAACTCTGTACCAAATGCACTGACCAAAAAAAGGCGTGCTTACCAAATGCCGCCTTCACTATCCTGTTTACCTGCAACTCCACTTACAAGGAACTGTAAACCTGCAATCCAAGGTCTCTTTGTTCAACAACACTCCCCAGGATTGTACCATTAGGCCTATAAGTCCTGACAAATAAGAATTTGCCTTACCAAAAAGTAGCACCTCTCATTTATCTAAATTAAAATTCCACCTGCCATTCTTCAGCCCATTAGCCTATCTGATCAAGGTTCCATTGTACTGAAAGGTAACCTTCTTGGCTGACACCTCCAATTTTGGTGTCATCTGCAAACTTGAACTTTCTTTCCCCCCAACAGCTTGTATAACTGAAATAAGCTAAAGTTGCAATTGTCTAACCAGAGTTTTACCATATTTTTTACCAGACCATAGAGCTGCTCCCTCATAACCTGAGGGTTATTACATCTCTGGCAAAGGGAGAGGTTGAGGGCGGGGGGGCCTTCATAGTAACCTCAGCTGGTGCAGGAATTGAACCCACCCTGTTGGCACCATTCTGAACCACAAACTAACCCCTCAGCCAACTGAGCTAACGTAAATGAAAAGGTTCTTATCGCTTTGCATTTGCTTCCTTTGTAAAAACACTTTAAATATGTGCTGTCTCGCTCTCAATCCTCTTGGGAGTGGGTACAGTTTTCCCCTCTATTTCCTCTGTCCAAATCCCTGATAATTTTGAAAACTTTTATCGAATTTCACCTTGGCCTTCTCTGAGCCAAGGAAAACAGTCCCAATCTATCCTCGTAATTAAAGTTTCTCATTCTCTGGAGCCACTCATAATCCAGTTCTGCACTCTTTGCAGTTTGTTCCCACATTTCCCAAAATGTGGTGTGAGAAGTGTACATAATACTCTAGCTGAGGTCTAACCATTGTCCTGTACATGTTCAGTATAGCATTCCTGTTCTTAGACTCTGTACATCTGCTTATGAAGCCTAGAATGCCATATGCTTTATTTACAGCTCGCTCAACCTGTCATACCACCCTTGATGACTTAAGTACATAGGCATTCAGGTCTCTTTGCTCGTGCACACGTTTTAGAATAGAACCCTTTATTTTGTACTGTGTCTCCACTTTATTCGTACCAACGTGTATCAGCTCATACATCGCCACGTTGAACTTCACTTGCTATCTATCTGCCCACTCCCCCAACTTGTTACTTCTTTTGAAGGTCCATACTATCTTTGCCACCGTTTACAGTTCTCCCATTTTTTAATTTCATCTGCAGACATTGAAAGTTCCTCTTGCACACCAATATCTAGATCATGTATTTACATGGATCAAGGGTCCCAATACTGACCCCCGGGAAACTCGAGTACAAACCATCCTCCAGCCTGAACAACACCCATTGACCATTACTGTCAATTTCTTACCCATCAGCTACTTTTGTATCCACTTAGCTACTGACTATTTTATTCAATGACCTATAAACTTTCCTCACAAGTCTATTGTGTGGCATCATGGCCTTGTGTGGCCTTTTGGAGGTCAACAGCACATCAACATCCTTCCCGTCATCAACACATTCTGTTACCTCTTCAAAAAAATATTCCAGAAAGTTAAACATGCATTTTGTTTAGCAAATCTATGTTGACTCTTCTGAATTAACCCATATTTTACCAAATGACTATCAATTGTTTTTAGAACAATTGTTGTTACCAGTTTCCTCACCAATGGAAGTCAAACTGACTGATCAGTAATTGATCATTACACACTTATGCAAAAAAGGTAATTATGTTTGTAATTCTTAAGTCCTCTGGCACCAACCCCAAATTTAGGGAAGATTGAAATATACTTGCCAGCACCTCTGCAATTTCCACACTTGATTCTTTCAATATCATTAGATAGATCTCATCCGGACTCAGTTCATTGTCACATTTAAATACTTACAGCTTATCTAATACCTCTTCTTTATTAATTTGAGCCCTTCACCAGAGTTTCCTCCTCTCACCATGTCCTGGACAGCACCTGCTATGTGGGTAAAGACGCATACAAAGTATTTATTAAGAACTCCGCTGTGCCTTCGCTCTGTGCTTAAGTCTCCTTTTATGGCTGTTAATCAGTTCTACTCCATTTACCACACTTATTTTTGTGCCTGTGGAAGATTTTGGGATTTCCATTTACATTAGCAGCCAGTGTTTTTTCATAATCCCGTTATACAGTGCTTAGCTTCTCTAATTTGCTTTTCACCTCTCCTCTGAATCTAATTTATCCATCTTGCTTCTCAATTGTACCTACTATCTAACACTTACCATCAGCACACATTTTCTTTTTTTACAATCTTTCTCCTGTGTTATCCAGTATGCTTTTTTTCTTGTCCTGCCTTCCCTCTTGAGGAACTATACCTATGCCCAAACCATTTCTTCTTTAACCGTAGCATATTGTTCAGCTACTGTTCTATGTATGTCTCCAGCTTCGGTTCCATTTGGTTCCTGGTCTATCCAGCTCAGCTCCATTCTTGCCCAAGTGAGATCTGTTGTCTATCAGTGATTATTCTCACTCGACCAATGTCATTTTACACTGTCATCCTTAAACTTATACAATGATCGCTGCTCCCTGAATGTTTCACCACTCACACTTCATCTACTGGGCTCATGCTATTCCCAAGAACCAGGTCTTATTGTGCCCTCTTTATTGGGCACATACTGTTGTGGGAAAATTTCCTGAACACAAAAGAGGATTGCTTGTTCTTCGCAACTCCTTATACTACCATTACCCCAGTCAATATATGGATAATTAAAGTCCTCTGTTATGACTACACCATAAAGTTTACACCTCTCTGTAATTTTCTTGTTGATTTGTTCCTCTATATACTTCTCACTAGTTGGTGATCTATAGGTTACTTGCTAAAGTCTACAAACTGATTTTAAACTTTGCTAGAGCTGAGACCATAAAAATGCCGCCTTCTTTCCAGAAGTGGAGATTGGCAGGAGTATTAGAGTTAACAGACCAGACAGTTGTCTTTGTTTGTTCAAGCGTAACCTTGAGATTAAGACCTAGAGAAGCAGGACATCAAACAGGAATTTCCAACAGAATAGTGTTGCAAATAAAAGCAATATAATTGCACTGGTTTTATTTATTAGCTGTAGCCAAATTGATTCTGTTCTTGAACCCTCTGAGACATCCATTGTCTCCTGTACTGAAATGCTGTCCTTAACCAAAAGCACTATCCCCTCTCCTCCTTTACCATTCCCTATGTGTTCTGAGCACCTTATAATCAGGAATGTTTGATACCAATGTGTGTGCCATATAAAGTTAATGCCTGCTTTTGACCAATTTAATTTGCTTTTATTTGCAACACTATTCTGTTGGAAATTCCTGTTTGATGTCCTGCTTCTCTAGGTCTTAATCTCAAGGTTACGCTTGAACAAACAAAGACAACTGTCTGGTCTGTTAACTCTAATACTCCTGCCAATCTCCACTTCTGGAAGGAAGGCGGCATTTTTATGGTCTCAGCTCTAGCAAAGTTTAAAATCAGTTTGTAGACTTTAGCAAGTCTGTGATTTGACTAAATTTCCCATCCTGCCTTCCTGTTCTATAACTCATAATGCAGTTCTTCAATCAGGCTACCACTTCTCCTTTGACATTTAATTCCACCATTTTTGATGGGAAAATCTTAGCACACAGGACTTGACCAGTTCACATTCACTAATATGAAGGAAGGATAAGAATGGTAATGTTCTTCAAAATGATCAATTAATACAAAAGTACATGATTGGCTTGCACATGAATATGAGAGAAAGTGTGTATACTGGCAAAAGAGGATATGCAAAACAAAGAGAAACATGCGGAAATGGAAGAAGCATGGATCATGAGAGTGTGTATGAGCATCAAAGAGAGAACAACAGCATTCTGACTGTTCATTTACTGCTCTTTCAAACTATTCCAGTTAGTCATTCAGAGTTTGGCAATATTGTGTACATGTGGGAACTGTCTTGTTAAGTGATTCCGGTGCCATTAGCTCCTAGATACCCATGTGCACATTACAGCAATATTTGAGGCCACAAAACAGGAAGATATTTTTATTTATAGTTAGCAAGTACAAAATTGCTATTATTGTACATCTTATCTTTCTTTCACTTACTTCCAGACCCTCCTCATAGCATACAATAGTTCTGCCCCATTATTACTTAGCCCATTTGAGAGGTTCATTTATTTTGGTCAGACAGAATCATACCAGATATTCCTCTGACCCTGAGGCTTTGTTCTAGTTTATTGGCCTGAATTTGTGCCTTTTCTCTGTTAACACGACCAATTGATTTCAAATATGTGCTTCAACTTTGTTTTGGCCTGTAGGTGCTCAGGAAATTGATAATTTGACCTTCAGTTCTTTTTGGAGTAGGGAAATTATTAAATTTCTATCAACTATTCCAATGAGTTTAAACATTTTATGTGCTTCATGTCTACTTTTAAAAATCTCAAAGAGCACCAAACGTGCCCCACAACCATAGTAAAAAGGCATTTGGCCTCTGTGAAAGAATACCACACCTTTTCTAAAGGATTCTGCTAAGTTTAGACTTGCACCAACCAGGTCTAACCTCCATGTATTGGGTGGAATTTTGTCGAGGTTTTGGGGAGAGCCAGCAAGAACCTGTGGTGCCCCTTTTCAGGAATGTTGGCAGCAGCACACACCAGTGAGGCAGTGGAGAGGCCATGGGTTGGTATTCCCTTGGAATTAAAGCTGTTGGGTGGTGATTCCTCATGGTCAGAGCTGGTGGATAATCAGGAGCTAGTAGCTTACACATTCAGTGGAGACAAAGGCTGTAGGTAAATAACATAGGGTTCTGAAGATAAGTCATACTGGACTCGAAATGTTAACTCTGTTCGTGTCTCCATAGATCTGCCAGACTTGCTGAGTTTCTCCAGCGCTCTGTGTTTGTTTCTAGTTTCCAGCATTCTTAGTATTTTGCCTTTGTTTTAATGTTAGGAAGATGTGAATAATATTCTTGAATTTTTGTAGGTGTCTCTGAGGCTCAAGACATTGAATTGCATCTCCGAGCTTTGAAATATCATGTATCACAATTGGAGAAATCAAACTTCACTGAAATCGAGCCACTTATTCCTCCCCTTTTCCATACTATTTGCTTGATATGGAGCCATTCCAGATACTATTGCTTCCCTTCAAGAATTATTATCTTGCTACAGGAATTCTGCAATCTTATCATCAACCAGGTACATGTGTCTGGTGTTGTGTTGAAAATAAATAATCTTTCGCAAAATTTTAAAGATTTACTGATGAATATACAATTCGTTATACAGCTTATTTTATTATTTGGGCATCATGTTGTGAAAAAAGGCTTTTAACACCCGCCTTATTCACATGGATAAGAATTGCAATCTTCTTATAACGTGAGAATAAAGCTTCTCTACAGAAAATTGAATAAAGTTTCTTTGGAGATTAGAAACTTTTAAAATGTCAATAACGTAATGAAGCAATTGCTGATATTAAAAAAAAAATCACATGCTTTTAAAGCTTTGTGACTGCTGAATTGTTAGTTTAAAGTATCCACGTAAAGCTTTATGCAGCTTCAACTAAAATTTCAATGTGTTTTTCTCAACTGAAGTGATTTATCAGAAAAAGAAAGTAATTAGAGTCATAGAATCATACAGCGCAGAAGCAGATCCTTCAGCCCAAGTTGTCCATGCTGACCAGGTTTCCTAAATTGAACTAGTCCCATTTGCCTGTGTTAGGCTCATATCCCGCTAAACCTTTCCTATCCATGTACCTGTCCAAATGTCTTTTAAATTGTTGTTTTAGTACATTCTTTGTGTCCATAAGCCTTTGCTTAAATTCTGAAAATGTTAAGAAATAGGTTTTATCCCAGAAGATAACTTGAAACTCCCAGTGCATTATTTATAATTTAAATGTAACAGTGGCTCCGTGGTTAGTATTGCTGCCTCACAGCACTAGGGACCCGGGTTTGATTCCTCAGGTGACTGCCTACATGGAGTTTGCATGTTCTCCCCATGTCTGCGTGGGTTTCCTCTGGGTGCTCTGGTATCCTCCCACAGTCCAAAAATGTGTCAGCTAGGTGGATTGGCTGTGCTAAATTTCCCATAGCGTCCAGGTATGTGCAGGCTAGGTGGGTTAGCTATGGGAAATTCAGGATTACAGGGATAGGGTAGAGGGTGGGTCTGGGTGGGATGCTGTTCGGAGGGTCGGTGTAGACTCGATGGGCTGAATGGCCTGCTTCCACACTGTAGGGATTCTGTGATTCTAAACATGAACAGATATTGCTGGCAACAATGCGGATACAAGCTCTGACCAATAGGTGGTGTTGCATCACGGATTCTCATCTTCGACATTTAACTCTAGCAACCATTTTCCCTGATTTAAAGTATTTTCCCTTTTTGTGGTAGCCATTGCCCATTAGCAGCTGCTATCAATAAGTGCCATCTAATTTTTCACCATATGTTGGCAGACATGCTGATTTGTAAGCCTCCACCATAGCATAACTATATAATCTACCTGATTTGGGATGGAACCTATCCAAATGTCAGAATTTATCAATGGTAAAGTGAGTCATGATCCACTTTTCAGAATGGCTTTCCTGTTTTGTTTACTTGCTTCTGTGATATAGTGGCTGGTCTCAATTCTATTTCCTGCATTACGCCCTGCACACCTGTTTCTCTGACCCTTTTGACCCACCGCTGGACTTTACACCCTCCTCTCAAACAGCTTTTATCACTCAGTCCTCCCTCTTCATCTTCTTCCAGTCACCTCTACACCTCCATAGCTGTGAGTACAGCTGAAGCAGGAATGTCTTTAAAAATCATAGGTTTGTTGGAAAGTAATAAAACATCTTGTTACAAAGCATTTTAGCTCAGGCGTCTAGTATTGCAATTTTTACATGTATAAATATAAAACATATGCATAATGATATTTGTTCACATCACTTTTAAATTTTTTGTACTTAATATTTTTTCAATAGGCATTAAACTATCTAGTTCCTGAAGAGATTTTTAAAGTTGAGATAGAAGAAGCATTGGAGAAGGTGCAACTTGCCATTCACATATTGAAAAGCTTTAAGAATTGTTTCCAACAACACAGATTAAAGATTTCTCAGTATTACAGGAGCATTATGGAAGTAAAACATTGGGACTTCCCTACACAGATGGTCTTTGCTCATTTTGATAGATTTTTTGCCTGTTTGTTAAAAATTGAGGTATGTAAAATTGTGTAGTAACTAAATGTGTTAATTTTTGCTTCTGTCATTATATCTCAGCAAGTCATACAAAGTGTAAAATATATTCAGTCATAACTATTTCATTACCTTTTTTCGGAAGGAAAGCTAATTTTGGCATTACTGATATGGGTTGTCAGAATTGCAAGTGATTTGAACTCCATACTATTTGGCTAACGCAAACCTTCTACTGGAAGATAGCAGAGCTCAACATACTTCATTGTTTAGGCAGTGTTATACAGTTCCAACAAGATGTATATCACCTGTCATGTTACTGAAAGAAGTCTCCTGCCAAGGTTCTACCCACCTATATGAGCCAAGATGTCACTTTGTGGTCTACTGCAGTTGATTGTTCATAACCCCTTTTCATATGGCCTGAAGTTGCAATCCCTTGACTCAATGAGCTGGACGTCGCCAAATTCGTTGGTGCTCCAACATTGGGACCATTTTACAGTTCCAATGTGCTTGAGGTTGGAGTGCATTGCATTTTATTATCTTGTGGGAGGATTGCCTTCTCAATCAGGATGTGAATGCTGGAAGTGGCATTTAAAAGGTGTTGGTGAGTGTCCAAAGAGTTTGCAGCCAGCAAGTGAGAAGCTGATAGAACAGGCTTTCAGATCAATAAGATACCAGTCTTTCTAAACTAGGGTGGTCTCTTGATTCACTAACACCTCCTTGGAGGTGATCGTAGAGAGGTTCCAGAAACACTTCATTTCTGGAGATCAACAACAGTAGTCACCGGTCAGACAGACACAAAGGAGGCATGGCTAGAGATTGCAAGAGATGTCAGCAGCTGCAGTGTAGTTAGCAGGACTGAGTCTAAAGCAGGAAATGCCTCAACATCCTTCTGTGGTCTGACTTGGTGAGTAGCAGCCATGACAGCCTGAAAGGAATGGCATGACTCTGATTAGAAAATCCTGTGGGCAGATAGAGCATATGCCAAGGGGTTTTGTGCATAGTGCCACCTCTTACCCAAGGGAAGGGAACAAAGTTATGTATGCTTGGGAGGATGGCGATGTAAACTGAGGGCAAGTGCAATGATGGAGTGGAGTGTAAAATGTGAAAATGTGAAGCTGTTCACTTAGAGTCATAGAGATATATAGCATGGAAGCAGATCATTCAGTTCCACTTGTCCATGCTGACCAGATATCCTAAATTAATCTAGCCCCATTTGCCAGCATTTGGCCCATATTCCTCTAAACTTTTCCTATTCGTGTACCCATTCAGATGCCTTTTAAATATTCTAATTTTACCAGCCTCTACCACTTCCTCTGGCAGCTCATGCCATATATGCACTACCATCTGCGTGAAAAAGTTACCCCCTAGGTCTGTTTTAAATCTTTCCCCTCTCACATTAAACCAATGCCCTCTAGTTTTGGAATCTTCCCACTCTAGAGAATACACCTTGGCTATTCACCCTTTCCATGCCGTTCATGATTTTATAAACCTCTATAAGGTCATCCCTCAGCCTCTGTCGCTCCAAGGAAAATAACCCCCGTCTATTCAGCCTCTCTGAAAGCTGAAATAGCTGGTCCCCTGTAGCTGAAACCCTCCAACCCTGGCAATATCCTTGCAAATCTTTTCTGAACCCTTTCAAGTTTCACAACATCCTTCCAATAGCAGGGAGACCAGAACTGACGCAATATTCCAAAAGTGGCCTAACCAATGTCCTGTACAGCTGCAACATGGCCTCCCAACTCCTATACTCAATGCACTGACCAATAAAGGCAAGCATACCAAACACCATCTTCACTATCTTGTCTACCTGCGACTCCACTTTCAAGGAGCTATGAACCTGCGCCCTAAGGTCTCTTTGTTCAGCAACACTTCCTGGGACCTTAGCATTAAGTGTATAAGTCTTGTCCTGATTTGCCTTTCCAAAATGCAGCACCTCACATTTATCTAAATTAAACTTGATCTGCTGCTCCTCGGCCCATTGGCCCATCTGATCAAGGTCCCATTATTCTCTGAGGTAACCTTCTTCACTGTCCACTACACCATCAATTTTGGTATCATCTGCAAAGAAACTAACCATATCTCCTATGTTCACATCCAAGTCATTTATATAATTGACGAAAAGCAGTGGATCCAGCACCGATCCTTATGGCACACTGCTGGTCACAGGTCTCCAGTCTGAAAAGAAACCCTTCACTACCACTCTCTGTCTTCTACTTTCAAGCCAGTTCAGTATCCAAATGGCTAGTTCTCCCTGTATTCCATGTGATCTAACTTGGCTAACCAGTCTGCCAAGAGGAACCTTGATGAGCACCTTACTGAAGTCCATTCAGATCACGTCCTCCACTCTACCCTCATCAGTACTCCTTGTGACTTCTTCAAAAAACTCAATCAAGTTAGTGAGACATGATTTCCTATGCACAAAGCCATGTTGACTATCCCTAATCAGTCTTTGCCTTTCCAAATACCTGTCAATGCTGTCCCTCAGGATTCCCTTCAACAACTTGTCCACCACTGATGCCAGGCTCACTGGTCTGTAGTTCCCTGGCTTTTCCTTACCACCCTTTGGTAGAAACAATAAAGAAAAAGCAGAGTATTACTTTGAGAAAAACTGCAGAAATCTGATTGCAGAAGAATTTAAGTGTTCTGGGTACATGAGTCACAAAAAGGTAGTAGGCAGGTGCAGTATGTAGTCACAAAGGCTAATGGGATGCTATCCTTGATGCTATGAAATGAACTGAACATAAACATTCTTCAATTATAGAGTATTGCTGAGACCATATCTAACATGCTTTGTGCAGTTTTGGTCTCCTTATTTAAGGAAGGATGTAAGTATATTGGAGGTGGTTCAGAGGATGTTTACTAGATTGATACCTGAGAAAGTGGATTGTCTTATGAGAAAATGTTGGACAGGATGGGCTTGGTTCTACTGGAGTCTCAAAGATTGATGGGTAACTTGATTGAAGTGTATAAGGTGCGGCCTTGACAAGGCAGGCATAGGAAGAATGTTTACTCTTGTGGATCAATGCATAACTTGGGCACACTGCTTTAAAGTTAAAGGTTGCCCTGTCAGGTTTGAGATGAAGAGAAGGTTTTCCCTCTGAGGGCTGTGTGACTTCGAAACTCTCTGTCTTAAGGCAGTGGAGACAGAGACGCTGTTTTTCTATACAGAGGTGGCTAGATTCTTATGAGGCAGGGAAATCAGGGTTGTTGGTGGTTGATGGGAATGTGGAATTAAAAACATAAACAGATCAGCTATGATCTTATTAAATGCAGAGCAGACTCCAGTGGTCTATTTCTGATCCATTTTTCATATATTCATATTAGTATTTCCTCAAACACCCTTGACTATTTAGTTTAATGCCCTGTCTACAGTACCAATAAGGTGATTTGCCAGACTCATGACCCAGTCCAGCTCAGATGAATACTATTGGAATAGCTATCCTGTTAACGAATTTTTTTTAAAAAAGGGTGTGACTACCTCCTACAGAAGAGATTCCAAGTAACTTTTCTCTTCCCTGATGCATTATTGTGACTAAAACTTGATCTCCGGTTCATCAGTACTGAGGTTATGCTCCTTGAGCTGTAGACTCTGTAGATTGATTGCCATCAATCACACTGATGTCTGCTCCTACACGCATGCTACAACTGCAGCACATCACCTGTCTTGTCATCTTGGTAGTTATACGAGATAACTTTAATTATTAACAAATTTGTGAACTTATCTGCGAGATGTAGGCATTGCTGGCTAGACCCTGCAGAAAGTAGTAGTGAGCTATCTTCTTGAAGCACTGTAATCTGTGTAGTGTAGGAGCTCCCATAGTGCTGTTAAATGGGGATTTCCAGGATTTTGAAGAAGCAACAGTGAAAGAATGGCTGCATAGTTGCATGTCAGGATGGTCATGACTTTGAGGGAACTTGCAGGTTTCGGTGTATCAATGCATCTGCTGCCCATGTCCTTCTAGGTGATAGCGGTCACAGGTTTGGAAGGTGCAGCTGTAGGAGCCTTGGTGAGTTAATACAGTACAACTTGTAGATGGTACATACTGCTGCAACTGTGTGGTGATGAACATGATGAATGTTGTGCCAATCAAGCAACCTGCTTTGTCCTCGGTGATATGGAGCTTTTTGCGTCTGCTACAGTTACGTTTATCTCAGAAAGTGGAGAGAATTCCATCACACTCCTGACTTGTGCCTTTGTAGATGGTGGACAGGCTTTGGGGGGGCAGTAGGTGAGGTACTTGCTGCAAGATTCCTAGGCCCTGACCTGCTTTTGTAGCCACTAGACTATATGGCTAGTCCAGTTCAATTTTTGGTCAGTGGTAACCTCCAAGATGTTGATAATGGGGGGATTCGGTCACAGCAGTGTCATCGACTGTCAAAGGACAATGGTTCAATTCTCTCTAGTTAGAGGAAGTCTTTGCCTGATTTAAGTGTGTGGAACTCTTGATGCTTGCCAGTTAATAGCTCAAACCTAACTGTTGTCCAGATCTTACTTCGGACGCAGACTGCTGCAGTATCTGATGAGCCATGAACGGTGCTGAACATGGTGCAGTCATTAATGAACATCCCCACTTCTGACCTTATGATGGAGAAAAGGTCATTGATGAAGCAGCTGAAGATGGTTGTGTTCCAGAAACTATCTTGAGTTTCTCCTGCAGAGATGTTTTGGAGCTGAGATGACTACCATGATTTCTCCAATTACCACAAGCATCTTCCTTTTTGCTGGGTATGGCTCTAAACAGTGGCAGGTTACTTCCTGAATTGTCACTGACTCCAGCTTTACAAGGGCACCTTGATGCCGTACTCGGTTGAATGCTGCCTTGAAGTTGAAGGCAGTCACTATGGCCTTGCCAATGGAATTCAGATCTTTTGTCCCTATTAGGACCAAGGCTGTAATGAGATCAGGAGTCTAGAGACCCTGTTGGATCCCAAACTGAATGTCAGCCTGTGAGCAGGATTATTCCTTTGCAAATGTGATTGCACTGTTGATGACCACTAACATCACTTTGCTGATGATTGAGAGTGGAGTGATAGAGCAGTAATATGTCCTGCTATTTGTGCACAGGGCACTTGGGAATTTTCCACATTGTGGGTAGATACCTTTGTTGTAGCTGTACTAGAATAACTTCACTCAGAGCAAAGCTAGTACAGGAACATGCATCTTCGTTGGTATTGCTGGAATGTTGTTAGGGCCCATAGACTTTTATGTAGTGTCTTTACCTTTTCTTGAGGATGTGGAGAGAATTTAATTGGTTGAAGACTGACACCTGTGATGCTGGATGGATCAACCATTTGGCACCTCCTGGCAGTAGGTAGGTGCAAATACTTCAGTCGTATCATTTGTACTGGTGTGCTAGGCTCCTCACTTTTGAGACGGGGATATCTGGGCGCTTACCCATCCTGTTAGTTGTTTAATCATCCACCCCAGTATTCACAACTGGATTTGGCAGGACTGCAGAGCTTAGATGTTATCCCTGATTGCCTTCCCATCGCATTTAACACAATGCTTATATCTGATTAGACTGAGACGCATGTTTAGAGGGATTAAATCTTCAGACCGATCTAGTAGTCACCTACTTGCCCATTTAATTAAAACTTTAAACACCACCAGCTTCTCGTGGCTAAGAAAATTAGCCAAAAAGAAGCAGCACCTCCTTCCCCCTCTGCAAAGAATTTCAATCTGCACTAAATTCATAAGTTAGCATTCGTACCTTGTCATGCTCAGGCCTCCTCACATGTTATGCTCCCACTCTGTCTATCAAACCAGTTTTGTTCATCATAGTTTGATAGTGATCAGTTTAAACGTGCAGCTTATACTACAGAATTATTTAAAATACTGCATGACCAATTTGAGTTACTTCAAAAATGTGCACATAATTCCCTAATCCGAGAAAATCCTGCCCTTGCAACACTAGCAAATGTATCAATAAGTAATTATTAGCAAACTAATTCATGATAATCTTGGAAGCATCTTGAACTGAAATGACTCTTGTGTGACATGTATTATGTGCAAGTTCTTTTATCATTGGATACCTCAGTCCTTGGCTCTGCATTTTGCAATTAGCAGATTTTGGCTAACATTTCTTCTCAAGTCTCTATAGTGATTTCCACACAATTTGTTCTTTTTAACACAATGGCCATGATGTTACAGGACGGCAGAGACCCTGACCACTTGCTGCAAATTTGGGGGAACCTACTTATAAAAAATACAGTCGGTCATGGAAACTTTGATTTGTATTTTATAATACTTGAGCAACTAATTTCCTTCTGTCAGACTGCTGCCCATTTAAAGGAAAATGTTCCTCTCTTAAAACATGCTGACGACTATTTGGAATACAGGCGCGTCTTCTGTCCCAGCATTGCCACTTGGAGCAATGACTACTCCTCAGATTACCGGAGGCCTTCACCAAACTTGTGGGAAGCCCTGGAATTGAGTTAAATTTGTGGGGCTCAATAAGGCACACCAGGCGAGCTGGGGGAGGTGATCTTAAAGCCTGGATAGCCTGGGCCACCACAGAGAGGCCTACTGTGGGCCATAGGATGCATGATGATAAGGGCATCTGGTTGCCTCCCTAGGTGGTGAACTGCTGATCTGCCACTCATAAATTATCGGTCTGTCACCTTCCACCCATTTGTTAGAATGTCAGCAGAGGCAGGAAGGCAATGGGCACATCACCTGCCACCATCTGAACAATTATACACCTCTTCCTTCACCCCTATCTCCCCCTTCAGCTCAAACCCTGTAAAATCTTGGCCATTGTTATTTAAATGTTTGTTATTTTAAAAATGAAGACAAAGAGACTTATTTCATCTCCTACAAGTCGTAGGCTACAAAAGTTATGAAATCCTGCTACATTGTTATAAAATACTGGTTATGCTTCAGCTGTTGTATTGTGCTTAATTCTTAAAGAAAAACCAAACACATCATATTGACGTGCTGAAATGTTACTTGCTCAATATTAATTGGTTTTCAGGAACTGTTTAATACAGCTACGGACTTTCTTAAACTGGAGAGAATTGAAATAGGAGGTTCCAAAGGAAAGGCTTTCAGTGAAATAATTTATGGTATCAATGAAGAATTTCAGGAATGTTGGCGAGTATTTGGAGAAAACAAATATGATCCACTTGATTACAACAATAAGGTTTGGCTTTATTATGAAACAGTGGAATTTCATATCTACTTTGATTTGCACTTCAAAAATGAAATCTATATCCTAAAATTAATTAAAAAACAATAAAGCTAATGTTAATTTAGTTTTAAAAACTAATTTTTCAAAGAATTTCACCTCTTTACCTTTGAAAATGTGTTTGTCAGTATATGAAAATTACATTATGTAAGTGCTAGATTATTCACAAATCTAAAAATATCTATTTTTTATCTGTTGCAATCCACACAGGAATTTTTGTCAGATCATAGCAGGTACATGGAGCAGATACTTGATTTTGACAAACGCTTAGGCTCAGTGCTGAATCTTGCATTTCAGGATTCAGGATCTCTGGAATCGGCTTTTAAGGTACTAATTATGCTTTGCTGTGGCTAAGATGAAAAAATAAGCATCATTTAATATTTTTGAAATAGTTGCATCATGAATTACTAGGTGGACCCTAAAAGTACTAAATGTATATTTTGGTATCAAATGCAAGATGGAAAATGCAAGGGGCAAGGCTTTTAGCTATTAAGTGACAGACTTTATGTTTGTAGATAGTTTTTGCTACAGATACTGTTTGAGGCAGACAGCATTATATCTTCAAGGAAAAATTAGTTAAATATTGTAAGTCAGGAGCAGGATTTATGTGGAGATCATGAGAGACTGTAATTAACTTTGGATTACTCTAGCAAAGATCTGCCACAGACAGAATGGACCTTTTTTAAGCTCCCCTGTGGGGCTTGAAACCTCTAGTTTTAAAATTATTATTTTAATGAACTGCTGCATCCTAAGCAAGTAATTTTGTGATGAAACCAAGTAGAGATTGCTGGAAAAGTTCTGCAGGTCTAGCAGCATCTGTGGAGAGAAATCAGAGGTTAATGTTTTGGGTAAAGTGACCCTTCCTCAGAACTTTCGATTTTTTAAAAAATTTAATATTGTGATGATCCTGTTGTGAGAGCTATAACTGGTCTGTCCACCAGCAGAACCAAGTTGACAACTTGGAGTTTCAGAAGTGTCATTGGGATTAAGTAAATTGAGAAAAGCTGTTAAAATGTAACAAGAACAAACTATTCAGCTCCTCAATCCTTCTCTGTAAAATCAAATAAGTCATAGATGATTTGTAAGTCAGCTCTGTTTATCCAACTTTGTTCTACATTTCATAATAACTTGCTAAGCAATATGTACCAATTTTAAATATTCCACTTGATCAAGCATCCAAAACCTTTTATGCAGTAGAGAGTTTCACACTTCCACTACCATTAGTGTATGCGTTTGTGTTATAATTAAATAAAGAAACTGCTTCCTAATTTCACTTCAAAATAAACTAGCTTTAATTTTAAAATTCTGGCTCACTGTTTTGGCTTTTCCCACCAGAGGAATAATTCTGTGAGTCTACCTCACCGAACCTTGATATCATTTTCCATGAATTGGTTAGAATAATTTTCAACTGTCTAAACTTTAGATAATACATACCAAATTTTAGTAACTTGACCTAATTTAACCCTTTGTAATGAAATCCATTTCCAGCAGTTCAAGATGAGTGCAACCTGAAGGTTACACTCAATTCCAAGAATTGCTCGATGGCAATGTTCATTTCTGCCCCAGAATAGGAAAGGGTCTGATGGTACGCCTTCATAGATGAGCACTTCTGTATAACTGAAAAGGGTGCTGAAAAACCCATGAGCAGTGTTTGCTGGATACAACTAAACAAGATTATGGCGCAGAAAAATACATGAGTAGTACTGGCTTGTTCAAGCTCTCAGTTGAAAAACTGGAGTTACGCATGTGAAGGAGTACAATATCTTGAACTGGGGAGTGTAGGGTCAGGATTGCAAGGTTGACTGACCAGAATTTGGGAGCAATTGTTGAGGTAGTGCATGGTGAACCATTGAGGAAGTTTCAAGGACAGATCAGCGGAAGTGAAGATTTTAACCCTTTGTGAGTTTTGATGAGACTTAATTATCCACATTGGTATTAATATATGAGAGAATTGCTATGAAATCTGATCAGTCTTTGAGAGCCATATTTACCACGTGTTGATTCTGGGTGCCAGAAGTGTAATGTAGAACGTATTACTGTTCTAATGCTGTACAGTAGAGTTTATTATTGTTTGTTCAAAATTGTGGAATCTGGTGGCTTTATTCTCTTAGTATGTCTCTTGGGTCTCACACTTTTTCTACTTTTAAAAATAAAAGTTTCTGTCCCCAGCCAAATCATGCCTTAAATTAGGCGGCCTGGTCCAGGATTATAACACCTTTTAAAACTATCGTATAATACTTGTGATCCCGTACTGTAATCTCTCTGCCAGTAAGGTAAAAGTTGTTATGGTCCAACTGGACCATAGGGCTGCTCTCTCATTAGCAACGACTGTCAGTGAGTTTATTCTGAGGATCACCATACCTCCAGGGAGTGGTGAGGATGGGAAGGCCTAACCTTTATGGTGACCTTAGCAGTACAGGAATTAAATCCATGCCAAGGCCTGTATGAATGCTATTTTGTAGCTGAGATCCGGCCAAGGCTCTGCGCAACTGTAACAGCACTTCCTCCCATTTATGTTCCAGTTTCTTTAAAAGAGAGACCAATATTTCACTAACCTTTTTGGGATACCTTTATTAATTATGCATTAGCCTTTGGTGATTTGCTAGAACCTTAAATCCCATTGCTCACCCACAGTTCCTTCCCTTTCCCTGAAGAAAATATTTTGAAAATGCAGTTCATCCACATATCAGGTAGGTCAAAGAGGATATTAAGACCCGTGTGGATGTACTGCCACTATTTTCCTTTAGGCTGAGATGCTGGTACAGGAGGTAATAGAGAAGAGTTGCAACTAAAAAAAATGTTTTTTCAACAGAAATTCACTTGCAGTTTGTAATTAAAAATCTTTTCTCTGTTAGCTTTTGTCAATATTTGGTGTGCTGCAAAAACGACCTGTCATTGCCAGCATTTTTGCTGTGAAATATGCCAACCTTCTGAGAATGTTTGAGGCAGAAATGGACAGCTGCAAAGAAATTTTTGATAAACAAGCAAAGGTAAAATAACACTTTCATTCTTACTAATGGTGAGTTTCAAAAGTGTGACTTTATTTAAAAACTATTGAGGTATGTTTTGCAATTAGTTGTGAGCTGTCAGTGCTGTGACCCATTTCCACTTCAAACTAAAGAATTGCTACGTAAAGGGGAAAACAATTCAGATAGGTGGGAAGATACATTTTAGAAAATATGTATATTTAAATATTTATTTTGATACCTCTCTTATCCTGTCTGCAGTCTGTGATGGTGACTATGTAATCTTCTTTTGGTGCTGCTCCACCGTTGCCCTGCTGAGCATACCTGCGTTTGTTGGGTTCCATTCTTATCAGTTCAATCACAGCTGAAATCTTCAGGTGACACTGGTGAGGGAAGGAGAATAAATGGACCAGGGCATGCTGACTTATGTCAGTCCCCATTTTTCCGTCAAAAATTCTGTCCTTATTGTTTTAAAGGACATTATTTTTTTTTTCAAAAATGTTTCATGGTAAGTTGGGAAGCAGTGAAAGACAGTTGGTAGGTGTCGATAGTAACAAAATTCAGTTAGGTATGAAAATTGGCGCAGGTTAATCGTGCATTGCAGCCAGTCAGTGCTAAACATTTGGCTGACTAGATGCGTACCTGAGCAGGATGCAATGGCACGACAGGCAAACACCACTGAAAGCCAACCTATGCCTCTTCAAAGAACAGATGCTGGAAAGTGGTTGCAGAAGAGTGTGTGGTCACAGAAATATGACACAGCATAGCACCTAGTCAGAATTTTATGGGCCCCCTTGGGAGGCTTGCTGTCTGAAAGTATTAGGGGTGGAGGGGTGATGCTAACTAATCATCCACCTGCAATCTGTCAGAAATTTTGTGGGGGCATGAGAGGTCTAGGACAACCCACCCACTCTGAATTCTTCGTTGGTCTCTTAAGGGCTGCTTCCTGCTCAGCTGCAGTTTTGAGACCAGTGAGAAGAGTTTGACAGCAGGGTCGACAGGTAAAGTTACTCAGTACTCTACTTAGGAAGGTTGTCTTTATTTAACCTTAGCTTATCTGGAGCAGAAAAATAGGCTATTCAGCTTAACATCTGTGAAGAAAAAATCAGAGTTAACGTTTTTGGTCCGGTGACCCTTCCTCGGAACTGATGGTAGCTGGGAAAACGTTGGTTTATATGCAGAAAATAGGGAGGGCGGGGGTGGGGTACAGAGTAAACAATAGGATAGAGCCCGAAGAGAGACAAAGGAGTTGGTAACAATCTGGCTAGGAGGTGAATAGTTGTTAATGGGGACTATTAGTGACTAACAATAGCTAGCATGTAATGGCAGGTGATATAATAACAAGGCCTGATGTGTGGCGTAGGGGGCGGGGACATGGGAAAGTTCAGGCCCTAAAATTATTGAACTCGATATTGAGCCCAGAGGGCTGCATGGTCCCCAAGCTGAAAATGAGTTGTTGTTCTTCCAGCTTGCGTTGAGCTTCTCTGGAACACTGCAGTAAGCCAGAGACAGATGTTGGCCAGGGAACAGGGTGGTGTGTTAAAGTGGCAGGCAACTGAAAGCTCATGTTCTACTCCTGGACATCCCGGATATCCTCCTATTTCAAGGACTGCATCTTCCCCATTCTCCCCACCCCCATGATCAAAAATGCCCTCAACTGCATCTCTTGCATTTCCCTCATTTCTGCCTTCAAGCCCCTCCACGCAACAAAGATAAAGATAGAATCCCCCGATCCTTTCATATCATCCCTAAATCTGCATCCAGCGTATCATTCTCTGCCATTTTTACAACCTACAATCCAACTCCACGATTAAAGATATATTTCCCTCACCACCCTTATCTGCCTTCCGTAGGGACTGCTAACTCTGTGACTCCCTTGTCTGCTTCACACTCCCCACCATCCCCGGCACCTTTCCCTGCAACTGCAGGAAGTGCTACACCTGCCTCTACACCTCACCCCTCACCTCCATCCGAGGCCCAAAGTGAACTTTCCATATTCAACAGGGGTTCACCTTTACATCCCCCAACCTGGTCTATTGTATTCGTTGCTCCTGATGTGGCCTCCTCTCCATCAGTGAGACCAAGCGTAGACTCGGGGCACCGTTTCGTGGAGCATCTGTGCTCTGTAAGCGATAATTAACAACACCTGCTGGTCGCCAACCGTTTTAATTCCCCACCCACTCCCTGGGTGACATGTTCATCCTGAGCCTCCTCCAGTGCCACATGACACAACATGCAAACTGGAGGAGCGACGCCTCATATTCCACCTCAGGAGCCTACAGCCTGATGGCCTGAACATAGAATTCACCAGTTCTAAAATCTTCCCACCCCCGGCCTTGTCCTGTGTCTATCCATGTCTCCCTCTCATCCCCGTCTCCTTGACCTGACACAATCTGTCTGTCATCTTCCCCACCTATCCACTTCACCCTTCCCACTGACCAATCCCCACTATCCCCACCTACATCCAACCTATTACTGTCCCACCTCCCTTCCTCCAGCCCACCCCTCCTCTCTATATTTATTTCCCACCTCCCTTCCCCCTCCCCACTTCTGAAGAAGGGTCCTGTCCCAAAACATCGACTTTTCTGCTCCTCTGCTGCCTGGCCTGCTGTGTTCCTCAGCTCCACACTGTGTTAGACTCTGACTCCAGCATCTGCAGTTCTTGCTATCTCCAATTTGCCCCTCATGTCCTCTTCAAATCTTGCTCCTCTCATCTTAAAAATTGCCCCTTAATTTTGAACTCCCCCACCCCAGGAAAAAGACCCTTGATATTCACGATATCTATGCCCCTCATGATTTTATAAACCTTGATAAGGTCACTGCTTAACTACCAATGCTCCACTGAAAAAAGTCTGAGCTGATCCAGCCTATTTTTATAACTCAAACCCTCCATTCTTGGCAACATCTCAGTCCAAAATGGTCTATCTACCCCGTGTCCTAAGACCATGGCCTCCTTGTTCTAGGCTCCACAACCAGGGAAACAACAACCCTGTATCCAATCTGTCCATCCCTATAAGAATTTTGTTTCAATGAGATCCCATCTCATTCTTCTAAACTCCATTGAACAGAGGCCCAGTCGCCCAATCTCTCCTCACACTACAAATCTACTGTCCCAGGAATAAGTCTGGTGAACTTTCACTGTTTTCTCTGTGCCATGTGTATTCTTTGTTAAGTAAGGAGATTAAAACAACACAAAATACTCCAGGTGTAATGTCACACGGTTCAAGAAGGCAGCTCACCACAACCTTCTCAAGGACAGTAAATGCTGACCCAGCCAGCAATGCCCGAATCTGATGAATGAATGATGAAAATCTTTCCAGCCCAATGAAGACCTCTTTCATATTATGGTCACTCATCTTTAAAGGACCTTGCACAGCAAGCTTATTAATTCATCTCTTCTCATTGCTCAATACCAAACCTACAATGGTGTTCACTAGTTGGTTTCTCAAATGTACTTGTTTAAAAAAAAAACCTGTACACACTCCATCATTCAAATTCATCAGCCACTGTCTTATTGGTAATGTATTTTCCCTGTCTATATGTTGGTTTAAGTCACTCATGTTTACACTTGCTACGTACCTCTCTAATTTCATGTTTACTGCCATCCCTGACTTCCCAGGAGGCCTATAGACAACTCCCACTAAGGTTTGCCACCCCTTGTTGCTCCTTAGCGCCTTACATACTGATACTACATCTTAATTTTCTGAGCCAATATCTCTTCTCACTACAGTGATTTTATCCATTACTAATAATTCTGTGCAACCTCCTTTTGACTTTTGCTAGTCCTTCCTAAATATTGAATAATCTTGGATATTCAGTTCCTAGCCTTGGTCATTCTGCAGTCAAGTCTCTGCCATTGTAATTATATTTTACCCATCTACAACTGTGTGCTTTTAATTCATCTCCCTTATTGAGAATGATTTATGCATTCACATGCAGTACCCTTAGGTTTGTCTGTCAGACCTGGTAAGAGAAGCTACAGAGGTGTGAACTAGAAGCTACAAAGAGCTGGAACACTGTTCATAGTTGGCAGTTGCAGATTGCATCAGGTGCCGATTAAATGTAGGGATGGTCCCTAATTGAGGTTTAGCCTAGAGTAAGTGGATATCATTTGAAATTCCTAAAAGGGAAGGTTTTGAAAAACACAGCACATTTGCAGGCTGAGAAAGCGAAGGGTTGGTGAGGTGTTTACAGCTGCAGTTGAGGGTCAAAGACATAGCATGGCTACAGTAAACAAGATCAAGAACCACAGAAACTATTTGAAAGTGAGGTCGCAGAACCAGGAACATAGCAACATCAGAATTCTAAAGGGGCAATTTGGAAGCCTAGGCAGATTTGGAGTCTAATGGAAAAAGGAACTAAGGAGACTTATAGAGGCTACAGTAAGAGTGGGTGATGCACAATTAAAACTGTAGTAAAGGCAGGAAGAATGTATTAAAACCACAAATAACGAGGCTGTTAAAGTGCGCGGGTAATATTTATTAAAAGTGTAGGTTGTTGGGATTAGTCACAGCACTGCAACAGCATTAATCATCTAGGAAAGGTCACTATGACAACAGGATTCAGCTCTGAAGCTGCCAGGCTGAGGAGCTCATTTGGTGAAACCATTAATAAGAACAGGAATTGTTTATTAGGCCACAGAAAGTGGAAATTCTCCATTTTAGCCTGAAGAGGTGGAAATCTTCTATTTTTTAGCTGCAAAAGCATGAGAAAACTCACCACCAGGGAAGTACAGAGACTCAGCTTTCCCTGTCTTTAGGCAAAGATTCCAGATGCTTCTACAGCAAATGTTTCCCTACATGTCTCTGCATACTCAACATGTCACTTATGGCCAAATGCAGAGGCAGTTTCTCAGTATGAGTGCAGTTAGTGCCTGATCTCCAGCCATTATCCAAGAGTTGATATGTTGAATGTTGCTTCCTATATTGACTGTGGACTCGTGTCAGTGGTTTGCTCACTAGATTGCACCCCCTGAGCCTATTCATGTGTGCTGGGAAGGTCCCCACCTTCCATCACTGGGGAATAAGATTCCTTTCTTTACTTGACCGCCTCAACCAGAACCTCTAGTAGGATGTCAGTGAACCTTGGGGCCTGTTTTACATTGATATGAAACATGCACAGTGGTAGGGGACCATCATTGACTGAGTAATGCTGCAGTGCAGACAATTGTTGTCCAGGCAGCCTCGAAATATATTTCCAAACCTTTGAATCTGACGGACCTGGTGAAGGTGAGAACCTCCTGATAGTCAAGGAAGGAGCTCCCTCTAGGAACCAGATTCAATCCTGGGCAGTGACCAGATTCTAATGGTGAGAGGTCCAAGCTGCACAGGCCATGGATAGGGCATCCTTGCTGTGTGGCTACTGCTGAGTGGCCAACAAGGAGAAGTAGTAGTGGCACCATAGAGATCTTTTAGTACGAGGACTATGGCAGCCACCAAGCTAACAATTGAAATAGTTGCAATCATATGCGTCTCGCTTCAGGAAGCGTGAGCACTTCAATCTAATATCAAGTTATGAAACTTAATGAAAAGCCTTACATGGTTCATGGCTTAGAACTCTCAGTACTGAGTTTCCTCAATTTCTCACCCTTGACACAGCAGGATCCAGTGCATCATTGGAAAAATTTCAATCCAATTCCACAACAGAGCTAATTACCCTTTTAGTATCTTCCTGGTGTTCCCTAACTCACTCCAGCACCCACCTTCACAACTGCCTCTGCAGTGCTGGGAAAACTGTCTGTTAGAATATACAATGAGGTTAGTCTGCAGGACCATTAATGTGCCATTGTTATCTCCTGTGTCAGTGAAACACAGACTGTCATCCTTTTTTTACAGACACAATACCACTGACTTTTTTTCTCCCCATACCATTAACCCTTCCTCCACTTAGATAACATCACTGTGTTTGGACCAGTTTTTTGTTGAACCACCTTGATCATTAACATTACTATCAATAAGAACATTTCATTGCGTACCTAACTCTTATCCCGCATGCTGAGATCACTGCTGCTAAACTTTTCCTTGAGTTGGTAGCAGATTTCAGATTCTGTTGGGAAAAAAGAAGTCCATGCCAGAAAGATCATAAGGCAGCTTTCCTCAAGATCATCAGCAAGTGTTGCTGCTTCACCAATGATCACAAAATCCAGTTCAGTATATTTGCTGCATTGCCTTTGTGTAGCCTTACTACTATTTCTTCAAAGAATTCAACATTGTTAGTTAACTTTTTTGACTTTCTCGGTATGTTCAGTGTTTTGTATATTTGTAATGATGAATGAAACGATGCACTTAGGCAGGACAAACAGGGTAAAAGAATAGGGGGATGAACGGTAGGACATTGGGAAGAACCAAGGATCAGAGGAATCTTGGTGTGCATGCCAACCAATCCCTTAAGATATCAGAACACGTGGATAAAGTGATAAGAAGGTATATAGTATACCTACCCTTTATTCGCTGAGGCATTGAGTTTAAGAATGGGGGTGGTTATGCTGGAACTGTATAAAATGTTGGTTAGGCCACAGCGAGAGTGTTGTGTTCAGTTCTGGAATCTACATGATAGGAGGGAATGTGATGGTGCTGGAGGGGATACAGAGGAGATTTACCAGGATGTTGGAGATTTTGGACAGACTGAGGTTGTTTACTATGGAGGAGAAGAGTTTGAGAGGGCATATGACTGAGATGTATAAAATTGTGAGGGGCACAGCTCGGTTAGACAGGAAGAGACTTTTCTCCTTGATGGAAGAATCGATGACTTGGGGCGGGGCGGTGGGGAGTGGGGCACAGATGTAATGAATGGAATAGAAGGTTAGGAGGAGATGTGAGGAAAAACCTTCCTCACCCAAGGGTGGTGGGAATCTGGAACTCACTGCCTATAAAAGTGGTAGAGGCGGAAATCCTCATAACATTTCAGGAGTATTTAGATTTAGTACTTGAGATGCCAAAGTATACAAGAATATGGACCAAGTGCTGAAAAATGGGATTAGAATAATTAGGTGGTTTGTTTTTGACCGGTATTGACTAAATGGGCCAAAGGACCTCTTTCTGTGCCATAGCCACCTATGGCTGTCTGAAAAGGGAGACAAGGGTGCCAAAACTTTAGCTTATCCAAAATAACCTGACCCTTAACTGAAGCATGTATATTACACCAGTATTAACTACAAAAAAAAATACTGACATATCATTGCAAGTTCCCTTGATAAAGATTTATGTACGTATGGGGAAAGATTTGCTAAATGTGCTGTGTAATAAAATAATGCACCTATTTACAAAGAAAAAGTTCCGGATTATGTGAAATGTACTTCGCAGGAAGCTTCTTTTCTTTTTTTTTAAAGCTATATCTGATATAGCTTGGGGTGGCATAGCAGCTCAGTGGTTAGCACTGCTGCCTCATGGCGCCAGGGACCCGGCTTCGATTCCACTCTCGAACGACTGTCTGTGTGGAATTTGCACCATTCTCCCCGTGTCTGCGTGGGTTTCCTCTGAGTGCCTCCGGTTTCCTCCCACAGTCCAAAGATGTGCAGGCTAGATGGATTGGCCATACTAAATTGTCCACAGTGTTCAGAGATGTGTAGATTGGGTTATAGGGGGATGGGTCTGGGTCTGATGCTATGAGGGTCAGTGTGGACTTGTTGGGTCGAAGGGCCTGTTTCCACACTGTAGGGATTCTATGAATCTATGATATTTACTGCCACTGTCATTATGGAAGCTTTGTGTCATAACAGCAATGGGTTGCAACATTATGCTCAACTCTACATATTGCTAGGTGTCATTTAGGAGCCCCATGCTATTTTGGGCATCTTTGGCGCATTGGATGCAAGTGAAGACTGGTTTGAAAAAGTGCAAAATCCATTGGCTTCCGTTTTCTCTGTGGTCTCTTTACAAGCTGAACTTCTTGTTTATCTTCATTTCTTCTGATGTCTCTCCATAAATTTGGCTTCCAGGGGCCATGGTTGTTGGCAATTGTTTCCTAATATGACAAATGTCAAAAAATGGTCAGTGCTGGACTTGTAGCAGTTGATAATCTGCTAACACTTGTCTGGAATAATGATGTGGAGGTGCTGATGTTGGACGGGGGTTGAAAAAATGAGAAGTCACACGACGGCAGGTTATAGTCCAACAGGTTTATTTGAAATCACAAGCTTTTGGAGCGCTGCTCCTTCGTCAGGTGAAGTGGAGGGAAGCGCTTCCGAAAGGTTGTGATTTCAAATAAACCTGCTGGACTGTGACCTGACTTCTCACTTTGTCTAAGGTAACTTCATAACACAAAGGCTAAAATTTTGTAATAGTAAGTTCTTAATATACAAAAATGCTGAAGAATTGGCAAAGATACTGTATTGGTTGTTCAAATATATTTAATTTTATTTGCTAATTCTAATCTCTTCTGGTGAGTCATTTTTCCATTAATAAAAACATGCTTTGAACAGATGTTTGATTGTGTCGGTTTAATTGCTTTTGGTGATTATATATCTGTTTGACATCTACTTTCTGCAGGTGAAGATGAATTATGTAGTATTGCATAAGAATATGCCAGTGATAGCAGGCAACCTGAAGTGGTCCCAAGAGCTTCGTGAAAGAATATTAAGTCAGAGAAATCAATTCAGACACATTAATCATCAGTAAATATAGCTTTAAAAGTTATTATGTTTCAAACAAAATATTTCTCAAATTATAGTTTATAGTTACTTATAATTATAGTTCTTTAAAATAACTTGTTTGTAGAAGTCTACATACAAAGGAAGCAAACCTAGCTTTCCAGAAATGTGACAGAATGTTAGCTTTAATCGATAACTATGATCAACAAATCTACTCATCATGGACAGAAAGTCTAGATGCTGTTTGTCAAGCAAACTTGAATCAACCATTTCTCAAATGGAATGAAGAATCTGGTTTATACTTTGTGAACTTTAACCCTGAGGTAAGACAATTTTCCATTTTTGGAACCTAAAATTGTATGTAGCCATGGTTACAATATGGATATTTCATCTTCTGTGAGAGATGATTCCATTTCTGAATCACATTTTACCTATTTTCACTCAGTTTTCAGCTGTGCTTCGTGAGGTCAAATACCTTGGGTTGCTGAAAGGATTTAACATCACAGATGTGGCATTAAATTTGTATTCAAAAAGAGCGATTCTTGATATGGTAAATATGAATTATATATTTTCGCATGAAGTTGTCTTCTGTGACAAATATGTTGGCATTTTTGTTGAAAGTCAAAATGTTTTATCAATATTTTTGAACATGTTTCATCTGTTTAAAATCTGTTAAAATTAGTTGACACACTTTGCAATCAACTTTGTTGGAAGATATTCCCATTATGTCATTGTTTGATACTGCCATAATGGAATGATCTTCTGAATTGTCTTCTCAAAGCAAAATAATATTTTTCCACAAAGACATTTTTTAAACATCTCATCAGTTCCTAGCTTGGTTTGCCTGTATTTCTTCTTGTTCCACATATGTGAAAATAATAGTCAGTATTATGAGGAACATCCTAAAGAATTGGTATGACATTGATAACGCAAAATTAAAGGTTGAGTAATGTATCAAACTCCTCTTAATCCTGACACACATTTCTGCCTTAATACATGGACCATATAATTAAGTAGACGTTTTGTCCTCCAATTGATTTATTTACGTGAATTTTTCTCCTTTTGCTTTTCTCTCTATATGTTCTTCTATTGTATTACTGTTTTAATGCAACATAGCAGTTTTCAATGTTGCAGCTTCATAAAGATTGTTCAGTCAGTTGTGTATTTTTACTGAGGCGTGCTGGCAAGAATGTTTGTGTTCCACCAGCTGTTCGGTCAACTGTAATGTTGAAAACTGCTGTTCTAGTTAAAATGGTAAGTGAAGCAGAAGGAATGGGGTCAGATGTTTGTTGAAAATTGTTTCTAGGTAGGGATTGTAGTACAAGATGGTAACTTTTTAATTTACTGAAATGATATGTAAGCCTCTGGGAGTCATGAAGGAAGGATTTCTGCACTGAAATTTCATTTACTTAGGTGAATGTTTGTTATGTGATTAACCCACTTAAGTATGCTTACTTCAGCATATGAAATGTTTCTTTGCTGAAAGATATAAATATAATGAAAATATGGAATCTGTAGTTAAGTCATGTATTTCTAACTTGCTTCAATTTGGATTATAAAACTTCCAAATTGGACAAACCACAAACCACAAACTATACTAAATCGTAGAATCATGGAATCTTCGGAATCCAGAGCTCAGAAGAGTCAATTTGACGCATCAAGCTTATGCTAGCTCTCTATAACAACAATGTAATTCATCTAAATCCACTGCGTTTTTCAAAGTCTTGCAAATGGTTTTCCTTTAGGTGCTTATCCAATTCCATTTTCCTTTTGGTGCCTATCCAAAACCATGATGAAATATCTTCCACTATTTTCTTGGCTTGGTTTTCCAGATGCCAACTACTTGTTGCATAAAAAAAGCTTTTCTTCCTGTCACTTGTGTATATTTTCACCAATCACCTTAAATTGGTCTTGACCTTTTCACCAATGAGAACATTTTCTCTCTATCGGTTCCATCTTGACCCCTCATGTTTTTGACTAAATCTATCATCAGGTATTCTCTCAACCTATACACAAGCAAAATGGTGCAGATGCTGCAAATCTGAAGTAAAAACAGTATGTGCTGGAAGCACTCAGCTGATCTGGAAACATGTGGAGTAGGAGGAAGAGAAGAGTTAATATTTCAGTTCGTGACCTTTCATCAGAACCTTTCTGAAATAATGATTACTGCCTGTTTCCATATGTGCTGCCGTACCTGCTAAGTATTTCCAGCATTTTCAGTTTTTACTTCACAACATTCTCTAGGGAGAACAACCTCACCTTTTATTTTGAGATGACTAATTAATCCTATTCTATTTCACATTACCAGGTCTGAAATAGCCGATTTCCTGGTTGGTTTGACAATATATTGTTCTACAAAACTATCTCGCACACACTCTGAGCTTGTCCTCAAAACTTCCTTTGTCTGTTTGGTTTGTCCAGTCTAGATCGAGGTTAAAGTCACCTCGATTACTGCAATACCTTTCTCAAGCCCTCCTTATTTATGTTTTGAGAGTATATATTGTATTGTGCTTACTGTTAAAGGAAGTATAGGCTACTCCCACCAGTAATTTCAACCCCCCCCCCCCCCCTCTTACCCAATTTGAGTCTACCTTTTGATTTTTTTTTTGAGCCAAGAGTGTTTCTCATTAGTCCCATTGATCAGTGACAGAACTAGCCATTTCGTTTTTCTTTCTACCTATCCTTTTGAAATATCAAGACTCTTCAATGTACGTTTCCAAGTCTTGTCACCATTGTATCCTATTGTGTCATATTCATTTATTCATACTCAATTGCGTGAGTATCTTGTTACGAATATTGTTTGTGTTTAGGTAAAAAGCCGTTTTTAATTATTTCCCGTTAATCTGAACCTGTTTGCTGGTGTATTGTTATGTACCTTGTGACCCTTCCTGTCACACTCTGCTAATCATTATCTATTACTGCCTTGTATTATTGCCTGCATTTTTTAAATTTAACTTTTCAGATTTCCCTTAATTTGAATCATCACTCCCAGCCCAACTATCAGATTAATTAGATGACACTTCATCAATATGCTCTGGAGGGACTGACCTCATCAAAACTCTCAATTATTTGGTCAAACACAATATGCCTTTGTTTTAGTTTTTTTAAAGACTTTTTTATTGATATTTAAGCCATTTATCTTAATCTAATCATTTTATTTTTTTCTATCCTAAGTGATTTTAAGTTGTTTTTAGCTTCCTAGTTTGCTATGTAATTCCTTCAATGTGAGCAGCTGCTTCCTCTGGCTGATATCATGGCTGCAGTTGCCTTGGAGATCCCTTTGACTTGACACCTGATTTAAACTGCAATTGGGGAAGAGAGAAACTGCACCATATGCATTGCTAGACCTCTGGGTAACTTTGATCAAGGTCCACATCAAGCACGATTCCTTCCCATTGACTACAAAATCTGGGCCGATCTATGGAAGTAGTTCTTGTAGAACCCTGCTTTTCTGACACAACACAGTGTACACTAGCATGAAGGGTATTTCAAAGAGATTCTAGACTTTTATCTCTACCATTAGTGTGAAATGTTATGAAATAGTAATACAGAAACACAGATTTTGAACAGTGAAATGTGATGCTTCACAGGAATAGGAATCTCATGTAGAAAAGACGAATCAAAAACATTAAATGATAACAGTAGGAAGCTGAGGTAATTTGCATGGCTATTAAATTCTACCAGCCAGGTGACTTCAGGATAGAGGAAAGTAGACATAAAAGGTACTATTAATTAAAACTGCATGGAGTTTTCTGAATGAATGAGTCAAATTTGCTTATCTGATGATCTAAGGGTTTCTATAATTGAATGATGCAAAAGAAAAACATAAGCATGTAGTATTTTTTGAAATGTGACTAGTTTTTCTCATTTGAAATGAAACCAGCTTTAGCTCTTTTCCTATCAGTGATGTATTTCAGTTATTTAAACCATTATTATGGCAACATTTACATTGTACAGTAAATGTTTAAAATGAGAAGAATTATGAAATGAATTTTGAGTTTTTGATTTCTGCAAATCTGTTTCTTTGATAGTGTGTTGGAAACTGGAAACTGATAACTGACAGCTACAATAAACTACATACCTGCATACTGGAAGTGGAATTTCCACTTGTTGAGCATGAATTGAAGAAGATTAATAAACAGCTGAGACCTGCCACAGAAACCTTAACATGGCAAACAGAGGATTCATGGGAATATATCCAGCAGACTAGAAAACAGATGCAAGATCTGAATAGTAGAATGCAGAAAATCAAATACAATGTGGAGGCAATTCATACAATAGTACATGACTGGAGTCATGCATTATTTTTTCTGCATAATAAATATGACTGTGCAACACTGTTCCTTGATAAGGAAGAGAAAATGACGAAATATTACAAATTCATTCAAGATGGAGGAGAATCAATTCACCAACTGGTTGAGGTAAGAGATTTATGCAATACTGCAATTACTGCAATATGAAAGTCAGGTTTTTAACGCAATTGTTTGTAGAGAACTTGGAGCATAGCAGATTATATAGATGATGCTATATTTGGATTGAGATCAAAATCAAAATTCTGGTTGATATCTGAATGTTTTCATTGACTTTTTAATTGCAAAACAACTTCTGTTATTGTTGCTATGGGAGATTTAGCAGTTACATGATACTGAGAGTTAACTCCCAAGTTTTGTTTACATTTAAAAATACAGGTTGACTCTGGTCAAGGCAGTGAATGATTTGTCATCTATTTTAAGTTGAGATAGATACATGTTCTTTCTGTCTGCAAAGAACAGGGCAATATGTAAAAATAGCAACATAGCACACAAGTGTGCCAGTTACCAGCCTCTCACTGACAACTGTAAATTGGTTTTCAGTGTAACTCTTAGAACATTTTGGATATTTCCTCGATAATCCTATCATGGAATCCCATCTAGTACAGCAAAAGGGACATGTCATTCGATACTATTTAGCAGTCTTTTTACGGCCTACAAACTTAGCATCACACTGGCATTGAAATTCATGTACTTCAGTATATGTTCGTGTGAGAGGAAGAACATCTTTTCCTCCAGATTGGAACATCAATTTAGCAGCAAATACCACTCGTGTTCCTACTGCAAAACGTTGTTTAAAAAAATTGAGCTTCATCTGTTGTTCAAATTTTTGAACTATTTTAATTTGAGGTAGGAGCAAATTATTCAGATGCTCGAATTTGTGCTGTAAACAAAAAAAGCTGGAAATCACAGCAGGTCAGGCAGCATCCATGGAGAGACAGCAAGCTAACGTTTCGAGTCCCAATGACTCTTCATCAGATCTGAAGAGGGCTCTGATGAAGAGTCACCTAGACTGAAAACATTAGTTTGCTGTCTCTCCCCGGATGCTGCCTGACCCGCTGTGATTTCCAGCATTTTAAGTTTGAGGTAGACGGGGCACTTCCAGAACCATGAGTTTGTATGATGTACAGCAAGAAATGATCTAATAGGGTAACTTTTATCTCACAGGATGGCTTTGAGCCTTATTTTGGCATCAAACTTTCATAGTCAGGAAATGACTTGGGCCCTAGGTAACAGATTGCTGATTAGACCAATCCTATTGGTCGTGGAACTGTAGGAATACCAATGCCAAGTGAAACTCATTGAAACTATGGAACTCATGAATGAACCTAAGGCTGCCACTTTGAATAGACCAAAGACTGCTGGATCGTATCAAACAACATGACCCTTCAATCATTTGCAAGAGGCAAGGTACTGGCTTCTCCCAGCCCATGCTTGCAAATCCCAAACTGAAGTGTTTAATGTTAGATAACAAAGTGTAGAGCTGGATGAACACAGCAGGACAAGCAGCATCAGAGGAGCAGGAAAGCTGATGTTTCGGATCGAGACCCTTCTTCAGACATGGGGGAGGGGAAGGGGATTCTGAAATAAATAGGGAGAGAGGGGGAGGCAGATAGAAGATGGATAAAGGAGAAGATAGGTGGAGAGGAGACAGACAGGTCAAAGAGGCGGGGTTGGAGCCAGTAAAGGTGAATGTAGGTGGGGAGTTAGGGAGGGGATATGTCAGTCCAGGGAGGACGGACAGGTCAAGGAAGCAGGATGAGGTTAGTGGGTAGGAGATGGGGGTGGGGCTTGAGGTGGGAGGAATGATTAGGGAGGTGGGGACGAGCTGGGCTGGTTTTGGGATGCGGTCGGGGGAGGGGCAATTTTGAAGCTTGTGAAGTCCACATTGATACCCTTGGGCTGCAGGGTTCCCAAGCGAAATATGAGATGCTGTTCCTGCAACCTTCAGGTGGCATCATTGTGGCAATGCAGGAGGCCCAGGATAGACATGTTGTCCAAGGAGTGGGAGGGGGAGTTGAAATGGTTCGCGACTGGGAGGTGTGGTTGTTTGTTGCAAACTGAGCGTAGGTGTTCCGCAAAGCAGTCCCCAAGCCTCTGCTTGGTTTCCCCGATGTAGAGGAGACCACAACGGGAACAGCGGATACAGTATACCACATTAGCAGATGTGCAGGTGAACATCTGTTTGATGTGGAAGGTTGTCTTAGGGCCTGGGATGGGGGTGAGGGGGGAGGTGTAAGGACAGGTGTAGCACTTGCTCCGGTTGCAGGGAAAAGTGCCGGGGGTGGTGGGGCTGGAGGGGAGTGTGGAGCGGACAAGGGAGTCACGGAGAGAGTGGTCCCTCCGGAAAGCCGATAAGGGTGTGGAGGGAAAAATGTCTTTGGTAGTGGGGTCAGATTGCAGATGGCGGAAGTGTTGGAGGATGATGCGTTGGATTCGGAGGTTGGTGGGGTGGTACGTGAGGACGAGGGGGATTGTGTTTTGGTTGTTATTGCAGGTAGGGGGTCTGAGGGATGAGTTTTGGGAAATGTGAGAGACACGGTCAAGGGCATTTTCGACCATTGTGGAGGGGAAGTTGCGGTCCTTGAAAAACGAGGACATCTGTGATGTCTGGGAGTGGAATGCCTCATCTTGGGAGCAGATGCGGCGGAGGCGAAGGAATTGGGAATAGGGGATGGCCTTTTTGCAGGAAGGTGGGTAAGAGGAGGTGTATTCTAGGTAGCTGTGGGAGTCGGTAGGCTTGAAATGGATATCGGTTTCCAGGTGGATGCCAGAGATGGAGACAGAGAGGTCCAGGAAGGAGAGAGAGGTATCAGAGATGGTCCAGGTGAACGTAAGGTTGGGGTGGAAGGTGTTAGTGAAGTGGATGAACTGTTCGAACTCCTCGTGGGAGCACGAGGCGGCGCCGATACAGTCAGCGATGTAACGGAGGAAGAGGTGGGGGATAGGGCCAGTGTAGCTTTGGAAAAGGGATTGTTCCACATAACCTACAAAGAGGCAGGCATAGCTTGGGCCCATGCGGGTACCCATGGCCACCCCTTTTGTCTGTAGGAAGTGGGAGGAATTGAAAGAGAAGTTGTTGAGGGTGAGGACGAGTTCGGCTAAGCGGATGAGGGTGTCAGTGGAGGGGGCCTGGTCAGGCCTGCGGGACAGGAAGAAGCAGAGGGCCTTTAGGCCATCTGTATGGGGAATGCAGGTGTATAGGCACTGGACGTCCATGGTAAAGATGAGGTGTTGGGGACCGGGGAATTGGAAGTTTTGGAGGAGGTGGAGAGCGTGGGTGGTGTCAGGGACGTAGGCAGGGATTTCCTGGACCAAGGGGGAGAAAATGGAGTCGAGATAGGTGGAGATAAGTTCGGTGGGGCAGGAGCAGGCGGAGACAATGGGTCGACCAGGGCATTCAGGTTTGTGGATTTTGGTAAGGAGATAGAAACGGGCGGTGTGGGGTTGGGGAATGATGAGGTTAGAGGCTGTGGGTGGGAGGTCACTTGAAGTGATGAGGTTGTGGATGGTTTGGGAGGTGATGGTTTGGTGGTCGGGGGTGGGATCATGATCAAGGGGGCAGTAGGAGGAGGTGTCAGAGAGCTGGCGTCTGGCCTCGGCGATGTAGAGGTCAGTGCGCCATACTACAACTGCGCCTCCCTTGTCCGCGGGTTTTCTGGTGAGGTTGGGATTGGAGCGGAGGGAGCGGAGGGCTGCACGTTCTGTGGGGGAGAGGTTGGAGTGGGTGAGAGGGGTGGAGAGGTTGAAGCGATCGATGTCTCGATGGCAGTTAGAGATGAAGAGGTCAAGGGAGGGTAGGAGGCCTTGGGGTGGTGTCCAGGAGGAGGGGGTGTGTTGGAGGTGGGAGAAGGGTTCAGTAGAGGGAGGGTTAGGCTCGCAGGTTAAAGAAGTAAGCACGGATGCAGCGGAAAAACTGTTCAATGTCCAAACGTGAGTTGTATTCGTCGATGTTTGGGTGGAGGGGGACAAAGGTGAGTCCTTTACTGAGGACTGACCGTTTGTCCTCAGTAAGGTGGAGGTCTGGGGGGATGGTGAAGACCAGGCAGGGCTGGGTGCTGCAGTCTCCTCTGGAGCTGCTGGCTGTGGAAGTGGTGGGCGGAGCGACGTAGGCGGTGGGCGGAGCGACGTAGGCGGTGGGCGGAGCGACGTAGGCCGGTAAATCTTGGATGTTGGTGGCAGCAGTGTCCTTGATGTCTGTGTTGTTGGCCTCGGAAACGGAGGCGGCGGCATCAGCAGCGGTGTCGATGGCGTTGGCTGTACCAAAGTGGCATACCGGGCGGCGGCGGATGTGACGTCATCCGTGGAAACTGTTGGTGCTCCGAAGGTGGCGACATGGCCAATGGCAGCGGGCACGTGGTGGGGAAGGTCCTGGGTAGGGTGGCAGGCACGAGTGAGTTTAAAATACTTTCGGTTTTTAGTGTCCAATAAAGCCGAGTAGAATTGTGAGTTCAGGTTGTGGATCTTACGAAGAATCAAAAAACAGGAGAGGTCCTTTGCAGGTCTGGGAGAGGGAGGCTCTGAGCTGGGGTACGCTCAATTGTAGTATCTGGAGATGCTGGCGCATTGCAGCGAGTGTGTATTTCAGGAGTCGCAGGGAGAAACGCTTCTGTAGGATATCAATGTTCTGAATGTAGCGGTCATCGTGGTTGGGGGCAAATTGGGAAGGCTTAAATGTAGACTGTAGTCCGTTGGGGATGATCCGGTTCCATAGGCAGGTACTCAGAAAGGTGATGTGGCTGTAGTCCCTGGCTTGCTTTAGGACGTGGTCGAGCAGTTTCAGGGCCGAAGAGATTACAAGAGGGTTGAAATGGGAGAGGGATACGCTGAGGTTTTTCTGGAGGGAGGCAGATAACTTATTTAAGGTGGGCATCCTTAGAAGAGGCTTTGCAGTGGGGTTAAAATTGTTACAGAGATATTAGGAACTGCCGATGCTGGAGAATCTGAGATAACAAGGTGTAGAGCTGGATGAACACAGCAGGCCAAGCAGCATCAGAGGAGCAGGAAAGCTGACGTTTCGGGTCGAGACCCTTCTTCAGAAATGGGGTAGGGGAAGGGGATTCTGAAATAAATAGGGAGAGAGGGGGAGGCAGATAGAAGATGGATAAAGGAGAAGATAGGTGGAGAGGAGACAGACAGGTCAAAGAGGCGGGGTTGGAGCCAGTAAAGGTCAATGTGGATGGGGAGTTTCCTGCAAAAAGGCCATCCCCTATTCCTTCGCCTCCGCCGCATCTGCTCCCAAGATGAGGCATTCCACTCCCGGACATCACAGATGTCCTCGTTTTTCAAGGACCGCAACTTCCCCTCCACAGTGGTCGAAAATGCCCTGGACCGCGTCTCTCGCATTTCCCACAACTCATCCCTCACACCCCCTATCTGCAATAACAACCAAAACAGAATCCCCCTCGTCCTCACGTACCACCCCGCCAACCTCTGAATCCAACGCATCATCCTCCAACACTTCCGCCATCTGCAATCTGACCCCACTACCAAAGACATTTTTCCCTCCACACCCTTATCTGCTTTCCGGAGGGACCACTCTCTCCGTGACTCCCTTGTCCGCTCCACACTCCCCTCCAGCCCCACCACCTCCGGCACTTTTCCCTGCAATCGGAGCAAGTGCTACACCTGTCCCTACACCTCCCCCCTCACCCCCATCCCAGGCCCTAAGAAGACCTTCCACATCAAACAGATGTTCACCTGCACATCTGCTAATGTGGTATACTGTATCCGCTGTTCCCGTTGTGGCCTCCTCTACATCGGGGAAACCAAGCGGAGGCTTGGGGACCGCTTTGCGGAACACCTACGCTCAGTTCGCAACAAACAACTACACCTCCCAGTTGCAAACCATTTCAACTCCCCCCTCTCACTCCTTGGACGACATGTCTATCCTGGGCCTCCTGCATTGCCACAATGATGCCACCTGAAAGCTGCAGGAACAGTATCTCATATTCCGCTTGGGAACCCTGCAGCCCAAGGGTATCAATGTGGACTTCACAAGCTTCAAAATCTCCCCTCCCCCGACCGCATCCCAAAACCAGCCCAGCTCATCACCACCACCCTAACCATTCCTCCCACCTCAAGCCCCACCCCCATCTCCTACCCACTAACCTCATCCTGCTTCCTTGACCTGTCCGTCCTCCCTGGACCGACCTATCCCCTCCCTAACTCCCCACCTACATTCACCTTTACTGGCTCCAACCCCGCTTCTTTGACCTGTCTGTCTCCTCTCCACCTATCTTCTCCTTTATCCATCTTCTATCCGCCTCCCCCTCAGTCCCTATTTATTTCAGAATCCCCTTCCTCTCCCCCACTTCTGAAGAAGGGTCTCGACCCGAAACGTCAGCTTTCCTGCTCCTCTGATGCTGCTTGTCCTGCTGTGTTCATCCAGCTCTACACCTTGTTATCTGAGATTCTCCAGCATCGGCAGTTCCTACTATTTCTGTTTAATGTTAGACATGATTGAAAAGTATCTAACTTTTTCAAATGTACTGAGTTATGATTTTGAATTATCCTAAATTGTGAAGAATTACACTATCAAATAAAGTTGTTGGACCTGTAGTGCCTCATAATTGCATGAACTGAAAGCTACATATATTAATACTCAGGTCCCAGGTCTTTGCAGACAGCAAACATGTACGCACATTGCATCAGTTTACCTTAACAAATAAGTGACCGTCATTCTCTGCTCCATTCTTCAGGGCAACATCCTAATCACTCATAGAGTTGAAAGGCAGAATCCTTCTGATGGTGGGGTTGCCCACCTCACCACTTGAGAAGTCATCCGGAAATGCATCTGACCAATCAAGGCCACCCTGCAGCCACTTAATGAGGAACATTAATTGTATGGAGGCAAGATTTCTGCCTCTCATTCAGACAGAAGTCCTGCTTCTGCGACCTTCCAGACTATCTAAATAACAGGCAGTTCTAATTGCAGCAGAACCACAAGGCGCAATGGCCACTGCTGGGATTAAAGGCAGTCCACTAAGCCAGAGTGAAAGGGTCTAAGGGCACAAAGATGTCCAGGCTATGTGGATTGGCTATGCTAAATTGCCCATATAGTCTAGGATGGGAAATGCAGGGATAGAGTAGGGTGTGTGTCTGGGTGGAAGCCCCTTCTCAGGGTCTGTGTGGACTCGATGGGCTGAATGACCTGCTTCCACACTGTAGCGATTCTATGATTCACACGGAAGGGCAATGTCTCTGAGGACAGAGACAGCTCTGAACTGATGCTGTTGAGGAGGCTGGGGTTTGTGATTTGAGGGGCAGCCAGGAGATGACTACCCAATGGGTCCAAACCTTGTGAGGAGGCATCCAGTTTTAAGATATGACCAGTATGAGACGTAACCTCCCTTTTCCCTCTCTGGCTACCTACTGCTGTTGAGTTGGGGTCAGGGCAGGAAGTGACCACAAATTGGCCCACTTTAGGGTCCCAGTGGTGGAAGGGACATCCCAAGCCTCGCCTGCCCCAGGTAAAATTGTAGTCAAGTAGAATAATGACCACCTTGGGATATGAACTGGTCTCCTTGCATGCAGAACTGCTAGTAGGGGACCTTAAAATTCCACCTGACGACTTGCCATGTACATGTGTATCAAGTATAAGCATATGAATGTTGAAGTTCATAGTTTAGTACATTTTATAAAAATGCCTTCTAGAAATTTAATTTATTTTGAATCAGGTCATTCTTTACTAAATCCAAACTTCCAAGCTTATACTTATTTAAATTTTTTTTTGTTAAAAGCTTAGAGTAAACTTGCGGATTAAATGATGCTTAAGTTACAAATATGTGCCTTTATCCCCCTCTGGGAATTGTTAGGACATTTGCTTTAGGAATACACACCATACTAATCCATTTTGTATTTTAGATTAAAAAGTTAACGTTTTGCTTCACAACTACTGAGTAGATTCACGTTGTTTGCACCCAACTGGTACATTTCTGTTTAAAAATTTGCAACCGGTGTAACTTTAAAGTAATAAAAGCCAGGCTTAAGATATTTGTGGTGAACTGCATTTTCATAAATTATAAGAAACTTGGATAGACTTTGTCTTTTCTCTCGCAAATTGTTATCTTAAATTATCTTCATTTTGAAGCATTGAATTGTAGCACTTTGTTTTGATTTCAGTTGAACAGTTTTTTTGTGCAATATTGCTTAAGTTTTATTGTGACATGAATTTCCCCTTTGTTTTTATTTATATCACATCTTGATATCTAGAACGCAATTGCACATTTATGCAGAGATTAACCATTTCTTATGTTGTGAAAAAAAATGAAATTTTCTTTTCCCCCATGTTTATAGGATAATCTTCACCTGTTCTGTGCAGATCCCCAGGCTGATGAATGGAAGGTGTACACTGAGTACATTGATCGCATAATTTTAGATGGGTTCTACATTATTATTAAATCCTTCCTTCAATATCTAAATGAATGTACAGAAACTTTGCCAAAGTCATCACCTCAGTTCGAAGTGCAGCTGGTCCTTAATGGGTGTGAATTGTCATTCAGTCCTCCCTTGGACCTGGAAAAGGAGGACAACTTCTATGATCTCATAGAAGAATTAATAAATGATATATACAAAATGGCCTCTAAAGTAAAAAGAGTAGCAAAACATCTAGGAATTGACAACTATCAGGTATTTCACTAGATTATTTTCAGCTCAAAGAAGTAACTTTTCCTCGGCTAGGTAGTTGTGTGTGATTTCAAGATGACTGTACATGTTTTACAGCTAACAAAGTACGTTTGAAAGTTTGATACTTGTAACGTGAGAAATGCAGCATTTAAATCCCACTTTTAATAAGTAATCAGATTATCTGTTTTTGGTGAAAAACTTGGTTGAATGTTGCCATAGTATCTTCTATATCACCTGGGAGTGCAGACAGGTATTTGATTCACTTGTAAGATGGTGTCACCAATACTGCATCACTCCTTTAGTACTGTTTTGAGGTAATCACTTAGATTATAGGCACAAATCTATGGAATGTAACACAAATCTATGGACCCATTAATTACTGACTCAGAAGTGAGAATGAAGCAAGGGTGGCCCTAAAATACTTAATAGGTAAAGAAAATAAAAAGGAGAGAACATAGAGTTAAAGAGTGAATGACTTAGTGAATTCTGTTGCACTGCGTCAGAGATGTTGTGGAACAAACTGGAACTAAGATCCCTTGTTGCAGAGGGTAATTCTGATCTTCATTCAGCAATCCACCTACTTGCCTGGAATGAATTGCCAACTAGAAAGCTTGGAATTTGATCCCTGTGCATGTTGGATCAATTGGGCAGTGAGAAAGGCCTAGCAATAAGCCAGAGGGTTAGAAAACCATGGAATCCTTAAGCTGGAAGAGCAGGCAAAGCTTTGAAAGGCTGCAACTCAAAACATGCAGCGCTTGAAACTTTGGGTTAGGGCATATGCCCAGATCCCTGGAAAACAGTTTGTGACTTTGGCTCAGAGATAGTAGGAACTGCAGATGCTGGAGAATCTGAGATAACAAGGTGTAGAGCTGGATGAACACAGCAGGCCAAGCAGCATCAGAGGACCAGGATGGCTGACGATTCGGGCCTAGACCCTGATTTCTGAAGAAGGGTCTAAGCCCGAAATGTCAGCCTTCCTGCTCCTCTGATGCTGCTTGGCCTGCTATGTTCATCCAGCTCTACACCTTGTTATCTCTGTGACTTTGGCTCAACGGACAACACTGTTGCCTAATAGTGCCATTGTAACTTTAACATCCACTTTAATGAAGGTACAAATCCTTGCTTTAACATGGCATTCAGAACACTTCAACAGTACAGCACTCTCAGTTTTGCTTTGGGTGTAGGTGTAGATTTGATGCTGAAATTTCAAATGGAATCTGATTTCGGCAAGAGTGCTAGCCATTGATTCACAGTTGACCCAGTGTCTATTTATATGGGGTCAGGAGAATGCCCAATTAATGCTTGCCACCCACAATCTCTTGAACACAATATACAAATGACAGCTGGTTGTGTGCTGAAGCTTCAGATTCTATTGTGCTGGATATTAAGGAAATTAAGCACTTAGTTCCCTTTTCAAAAGGTGACGGTATGGTCAACCACACCCATACTTGGGAAAATCCTACATTTGGAGGATGTTCAGACAGTTTTATTTATTCAAGGGATGTGGGCAGTGTTGGCAAGGATGGTATTTATTGCCAATTCCTAACTGCCTGGAAGAAGGTGGTGGTTAGCTGAATACGACTTGAAATATTAAGTACATATGTGTTGGTACACCCATAGTGCTGTTAAGGAGGGATTTCAAGGATTTTCATTCAATGACCAGGGAGTGGTGAAATAGTTCTGAGTCAGGTTGATGCGAGACTGAGAACAGCACTTGCAGGTGGTAGTTTTCCCATTTGTCTGCTGTCCTTATCCATTCTCAGTGGTAGAGGATGAGAACTATGGACGATCCTGTCAAAGGAACCTCAGCAAATTCCTACAATATATCTTGTAGATGATTTGTACTATTCCAGTGTGTGTGGTGATGCTGCAGGGGGTGAATGTTTTAACAATCATGACTATGTTTCTGTGTTTTAGGTACCATTTCAACCAGTGAAGAGCTTTTCCCCCTTGTTCAGTTAACTAGTTTTGCTCAGACTCCTTGATGCCACACATTTCCGTTTTTGTTTCTGATTTACAGCATCCACAGTTCTTTTGGTTTTTATTACTTGTAATCAATATTATCTGGCTTCTTTAGTGTAACTTTTTGCCCGTTGTTGGACTAAGGTTGTAATGAGGTGTAAAGCCTGGTGCAACTCAGCCAGAGCATTGACGGGCAACTTGTTGCACCTCGTTACCACTTGATATCACTGGCAGCAGCATCTTCTGTTACTTTGACAATTGAGAGCAGTCTGTTGAACAGATTAGATTTTACCGTGAGCAGTTTTCTACATTGTCAGATAAAAAAGTAAGAACAACAGGCAGGAGTAGGTCACTTGACTTCTCAAGACTGCTTTTTCATTTTAATAAGATCGTGTTTGATCTGATTGTAACCTCAAATCCACATGGCAACTTTTTGCCCCCTTGCTTACCAAAAATGTATCCACTTCTGCCTTAAAAATATCCAGATGTTCTGATTCTGCCACCTTTTCCAGGAAGAGAATTCTGAAGACTAATGACCATCTCAATGAAAAAAGATGATTTCTTCTCTGCTTTTAATGGCAACCCCTTATATTTTAGTGGTAATCCCTAGTTCTGGATTCTCCCACTAGAAGAAACATCCTCTGCGCGTTCAACTTCTCAAAACCTCTCAGGAACTTATTTCAGACAGATCACCTCTTACTCTTCTAAACTTCAATCTGGTGACACTTCTTCATCAGAATCCCCAACTAAAGGGAAATAGTTTATCTACCCTGTCTTTTCCTGTTAACGTCTTGAAGATTTCAATCAGATCACCCCTTAACCTTCTAAATTCTGGAGAAAACAGGCCTAAGATTTGTAATCTCTCCTTGTAACTTAATCTCTGAAGTCCAATTATTATTCTTGTAAACCTACATTGTACTCTCTCCAAGGCCAATATATCCTTCTTAAATTCTGGTACCCAGATCTAGTCACGGTACTCCAAGTGGAGTCGAACCAAAGTTTTGTATAACTGCAGCACTGTAAATATAAAGGCCAGCATTCCGTTAGCTCTCTTGATTTATTTTCTCCACCTGCTTGTGATGTTTTAAAGATCTGTGCATTTGAATCCCCAAGTGTTTTTGGACAGCCAATGTATTTAACTTCAGATCGTTTGGAAAGTAAACATCTGTCCTTTTATGGTCCAAAATGATTAATCTCTCACTTGCTTATATTGAACTCCATCTGCCACAGTTTTGTTCATTCACTTAATCCATCAGTATCCCTTTGTAATTTTATGCTATCATCTACACTATCTGTAATACCACCTAACTTTGTGTTATCAGAAAATATGAATGTATGACTCTTTATGCCATTATTCAAGTCATTAGTAAATAATGTGAATCATTTAGGCACTAATACAGATCCTTATGCGACACGACTGGTTGCATCCCTGGCAATTTGAGTACTTAATCATTCTTCAAACTTACTGTCGCCTGACCTAATATTAAATGCATCTTATGAAATTCTGAGGAATGAATTTTGAGAAACAAAATTGCTGTGTGTAGGACAAAATACTCACTTGTTCTAAACTAACTAGTAGCAAAAGTTGAACATGTTTTCAAGACAAAAACAGAAATTGCTGGAAGAGCTCAGCAGGTCTGACGAAAATCAGAGTCAGTGTTAATGTTGCAGGTCATCTGACCCTTCCTCCTGTATCTGTGCAAGGGTCACTCGACCTGCAATGTTAACTGATTTCTCTCCACAGATGCTGCTAGACCTGCTGAGCCTTTTTGTTTTTGTCTCTGATTTACAGCATCCGCAGTTCTTTCGGTTTTTATTGTACATGTTTTAATTTCTGTATACAGCAAGAAGTATATACAATGAGTGATTTGGCTGCAATGCATCAAGAGATCATGAAAAAAGTGAAAAGAGCTGTTGACAAAGCAACAAAATATCAAACTTCTTTTGACAAGTACAGTTATTTGTGGATGAATGACCAAAAAGAATTCATGAGGCAGTTTCTCCTCTATGGTCGTTTTCCGTCTTCAGAGGAGCTGGAAGTTCAAGCAGACTGTGGACTTCCAGAGAGTCCACCTCAACTGGAGCAATTTAGAGAACAGGTAAGATATCTTAAGCATTTGCTAATTCATGAGAAAACATCAATTGGTGTCTCCCTTCTTGCTGCAGTAAGCTATGAAAAGGACACAAGGATGCTACAAAAACATGTAGATAGCTTAAATACATGGACAAAGATCTGACAAATGGAGTATAATGTGGGAAAATATGCAATTGTCCTTTTTTTTTGGCTGGAAGAACTTTAAAAAGTCTGTTACCTACATAGACATTGCAGGCCTCTTGGGTACAAATAATTCTGGGTATCTTAGTGCATGAATCACACTAGTATGCAGGTACAGCAAGTAATGAGGAAAGCTAGTAGAATATTATAAATTACTGTGAGGCAAATTAAATACAGAAATAGTGGTGTTATTCTGAAGTTACACAGAGACCTGATGATATCACAACTGGAGTGCTATGTACGGTATTGGTCTTCTCACTTAGAAAGAATGTAAATACATGAAAGCAATTCAGAGGAAGTTACCGGACTAATATCTGAAGTGTGTAGGTTGTCTTATGAGGACAGGTTTGTCAGGCTAGGCTTCTATCTGCTGGAATTTACGAGTATAAGAGATGACTTGTTTGAAGCTTAAGATCTTGAGGGGTCTTGATGGATTAGAGATAGGAAGAACTGCCAATGCGGGAGTCAGAGAAAATATAGTGTGGAGCTGGAGGAATACAGCAGGCCAGGCAGTATCAGAGGAGCAGGAAAGTTGACGTTTCGGTTCGGGAACCTTCTTCAGAAATGGGGGAGGGGGAAGGGACAGATTAGATGTTTTCTCTTTAGGAAGAATCTTGAATTAGCGGCTACTATTTAAAGATAAGAGGTTTTAATACTGGGATGAGGCAAAGTTTTTTTTTCCTGAGAAGGTTATAGGTATTTGAAATTTGTTTCCAGAAAGGTGGTGAAGGCAGAGTCTTTGAATGTTTGTAAGGCAAAGAGGGATAGCTTATTCGTAAGTAATGAGGGATAAGCAGGAATGTAGGTTTGTGGTTACAATCAAATCAACCAGGCTTCAGGGGTTGTATAGCTGACTTGTGCTCTTTGTTAGAATTAGATTTTATTGTCCTATATACTCAAGTACAAGGATATAGGAGTACACCGAAAAGTGTACAAAATTTCCATTCCTGGTGTTAGTCATTGTGTACCCAATTGTGTTGGGCATTTTAGGACTTTACAATTTATCTCCATGAGTAACAGCATAAATTGGCTGCATTGGCATTCTGTACCATGGAGAGGTAAGACACAGTTGACTATATAGTTCTGCCTGTCAGTTCATAATTTCAACCATACCATTTGAGGAAATGGCGAAAGCTGAATCAGAGGTTTGGGGAGAAATAATTTGGAAATTTCTAAATTGGAGGATGGTATTTTGCAAGAAGGAACATAAAATACAGTGGATAAGTAGCTTTCAAAATGAAGAGAAAACGTGAATTGTAAAATTACGTTCAAGAATCTTTAACAGTCCTTACACATTAGGTATACCATGATAGCTGATATTGACGGTTGTCCCTCCTTGGGTTCTGCTCCTGTGCTTTTGAATGTGTTGTCAAACTCGTCTCCTCAAGAAAACAACCCCTGCCCACTCCCTTCTGGCAAACTACCATGTCATCTTCAGCCTTTCTATCTTTCGCAAGGTCAACTCTTGTCTTCCAAAGTTAGGCGCAGCTTTGCTGAAATCCCTTCTAATAGATTTTCGCCCTTGCCATAATACTGAAGTGAACCTTCTGAAGTGAACATGAAGGTTTGTGAGGTCTTCTCGATTGAGAGGCTGAGTCTGCTCTCTTTCAGTGAACTGATTCTTGTGTTGTCTTCATCTCCATCCCGAGTGGGCAATGGAAATGAAAAATGGCTTCTGCCATTTCTAAAGTGGGTGGAATAAGTGCTTTTTTTATCTTTGAGGGAATAGGTTCTATTTGTGAGGAATGTGAGGCTCTTCAAAGGGCAATTGCATTAATCAGACACTTGCACGTTACAGGTAATGTCATTTGTTATCCTGGAATTCTGGATAAGAACCTCACGCATCGACTCACTGTTGACTGCAAATCCTGGCCACAAGTAATCTTGACCATGCGAAAGAATGTTACAAATTAATTCTAATAATGGCTGTGGAGCAAAAGTAATGTCAGCTGAACTATAAAGTTTTACTCCGGTTCCACAATTCACCAACACAACCAAGTTTTTACAGCCTGCGCAGGCTCCAGGTGTTGCTTACCTCACAGCTTGGAGAATGAAATATCCAAACCAACTTCTTGAATGCACTGCTGTCATTCTTTGGTGCTGTGGGCGTGGGGGTACAGGGAGAAGTACGTTGTGCAGCAGAGAAGTGAATCAGGTCAGCAAAGTGAAGGGTCCATATTGAGATATCCCATTGCCCATCTTGTTGGAGGCCTCTGTGTCCCGAAGTATCAAGACATCTCTGATTCCCTGGGCCTTTAGATTCCAAACAATTCCTAGCGATCTCCTTCTGATCCACTGCAGTGGTAGAGTGGCCAAACATGGTGGTGTTTTTTGGGATGAGATGTTAAACTGAAGCACTGTGAGCCCTCAACTGGTGGATGTACTACTTCGAAGAAGAGAAGGGGAGTTATCCCCCAAATGCTCACTAAATTTTTTCTGTCAATCAACATCACATTTCTGTTTGTGGGAACTTGTTGTGTGCACATTAGCTTCCTTGTTTCTTACATGACAATGACTAAACTATACAATAATTTCATTGGCTGTAAAGCAGATTGTCTCATCCAGTGGCCATGAGCATTTTTTAACTTGCCTGTTAAGATGTTAATCACAGATCCAGCTCTGCCACAAGGATTTCCTGCGGGCTGGCAATACACTTGGGCAGAATGTCTGGACATGCCAGAAAATTTGCCATGGTATAATGCACATGAAGTGACACTTGACCACCCTGACAGGTTGCAGCTCTACCCCAAACTTCATGTTCAATGAGAAGAGCTATCAGTGTTATATCTCTGCAGTATATTGTTGTGCAACTACTAATTGAGTAGTTGACTTTTTAAGTCTTAAACATTTTGACTGGTATTTGGAGTAACCAGCCTCAGAAAAGCTCAGGCTAGATCTTTGTACAAGTAGTATATATACAATATTTAGAACTTGGTATACATAGTATGGCTATATATTTTCATTTATTTAACCAAATATTTAGCAAAACCTTTTTCTGAATACAGTGTTATTGCCAAAGTGCTTAAAGAAAAGTGGAATAGACATAAATAGGCCCACTTTTATCTAAGATCATAATCATCATTCTGGCCTCAGGCAGTACAAACTACTTTCGCGTTTAATGAAATAACTAAATTAGTATTTGAATCAGCTGAAGAAAAGTCTTTTGTCCATATCTCAGTAAACATGTAGTATAATTTACTATTGGTATGCAATAAAATTGTAACTTAGTGTGATTTTTAAAATTACCTTTTTCTAGATCAATATTTATGAAACATTATATGTCCAAGTTAGTGCCTTTGAAGATGCTCACACTTTTGGATGGCTTCAAGTCTGCATTAAACCATTCAAATTATCTTTGTTAAATATAATAAAAAGATGGAGCTGGATATTTAAGGAACACCTTCTACACCGTGTGGTCGATAGGTAAGGTGACAAGGAAATACTAATGCACTAGTTTCTGTTGTTTATTTCACAGATTCTGTACTAGATGGGCAATGTATCTTTAAAATGGATGACATCATGCCATGTGATATTCTGGCATAAAGGTACCCACCTTGCCTTCAATCACACCTTTGGATGAGGAGATGTGTAAAGAGGCTTGTGAAGTGCATAAACACTAGCACAGACTGATTAGGCTGAATGAATAGTTTCTGTGCTGTGTATCCTATGTAAATCAATGTCTACCTTTTCTGCAATTCTCTGTTTAAATCTCTCATACCCAAGATTAAATCCCAAGTAGCATCCACTGTGACTTACCATTTTATGTTGTATCACCTCATCCTGTTTGACCTCATAACAGCTTTGAACGTGGTTAACCACACTACCTCCATACTCTGTTGTCCAGCTCATTGGATTGCACATGCTTGGCTCCACTCTTACCTCTCTGTAGTCACAATGCCTGCTGTAAGAACTTCACTGCACACCTGGGACAGTTACCTTCACGGATCTCCATTGAGATAATTATGACTTGGTAAATATTTGCTGCTGGTGAGTGACATCGTGCACACACTTGGGGTCAGGTCCCATATTTATGTTGATGTCATCCAGTTCTATCTTTCCCTTACAGCTGATGATCAATTCGTTGTCACTGTGTTTCAAGGCATTCAATCTTGGGTGAAACACAACTTCTTCCAGCCAAATATGATGAGATTGTAACTATCATATTTGCTATGTGCCACAAACACCTTTGTGATATCTCTGCAAATGATTCCGTCCTCACCTCATTTCACTGAGTCATTGAGTCGTACAGCATTGAAACAGATCTTTGGCTCAACCTGTCCATGCTGCCCAGGTAGGCCAATTTAAATTAGTCCCATTTGCCTGTGTTTGGTCCATACCCCTCTAAACCTTTTCTATCCATGTACCTGTCCAAATGTCTTTTAGATGTGGTAATTGTACCCATCTCTGCCACTTCCTCTGGCAGCTCATTTCCATATATACATCACCCTCTGTGTGAAAACATGGCCCCTCAGGTCCCTTTCAAATCGTTCCCTTCTCACCTTTAAGCCTATGCTATCTAGTTTTGATCTCCCTTACTCTGGGGAAAAAGACCTTGGCTATTCTCCTTACCTATGCCCCTCATGAATTTATAAGCCTCTAAAAGGTCATCTGTCAACCTCCTATTCTCTAGTGAACAAAGTCCCGGCCTATCCAGCCTATTTTTAGAACTCAAACCCTCCATTCCCGGTAACATCCTGGTAAATCTTTTCTGAATCCTCTCCCATTTAATAATATCCTTCTTATACCAGGGCAACCAGAACTGCACACAGTACTTCAGAAGAGGCCTCACCAACGTCATGTACAACCTCAACGTGCCGTCCCAATTCCTCTACTCAAAGGTCTGAGCAATGAAGGCAAGCATGCTAATTGTCTTCTTAACCACCCTGCCTACATGTGATGCCACATCCAAGGAACTATGTGTTGGCACTCCTTGATCTCACTGTTCAACAGCACTCTTTGAGGCCCAACCATTAACTTTGTAAGTCCATGTTTTACCAAAGGGCAACATTTTGTATTTATCCAAATTAAACTGCACCTGCCATTCCTCAGTCCACTGGCCCAGTTGATCAAGATCCTGTTGTATTCTAAGATAGCCTTCTTCACTGTCAACTATATCACCAATTTTGGTGTCCTCTGCAAACTTACTAACCTTGCCTCCTATATTCTCATCCAAATCGTTTATGTAGGTGGTGAACAACAATGGTTTCAGCACCAATCCTTGCAGCACAGCACTGGTCACAAGCCTCCTGTCTGAAAAGCAACCCTCTACCACCACCCTCTGTCTCTACTGTCAAGCCAATTTTGTATCCAATTGGTTAGCTCTCCCTGGATCCCATGTGATCTAACTTTACTAACCAGTCTACCATGTGGATCCTTGTCGAAAACCTTGCTAAAGTCCACGTAGACAATGTCTGCCACTCTGCCTTCATCCATCTTCGTGGTCACCTCTTCAAAAAACTGAATCAAGTTTGCGAGACGCAATTTCCCATGCACAAAGCCATGTTGACTATCCCGAATCAGTCCTTGCCTTTCCAAATACATGTAGATCCAGTCTCTCAGACTCCCCTCCAATAACATACCCAACACTGACTTCAGGTCCACTGGACTGTAGTTCCCTGGCTTTTCCTTCCAACATTTCTTAAATTATAGCGCAACATTAGCCACTCTCCAGTCTTCCAGCACCTCACCCGTGACTATCAATGATACAAATATCTCTGCTAGGGTCGGCATAATTTCTTCCCTAGTGTCCCACAACATCTTGGGATATTCTTAAACAGGTCCTGGGAAATTATCTACCTTTGTGTTTGAAGACCTCCAGTACCTCATCTTTGGTAATGTGGACTCTTTTCAAGGGCGTGACTATTTATTTCCCCGGGTTTCTTAGCTTCCATGTCTTTATCCACAGTAAATACTGATGTAAAATATTCATTTAGGACCCCACCCATCTCCTGTGATTCCACATATAGATGGCCTCATTGATTTTTAAAGGGCCCTATTCTCTCCTTAGTTACTCTTTTGCCCTTTATACTTGTAGAATCCCTTATCTGCCAAAGCTGTCTCATGTTCCTTTTTTGCCCTCCTGATTTCCTCCTTAAGGTTTTGTGTGGGGGAGGTCATGCCTCACTAACTTGGTCAAGTTTTTTGCGGAGGTGATGAAGATGATTGATGAGGGAAAAGCAGTTGATATTGTCTACATGGACTTCAGTAAAGCATTTGATAAGGTCCCTCATAACATGGCACTTCACTTTTTGTACCAGTCTATCGGGGTGAGCTGGCAAGATGGATACAGAACTGACGTAGTTATAGGAGACAGAGGGTAGCAATGGAAGGATGCTTTTTGGAATGGAGGGTTGCAACTAGTGGTGTTCCACAGAAATCAATGCTGGGACCTCTGCTGTTTGTGGTCTACATAAATGATTTGGAGGAAAATGTGGCTGGTCTAATTAGTAAGTTTGAGGATGATACGAAGATTGGTGGAGTTGCGGATAGTTAGGAGGATTGTCAGACCATACTACAGGATATAGATCTGTTGGATGATTTGGCAGAAACAAAGCACATGGAGTTTAATCCAGACAAATGTGAAGTGATGCATTTTGGAAGGCCAAGTACAGGTGGAAATCATGCAATGAATGGTAGAATCCTTAGGAGTATTGATATGCAGACGAATCTGGGTGTGCGGGCCCACAGATCACTGAAGGTGGCAGTGCAGGTAGATAAGGTAGTACAAAAGGCTTGTGACAGACTTGCCTTCATTGGAAGTGGCATTGAGTATAAGAATAGGCAAGTTATGCTGCAAATTTACAGAACTTTGGAATAACACAACAATATGGTTGAATCTTAACTGCCCTCTGGCCAATTAGCGATGGGCAATAAATGCTATCCTAGCCAGCGATGCCCTCATCCCATGAATGAATAAATTTTTAAAAATTGCATCTAGTTCTGATCATCACACAAACAAAAGGATGTGAACGTTTTGGAGAGGGTACAGAAAAGGTTTATCCAGATGTTGCCTGGTATGGGGGATTTTAGCTATGAAGAAAGGCTGGCTAGACTGGGTTTGTTTTCACTGGATCGCAGGAGGTTGAGGGACGACCTGATAGAAATTTATAAGATTGTGAATGGCATGGATAGAGTGGAAAGTATGAGGCTTTTTCCCAGGTTGGAGGGGTCAATTATAGGGGGATCCAGGTTGAAGGTGCAGGGGGCTGTTTAAAAGAGATGTGAGAGGCAAGTTTTTCAGAGTGGTGAGTGCCTGGAACGTGCTGCCAGAGGAGGTAGTGGAAGCAGACACAGTAGCAGCATTCAAGAAGCACTTGGACAAATACATGAATAAGAAGGGAATAAAGGGATATGGATCCTGTGAGTGAGGACAATTTTAATATGGAAGGGCAAAATGTGTCAGCGCAGTCTTTGAGGGCTGAGGGGCCTGTTCCTGTATTGTTCTTTGTTCTAAGTGTACTCCTACAGTTCCTGTATTCCTCAACGGATTCATTTCATCCCAGCTGTCTGTATCTGACATGCCGCCTCCTTTTTCTTGACTAGAGCCTTGATATCTCTAGTCATCAGTGTTCCCTACTCCTGCTAACCTTGCCCTTGAGAACCTCAATGTTTTATTTATATCAATTCATTGTTATAAATACATATTATCTGCATCTCCAACCCATCTCAATCTTACCTCTCCCAAAATCCAAAGGCCGAGTTTTACAGAGGTGAATGGGTGTATTGTTCACACCACAAGCCAGCTCTGGCCAGTTCTTTAAATGTAACTTTTTTAAAAATGGAGGCACCCTCCCTGTCTTACTTGACATGATAGACTCCAGCTTTCCTGGTGATCTCCAACGGAACCATCCAGCTTCAAGATCCACCCAGAACTCTTAATTAAATGGTGAATGTGCTGTCTGGTTAGCATTTTAACTAATTCAGGGAAAGACCCTGTCAGCTCACCCTTGATATCGGCGTCCTGAGCCAAAACTTAAGTCAGCTCAAGGTAACACACGAGGCGAAAACAGGAAGTGTTTTGGTCTGTCGCTATTCTGCACTTGGACCTGAGATATTTTCTCTAGAGCCAGCTAATAACTTTAATGTTAATACTACGGTAGTTCCGTTCTTGTAGATTTTCTGCTACTTTGTCTTTTCAGTGTAAATCAGTTGCTGTCATTTATTACTGTAACTGAGGAAGGAATTGCAGAAAAGGTCCGGGATGGTGATTATACTGGACTGGTTCAAATCATGACACATCTAATGGCAATCCGAGACCGGAAGTCAGCTGCAGATGATACTTTTGAATCTCTGAAAGAAACAGCAGAATTATTAAAAACCTGTGGACAGCAGCTTCCTGAACACGTTTATGCTGGGCTTGCGGTAAATACCTTGTATTGAAGCAATAATCTTTGGTGTCTATCAAATTTCTTTTGGAATCATACTTGTATTTGTTTTTAATTTATAATTGTACCTATAATTGTTTTAGGTTTGGTCTGTTGAAACATTAGCCCATGAAATTTTCAACCTTGTATATTACTATTTTCTAACTAGTCAATATCTAGAATATTTTAAAATTAGAGAGCAGAATCCATGCTTTTTGTTAAATGTGGCAATCCAAATATTTTCTCTTATTTCGATCTCTTGCATATGCATTTAACTCATGATCTGATAACATTGGATCCAGCACAAAAAAAACTTAAACCTTGCTGCTGTTGTGCTTTGTAATTGTTTTCCAAATCTGTTGCTTTCCACCTTTTTTTCATAGAGGTAGAGTTGAGAAAGTTGCAAATTAACATTATAAATCTCTTTTAAAACAAAAATGCTGGAAATCACAATGGGTCAGGCAGCATCCGTGGAGAGAGAACAAGCTAATGTTTTGAGTCTAGATGACTCTTCATCAGAGCATAATTCTTTGGTTCTGCATGAGTGAATGATTGTAGATGTGGTACTCTCAGAAAATACAAAGTGTAAAAAATCTGCTTTTAGTTGTTCCTTCTTGACACATGCTGGACTATTAGACACCTGTTAAGGTTGGTACGTTATCTGAAAGTGTTATAAAGTCATTTTTCTGTCACGTGTTTTTATGTTTTGACTGAAGATGCCAAGTTATGAATTCTCTGAGATGAAGGTGATTTCTAAAATTTGGTCAACACAGTGATCAGAAATTTTTTACATTTTACAATGGAAGCAGTGTACATCAGTGAAGTAAATGAAAGTACTGGATGGATAATTTTCTATTTTATTTGAGCTTTTTCAAATAACACCCCGGATTTCTAGAGACCAGATGGCCATTAAATTATTTTGGTGTGAGAAGCAAGATGTCAGTGCAGGGGAGTTGGAACACTTACTTTTTGTATTAATCTCTGAGTTTACTCAGCATTGCACAAACAATTCACCTTGGTTCAGTCTTCAAGAATGTATTCTTTTGCAACACCAAGTCTTAGATTCTGCACATTCGTCATCCTTTGGCCTCTCCCCATAATTCTTATTTGCTGGCAATTGATGCAGGTTTATGGACAATATTGTGTAGTAATTTAATGTCTTCCAGGGACTTGGTTTATTCTGGCCAACCTTCTTTCTTTTATGGTGAATTTCAGCACTAGAAAGAAAACTGTTTTCCATTGGCTTTCAATAAGAATCTAGCTTTGGTTTCAAACCCAGTTCTCAAATGTGAAAGGAATATGTGTCAGTCAATATGTAAACTCACTTTCTATTGGATATTCATTCATCAATAGTGATTAGGGATGGAGATTAAGAATTAAAATTGAGGACAGGAAATTTAACCATTAGGAATTTTAGAAAGAAAATGGAAGTTACTGTTTGCTTTGGTGGAATGTTAAGAACAGGACCGCATAAATTTAAAGGATATAAGAGCTAAGAGCAAGAGGAGGTAATTCAGCCCCTTGAGTATGCTTTGTCATTCGACATGATCGTGGCTGACCTTATCTCGGCCTCAACTTCACTCTTCTGCTTACTCTCCAGAACCCTTCAGCCCATTTCTAATTAAAAATCTGTCTATCTCCTCCTCAGATTTATTCAGCGTCCTGGCATCCACCATGTTCTGGAATAGTGAATTCCACAGATTCATGACACTTTGAGAGAAGTAATTTCTCTTCCTCTCTGTTTTAAATCTGCTACCTCTTGTTCTAGATTGCCCCATGTGAGGAAACCTCCTCTGTCTGTCTGCTTGACAATCCCATTCAACATCTTATACACCTCAATTAGATCTATGGTCATTCCTCTCATCTCCAGAGGGGCCTGAACTACTCAATTTCTCTTCATAAGGCAAACTCTTCATCTCTGGAATCAATCTAGTGGATCTTCTCTGAACTGCCTCAAATGCACTACATTCCTCCTCAAAGGGATCAAAACTGTTGCAACACACCAGGTGTGCTCTCATTAATGACTTGTACAGTTGCAGCAACAGTTCCCTACCTTTATACTCTATTCCTTTAGCAATAAATGCCAAAATTCCATTTGCCTTCCATATTACCTGCTGTACTTGCACGCTAATTTTCTGCCATTCATGCATGAGGGCACCTAGTCCCTCTGCATCAAAGCTGCCTGAAGTTCCTCTCCATTTAGATAATAAGTTGCTTTTCAATTCGTCCAACCAAAATAGATGATGTCACACATATCCACGGTAGCAGAGATGATGGCCTAGTGGCATTATCGTTGGTCTTTTAATCCAGAGACCCAGGTATTGTTCCACAGACCCAGGTTCAAATCCCGCCATGCCAGGTGGTAGCATCAGAATTCAATAAATATCTGGAATTGAGGTGATTACTGTAAACCCATTGTCAATTGTCAGAAAAGCCCATCTGGTTCACTAATGTTCTTTAGGGAAGGAAACTGCCATCCTTATCTAGTCTGGTCTACATGTGACTCCAGACCTACAGCAATGTGGTTGCTCTTAACTGCCCTTTGGGCAATTAGGGATGGGGCAATAAATGCTGGCCTAGTCAGCGATGCCCTTATGAATAAAAAAAATGCATCTGCCAAATTTTGGACCATACGCTTAACCCATCCATATCCTATTCAAGTTTTGTCAACTTTACGACTTAGTCTACCATGTGGAGCCTTATCAAAAGATTCATTAAAGTTCAGGTAAACAATATCTACTGCTCAGCCCCCTCTTTCTAGTTGCTTTCTCGCTCTTAATTTGCTTGTGAAATCTCTTTGGATTACTCTTAACCTTAAATCACAAATAATTGAGGAATCTACCTGGTTCACTAATATCCTTTAGGAAAAGCAATTGGCCGACCTTATCTGGCCTGGCCCGTGTGTGACTCCAGACTCTTAATCTAGAGATGGTCAACAAATGCCTCTCATGTATCTTCAGAAAAAAAAAGGGCGGCATGGTGGCTCAGTGGTTAGCACTGCTGCCTAACAGCACCAGGGACTCTGGTTCAATTCCACTCTCTGGCAACTGTCAGTGTGGAGTTTACACATTCTCCCTGTTTCTGCGTGGGTTTCCTCCGGGTGCTCCAGTTTCCTCTCACAGTCCAAAGATGTGCAGGTTAGGTGGATTGGCCATGCTAAATTGCCCACAGTGTTGGGGGATGGGTCTGGGTGGGATGCTCTGAGTGTCGGCATGGACTTGTTGGGCCGAAGGGCCTGTTACCACACTGTAGGGATTCTATGATTCTATGAAATGCTGATATTGTCAACGATATCCACATCCCATACAAAAATAAACAAAATCTAACATGTTGGTTAGGATAAAGGTTAAAATATACAGGCATCGAAAATGTTAAACAAACTTCTAAAATGAAATCAAGTAGATTTCATTTCTTTTTTCCGGTTGCACCTATGATTATGCTTGAAAAGCCTTTTTGTAAAGTATTCATATTGTTTTGTGTAACTTTAGGATTACTTGAACATCATCCACGTAAATTCATATTAAAAACAAAGAAGCTTGTTTCATGTCTAATCCATCTAACTGCAGTGTGTAACCAAAATATTTATATAAATATAATTTTGAATGCATGACTACTACGTTATGAATATTTTCTTCATTTAAAATATTTTAGGAGCTGCCAGAAAAGTGGAAGAACCTTACAAAGATTGCTTTAACTATAAAGCATGAAGTGGCACCTTTGCAGTCCAATGAAGTATCTGTTATCAGAAGAAAATGTGTACAGTTTGAGGTGAGATCAGTATTTTGCTCAATGCTTTGAACCAAGTGGTTTTGCATTTTTGTTCTGCTAACAACCTAGAAGTAAGCTCCACTGAACCAAGAAATTGTAAACTCTGTGAGAAGGGATGTCCAGAGATAACAATTATGTGTTTGATGGTAATGAATTCTAAATAAATCTGATAATTTAAATCCCAGTTTACAAAATGGGAGTAATACTCCCTCCCCTTTCAATGTGAATTATGCTTAATCTGGTAGGTTATGAATCTTTTTTGGTAATTGGTTGCAGACCATATAGTTTTTTTTATATATAGCTTGCTTTGCTGTGGAACATGACTTCTTTAAATAGCAACACTAAAGTCAAAATGTTTGCTGTTACTAACCTAACACAAGTAGTTATGTTATGCAATCATAAAATGTCAATTTACAGACTAACTAGTTTCGATGTTAATATAAATTTTCAAATTTGTAGTAAAACAAAACAAAGAACAGTGGATACTGGAAATCTGAAACAAAAATAGAAATTGCTGGAAAAACTCAGCGGGTCTGGTAGCATCTATGGAGAGAAAGCAGAGTCAAGCTTGCAGATCCAGTGATCCTCCATCAGAACTAGTAGTAGCTACAGAAAGGTATATGCTGAAGTCAAGGGGGTAGTAAAAGAATGAGGGGATAGGTGAAGACAGAGCCTAGAGGGAGAGGAAGGCAGTTAAGCAAACAAAAGAATGAATAATGGTAAGCCAGTGAAAGAGAAATGCTGATAATGGGGACCACGTGTTGGTGATGACAAGGCCTGAGCATGGAAGGAAGTGGGTAAAGGACATGGAAGGTGGTGTTCAGGGCCTAAAATTATACAACTTGATATTGAGTCCTGAAAGCTGTATGGTCCCCAAGTAGAAAATGAGTTGGTGTTCTTCCAGCTTGCACCGAGCCTCGCTGGAATACTGTAGTAGGTCCGAGGTAGAAATGTTGGTCAGGGAACATGGTGGTCTGCTAAGTGGCAGGGAACATTTTTACGAACAATACATAAGTGTTCTTCAAAGCAATCACCCAGTCTGTGTTTCATCTCCTGATTGAAGGGTAGCATGGTGGCTCGGCGGCTAGCACTGCTGCCTCACAGTGCCAGGGACTCAGATTTGATTCCACCCTGAGGCGACTGTCTGTGTGGAATTTGCACATTCTCCCTGTGTCTGCTTGGGTTTCTGTTGGGTGCTCCAGTTTCCTCCCATAGTCCAGAGATTAGGTGCAGGTTAGGTGGATTGGCCATGCTAACTTGCCCGTAATGACCAGGGGTGTGTAGATTAGGTGGATTAGCCATGGGAAATGCAGGGCTACAGGGAAAGGGAAGGGGGATGGGGTTGGGTCTGGGTGGGATGCTCTTTGGATGGTTGGTGTGGACTTGTTGAGCCAATTGACCTGTTTCCACACTGTAAGGATTCTGTGATTTTATGATTGTAGAGGAGACCACATTGTGAACAGCGAATACAGTGGACTAGATTGAGTGAAGTGCAGGTAAATTGCTGATTGACCTGGAAGGTGTGTCTGAGGCCTTGGATAATGACGGGAATGGAAGTAAACGGGTAGAAGTTACACCTTCTGTGATTGCATATGAAGGTGTCATGGGGGTGTGAGATGTTGGGAGTGGATGAGGAACGGACCAGGGTGTATAGGAGGCAACGGAACCTGTGGAATACTGATAGGGGAGGGGAATATGTGTCTGGAAGTGGCAGAAATGGCCATTCATGCTCCTTTGGATGCAGATACTTGGGGGTGGAAAGTGACGACTGGGGAACTCTATTCGTGCTGTGGGACAGAAGAGAAGGGGTGAGTGGCTGAAGTGCAAGAAACAGGTCGGACATGGCTAAGGGCCCTGTCAACCATGATGGTGGAGAATCCTTGGTTGGGGAAAATGGTGGACATTTCTGAGGCATCCCCGGCAGAAGATGGCATCATCAGAACAGATGCAGCAGAGAAATGAGGAGAATGGAATGGAGTCTTTACAGGAAACAGGTTGTGAGGATATATAGTTCAGGTAATTGTGGGAGTTGGTGGGTTTGTTTTAGTGTGTGAAATCTAAGCAGCATTTGCTGAGTATGTATAAATCTGAGCTTTGAATAATTTACTTAATTTTCATTACTATATAATGTTGAGCTTGTTTATGTTACTGCCATGATATTTGTAGTAATGGAAGTTATTGTATTTCTCTTGAAATATCTTGCATAAGAATGTTTTGGAAATCCTAATGTAAATTTGTTTCTGTTTCTAAGACTGTTTCTATTCTAGTGTACATCCGTGCACACCGCGATTTCAAAATGGAATAAGCAGTGAGTGCATACAATGATGTTTTAGCACACTCAGTGCTCATCAGAAAACCTTGGTATGAAGTTGCCACTGGGGCTGGATTTTACAATTTCCCACTGGGTATGTTTTAATCAGTTGGTGGACATGTAAAATATGTCACATGGGTAGATTAATGCCATCCTGCTCTCCTCTGCCCCCAGGTAGATTGAGGCTATTAAGTGGCCAATTATTGTCCATTTAAGGTTATCAGTCTTCCTCCAGTGCCATGCTGGGCAGTAGAAGATGGACTAACTGGGTGGGTCAATTTTATGAATAGCTTTGTTGAAAGGGCTGGTTGGGAGGGGTTTACCTCTTTCAGGAGGTGCCTTCTGCTTATTAGAGGCACCACTGTCTATGATCACGCATAACCCATCTTTCCACATTTGCATCTGGCCTTCAAAATTTGCCCCAAACACATTTTGCATCCCTCCATGATTCCGTGGATCCTTCCTGTCCAAAACCCTAGAGTTGCCTATTGCCACGATCCATATACTTTTCTTTTAAAGGGCTACTTGCAGTCGTAGAAGCATCCACTTCAGTTCTGCTGCTGCTGGGACTGCTAGAGCTGACAGATGAGCTGGCAATTTTTAAGGGTGGGGCACCTCACCCCCTCCAAGGGGCTGAAGTCTGACCCCCTCCCCCCACCTCCAAAGGTTGCTTAGTGTTTTGACGCTGTAGGAAAGTCTTGTTTAAAGTGGTTCAATTTGAAGCCAAGTATTCTTCCAGGGATTGGAGGATGGGGTAGTTTAATGCTGTGTTGCTGTGCATCTACACCCTATTCTTATAAAATTGAACCCCTGGTTTTATCATTACTTGGAAGCATTTACAGCTTTATAATTCATTATAAGCCCTGTGAACACTCAAGTAACAAAAATTCAGCTTCTTGACTTCATAATGACACCTGATCTAAGCTGAGGAAAACAGAATGTTAACGGTGACTGAAAAACCTGATAAAGGAACAATAATCCTCTTTTATGTCAATGCTTGGCTCAACTTGTCACCACTGGCAATTTCATTTTTTACAGATCATCTATGCATGTAGTGAGGAAACATTATAGACTGTCTGAAGCATGTAGGAAGAAAAAAAAAACTTATTTTCATGAATTTCTCACAATCTAAAGTTATGCAACTCTGCACACATTGAGGCCTACTGAGACTTGAAGGGCGCATTCTATTACCACATGTTAATTCTCCATAAGCTTGATGTGGCCACATTTGATGCACCACAAGAATATAATAAATACAAGTAATTTAGTATGGCATGATATCATCTGATATTATCTGATGAATCCTTTGAATTTCTTTGTCTTATCGAACAACCTTTCTTTTGTGAATATTTCAGTTTTTCGTAAAACATCCTGTATCCTATGATGCCCATATTCCATGAATGAATTATCAAGGTCCATTCAGAGAGCAACTGGCCAATCAGTTTCATGGTCTACTGTCTAGTTTCAGCAGTGTTATCAGGAATGGTGGTCCATTGCTCAGGCCAGAAACAGTTCGCAGAGTCAAAGTGCTAGAGCCCTAGAACAGGGGAGGTGAGTCTTGGCTCAATATAAATCATGAAGGGCCCACAGGGAGGGAGGATCTAGAGGCCAATATGTTTTGGTTTTTCTCATTTGCAAATACGACAGCAACAGCTGAAAGATAAACTTCTGCATCTTGTTCCCACAAACAACCATGAAATAAATTACCAAAATTTAATTTAGTGATTTTGGATGAGGGAGAAATCACTTGCTGTTCTCCATATCCTGGTATATATTGCATTCACCTTAGAGGGAAAACAGAATTTTATTTTAGTATCTCATCTTAAATACAACACCTCCTAATTTTTAGTTGGTATCAGGCTAGTTTACGTGTTCATGATCATGATGTCAGACTTGCGTCCATACCCTTCTGACACAGCAATGAGAATATGATTTAAAAGACAAGGCTGTATTCCTCAGTTCAGTTTATAAAATATTGTGGAAAGAAAATATCTCAAAAATACAGTTATAGTCATCATTGTCTGTCACTTAATTGCAGAATGATATTTGCTAAGGTTTGCAAGTTTGAGCTGAACTGGCCAAACATATCCTTGAGGACATTAAGCAGAATGTTGCATGAGATAGTGGGATCCAAAGTGCAGATTAGCTTACTCTTACAAAATAAACTGCCTTCAATATTGGTCCATCTTTTTAAGAACGGATATACTGGCATTGGAGGCAGTTCAAGAATGATGCCTGAGATGAAGGTATTGACTTAACAAGAACAGCTAAACCAGTTAGGTGTTTATTCTTTATTCATTCATGGGATGAGGGTGTCGCTGGCTGGGCAGCATTTATTGCCCATCCCTAATTGCCCAGAGGGTAGTTGAGAGTTAACCACATTGCTGTGGATCTGGAGTCACATGTAGACCAGACCAGGTAAGGATGGCGGTTTCCTTCCCTAAAGTACATTAGTGAACCAGATGGATTTTTCCCGACAATCGACAATGGATTCATGGTCATCATTAGATTCTTAATTCCAGGTATTTATTGAATTCAAATTCCACCGCCTGCCGTGGCGGGATTCGAACCGGGTCCCAAGAATGTTGTCTGGTCTCTGGATTAACAGTCCAGCAATAATACCACTAGGCCATCGCCTCCCCATTTGTTCATTAAAGTTTGCAAGAGGAGTGATCTTACTGAAACGTAGAAAACTTTGACAGGATTTGACAAAGTAGATATTGAGAAGATGTTTCCATTAGTGGGAAAATCTTGAACAAAGGACATAGTCACAGAATAAGGGAGCATTCATTTAAAACTGAGATGCAAAGGAACTTTTTCCTCTGAGAGTAGTGAATGTCAGGAACTGTCTACCCCATAGAGTTATGGAGGCTCAACATTTAAAGATGAGGGATGTATCTTTTTGAAATATCGTGGAGTTGAGGGCTTTGAGGCACTGGCATGAGGATGAGATCAGCTATGACTTGTAGAACGGCAGGGCATGTTTGAGAGAATGAATGTCCTACTCTTGCTCTTGGTTCTTAGCCTCTATTCTTTCCCTCTTTGCTGCCAGTCTGCCTCATTCCTGAGACATAATGCCTCAATGCAGTTTGTTACCATTTTAAATGATTAGTAGCAAGTTCCTCTCTCAAATTAATAATAATGCTGCTGTGCTTTAAGGAGAATTTGAGTGTCTTTGAAGGGGCTCTTGTGTCATTACCTCTGGGCTAGAAGGCCCAGGTTCTACAGGTTGCTGTTTTATATATCTGAAATTACTTGCATTGAGATTGGGAGTTGGCATGCAAATTAGAGAATTGTGTTTTAATGTTTTAAAAAATGGCTCTTAAGGTGCTGTGTTACTGCCCCTCCCCTCTGAGCCAGGAGACCCAGGTTCAAGTCCAACCTACTCCAAAGGTGTGTCACAACATTTCTAGACTAGTTGATTAGAAAAAGCAGAGTGTTGTTGAAGCAGTTTCAATGTACTCCACTGGAACATCTGGCCATTTGAAAGTTAAGAAATCAAGCTCCTGTATCACTTTTCAACCATTTGGCCAAGTGTCCAGTCAGTCGAAGTTGATTTAGCGCAAGCTTTGTCTGAATGCTCCTGAAAAAAAGGAGTTTAGCTAGCAGTAATAATAGCAAATTAAAATAGAATAAAAGGCTGAGACAAATTATACAGATCCTGAAAATTATCTTAAAATTAAACTCATTGGAAAAAAGCAAAGTTTCATCAACGTTTTGATGTAACTGTTGAGATTTGGAATTAAAAATTGTGTCAGTTAAACTAATGTGAAACAGAGGGAATAACTTATAATGCCATCTTCCAGATGAATTGACCTGGAGCTCTCTTTAGGTGGACATAAAGCATTCAGTGAAGGTTCCATGGAGAGTGCAGGAGGGCATGCCAGGAGCAGCACCAGGCTTACCTTAAAATGAGGTGTCAATCTGGTGCAGCTACTAAACAAGAGTACTTGCATGCCAAGCAGCAAGTGATAAACACAGCTAAGCAATCACCCATCCAAAGGATCAGACCTAAGCTCTGAGGCCCTTCCACTTTCAGCCATTAATGACAACTTACTCTAGGAGGAGGCTCCATAAATATCCCCATCCTCAATGATGGAAGAGCCCAACATCAGTGCAAAAGATATGGCTGAAGCAATTGCAGCAATCTTCAGCTAGAAGTGCCAAGTATACGATCCATCTCAGCTTCCTCCACTGGTCTGCAGCTTCGGGGATGCCAATTCAATTCATTCCATGTGGTGTCAAGGAATGGTTGCAGGAACCGGATACTACAAAGATTATGGGCCCTGGTAACATTCTGACAATACCATCAAAGACTGTGCTCCAGAAATTCCTGCTCCCCTAGGCAAGCTGTTCCAGTACAGCTACAACACTGGCATCTGCCCGACAATGTGAAAGATTTCCCAAGTATGTCCTATACACAACGCAGGACAAATCCAATCCAGCTAGTTACCACCCCATCAGTCTACTCTTGATCATCAGTAAATTGATGAAAGGTATCAGCAACAGGGCTATCAAGCAGCACCTGCTCAGCAATAACCTGCTCAGTGATGTCCATTTTGGGTTCGACCAGCACCACTCAGGTTCTGACCTTTTACAGCCTTGGTTCAAACATGAAAGAGCTGAATTCCAGAGGTGAGCATGACAGCCCTTGACATCAAGACCATATTGGACCAATTTGTGGCATCAAGGAGTCCCAGTAAAACCTGGATTCAATGAGAATCTGGGGAAAACGGTTGTTGGAGGTCAGTTATTTCAGCTTGAGGACATTTTTTTTATATTCACTCACGGACGTGGGTGTCTTTGGCTGGACCAGCATTTATTTCCCAGAGGGCAGTTCAGAGTCAACCATATTACTGTGGGTCTGGAAAAATATGTAGGCCAGACCAGGTAAGGGTTACAGATTTCCTTCTCTAAAGGAGTTTAGTGAACCAGATGGTTTTTTTTGACAATCGACCAAGGATTCGTGGTCATCATTTGACTCTTAATTCCACGCTTTTATTGAATTCAGATTTATCATCTGCCATGGTGGGGATTTGAATGTGGGTCCCCAGAACATTAGCTGAGTTTTTGATTAATTGTTTAATACCACTAGGCCACTACCTCCCCCTTATCTATGCAGGAGTTCATCAAGGTAGTGTCCTAGGCTCAACCATCAGCTGCTTTATCAGTGACTCGGATGTTCGTTGACTGCACAATGTTCAGCACCATCCATGACTCCTCAAATACTGAAGCAGACCAATCTCAAATGCAGCAAGATATGGACAATATCCAGGTTTGGGCTGACAAGCGGCAAATAATATTTATGCAACACACATGCTAGGCAATGACCATTCCAATAAAACACAGTCTAGCCACCATCCTTGACATTAAATGGTGTTGCGATCACTGAATCCACCACTATCAACATCCTAGGGGTTGCCATTGATCAGAAACTTAACTGCACTTGCCACATAGACACAGCGGCCACAAGAGCAGGTCAGGTACTAGGAATATTGCAGCCTATCCACCATCTACAAGACCCAAATCAGGGGTGTGATGGAATGTTCTCCACTTGAAAGGATAAATGCAGCTTCAGTAACACTTGAGAAGCTTGATAATGTCCAGAACAACGCAGCCCACTTGATGGGTATCACATCCACACTCTCACCACTGATGCACAGTAGCAGCAGTGTGTACTATCTTCAAGATGCATTGCAGAAATTTGCCAAAGATCCTTAGACAGCACCTTCCAAACCCATGACCACATCGATTTAGAAGGACAAAGGAAGCAGATACATGGGACCACCATCATCTGCTAGTTCCCCTCCAAGCCACACATCACTGTGACTTGGAAATATATTGCTATTCCTTCACTGTCGCTGGGTTAAAATACAGGAATTCCCTTCCTGAAGACATTATGAATCTACCCAATAGCATAATGACTGCAGTTGTTCAAGAAGCCAGCTGACCACCACCTTCTCAAGGGCAGCTAGGGATGGGCAATAAATGTTGTCCGGCCAGTGACATCCATGTTCCAATAGAGAATAAATAAAATATATCCATGACAAATTCAAAAGGCATTCTCTTGGTTCTCAAAAACACAATAGTTTGACTTTATTTGTGATTGTTGTTGCTGTGCACAAATTTACTGTCATTCTTGACTGTGTAACAATATAAGTAATTTATTTGCCCTAAAAACCTTCAGAATATTCTGTGGGTATTTGAAAGTTATTTAATGAAATCAACTTTTTTCTACATTGATATTTGGAAGTGGCAATCTATGAAAACAAGAATTGATAAGTATTGTTAACGACAAGGGTGGGTAACCACTGGCCCAAATTAGAAATTTGTAAACGTGCAATTGGATAAATACTTAGGCAGTCTTATTAGCAGTGGTATAACATAAATGCTAAATGAATTTTTAGAAGGAAGTGACGGCACAAATTTTAAGAATATTTGAGAGGAACAGATTGGGTTGTTGGAAGAAAAGCATTGCCACCTTGTGTTGGGAGGATGAAAGGCAAATCTAATGATACACTTAAAGCAATGTCCAGAAAAGACATCAAGGTGTGACAAACAAATTTAAATAGGAAGAGAATTTGCTACGTAGAATTTGCTTAGAGGATCTATATAATTGATAGGGATAATATAGAGAGATAATTGTTGATGTAAGGTCATGTTTTGTTTTGTAAACGTATTTATTGAAAAAGTACATAAATTTCCATTCTCTATGAAATCAATGAACAATGTCACTATCGCAGATCTCAAAGCTGCATTCTCTTTCTACAGGCAGAGCAAAAACCACATGCTTGCTCTCAGTGGATATCAAGATAATCTGATTTACTGGTTCTGTTCTGCCTGAAAATTTCTGGAAGTTAAATGTTACTTCTTTACATAAAAAAGAGAATGCTGTAGAAGCTCAGCAATTCCAGCAGAAAGAGAAAAACAGCTAATGTTTTGTATCTGAAGATTCTTCTGAACACAAAGGAGCCTGTTTTTTATTTGATTTGCAGTGTCTGTGGTATTTTGCTTTTTCTTGAGTCATCTCCGTTACAATCTTCTCAACGTGAAGCTGTCATCAGATATCCTGCCAAATACTCTGACTTCAAGTTATTTGCAATAAATTACTTAAGCATAGCTTACATGATACCACCCAGTCTTAATGAATCATTTATAATTGATGTAGTCTGCTCCCTTTCTCTTTTATCTTTTTCTGCAAACAATAATGCGTATGTTTTCTGTGTTCTGAGGAAGGGACACTGGACCCAAAATGTTAACTCTGATTTCTCTCCACAGATGTTGTCAGCCCTGCTGAGCTTTTCTAGCAATTTCTGTTTTTATTTCTGATTTCCAGCATCTGCAGTTTTTTTGGTTTTTATGCTCATATTTTCCCGTTGCTTTAACAGTTTTGATTCACCAAATCTGGGTATTTGAAACTGAATTATGAAGATCTTAAGTGATAACTATAGTGAAAGTAACATGCAGTTCCATTTAAAAAAAGCTTGTGATGTTTCATAAAGGAAATACCACTAGTTCTGTTACTTTTTCAGGAAAATCAATGCAAGTTCAGAGAACAGTTTAGGAATGAAGCAATTTTTAAGTTTAATACATGTGATCCATATACACTTCTGGACAAGGTGAGAGCATACAACATTTCAACTGAATGTGTGTGCATACATATATAACACTGACATTTCTTTGTTAGTAATTGTTACAGCCATTTTGCTGGTGCAATCTGATTTTCATGTTTTAGACTCATCGGCATATCATCAAGCAAGAAGCAGAAATGCACAGTCTTCAGGAAACAGCTAAACTATTTGAAGTGAATGTACCAGATTATAAGCAACTGAAACAGTGTCATTCAGATATTGTTCTATTGAAGTCTGTGTGGGACATGGTATTTTTCATTCAGGTAAGCTTGAATTGTTAACCAACAAAGATTAAGGAAGTGACCAAATATTTATGACTAAATAGTTTGCTAAATTGCCGTATCCCTTTACTACTTTGCTTAACAGTTTTTCTGGTACCAGTTCAGTCCTAGCAATTAGATATGACATACCATGTTCATGGTGCGGCAGTGATCAAACAGTTGAATATGGCAAAACACATGCCTGTACCATAAACAATAGAAGTTATTTCACCATGTTAATGTTATTGATAACTTGTTTAGATAATTTTGTTAACTGGAAAACTTTGGGTTGAATTTAGTGCAGTCTATCAAAGTGGGCTTTGGGGAATAAGGAGCCTGAGAATTGAAAGGGAGCAGATAGAAAGGATTCTTGATGCTAGGAACTAATGGGCAAATTTGGGAGCCAGTGGGAAGGCAGTGTACTGGCATCCACATGGTAAGATGCTGAATTAGACAGTAAAAAAGGCTATTAAAAATAATTTGCAAGATGATGATTAAGGTTGAAGATGCCTCTGGTTATTGAGCAAGTGGTGAATGGAGATCCCTGGCCCTCATATCCCCAACAAGTGAAGCTGGTATTGCTGAAATGCAAGTGTGGAAGATCAACCAATTAGCAATTGTGTTCCATAGGAGAGCTGAAGAGGTTTGCAAACTTGCAGTTTGAGGGACACTGGTCAGATCTAAGGGGCCTGGTGGAACAGTCAGTGGGGCATTGTTTAGATGTGATCAGCCAGTGATGTATTTTGTCAGTTTAACCTCCGTACAGTACAGCCTGTTTGACATTAGAGCTTGGGTTGTATGAAAGATATGGTAGCATATAAATGATCCGTAAGTAGCAGTGATTAGTATTATGGAAAATAACCACTGATCACTGTTTTATGCTGAATAATATTGTAACATTTGTGGTACACAAGAAGACTAGTGCTGCTCTACTGTCAAATTGATTACGTGTCTGTAGGTGTGAAACTGGAAGACCACAGCAGATTAGACAGCATCAGAGGAGCAGGAATGTCAGTGTTTCAGGCTGAAACCCTTAACTGACTTTTCTGCTCCTCTGATGCTGTCTGACCTGCTGTGCTTTTCCAGCTTCACACCTATAGACTCTGGCTTCCAGCATCTGCAATCCTTACTGTCTCCAAATCGATCACATGCTTTTTTTCATGACATTCACTATGTTGGTGCATGAGTGGAGCATCTACAAGGGAAGCTTCTGCATGTACCAGAGACAACATTGCCAGTCGAAGCAACAAAAGGTCCAGTCCCCATCATGTAATTGGAGGAAACCTGTACTTCACTGTCCTGAATTGGCCAGCTGCTGTGTAACTCTTGTCAGCCATTCCCTTTGCTTGGTTGGGAATTCCGCTAAATTCTGAGGCTACCAGTTTCCGGAAGTAAAGTTCCCCTCTTGTGTGTATGACAATTGTTGCCAAATCTTTTGTCATTTGCCTTGCTTCGTAAAGTAATTTTTAAAAAACTATTTTTCTTCTAGACTAGCATTGATGATTGGACCAAAACACAGTGGAAACAAATAAATGTAGAACAAATGGATATGGAACTGCGAAGATTCGCAAAGGTAGAAATGATCTGAATGTAAACTGATGGTCTAGAATGTATGCAATCCTGTACAGTATTTTAAAACCTCTCCATTTTTCCTGGTAGGAGATGAAAACACTTGATAAGGAGGTTCGAGTTTGGGATGTCTATGCTGGATTAACATCTATGGTGAAAAATATGCTGACTTCTCTTCGGGCTCTTACTGAGTTACAGAATCCTGCAGTCAGAATGAGGCACTGGCAGGAATTAATGAATGCAACTGGGGTAAGTCACCAGATATTTTACAGTCTGTGTAATGTTGATTTTGTTTTTGTTTGTAAGAGGAGGCTTAATTTTTATTCCATCAGAAATTGGAACCTGTATTTTATTCTGACAGGTTGGCTTTATCATGGATGCAGACACTACCCTAGGAGACTTGTTAGCTCTGCAGCTATATAGGTTAGAAGAGGAAGTAAAAAACATAGTGGACAAGGCAGTAAAGGAAATGGCAATAGAAAAGGTAAAACATTTTCTTTTCTGTGATCAAAACTCATTGACAGTAATATACACGCTAAAAGATGGAAAAACTTGATGTTTTCCAGGTGCTGACAGAGATTAGTCAAATATGGAGTGTAATGGAGTTTTCATATGAAACGCACTATAGTACAGGAACTCCACTGCTCAGATCTGATGAAAATCTGATTGAAACACTGGAAGATAATCAGGTGCTGATTTTCAGTTAACTTCTCAGAAAAAAACAATTTTTTAGACATAGATTCATTCTTACATTGTGTATAATTTTAAAATCATTGTAGCCACATATTTGGAGCAGATTTTGAATACTTTTAAGGGCCTGGTTAAAAGCTTCAATGCAACTTTTATGTGGGACTTTATAGGTAACGTGCCTACCAGCATATTCTAGTTAAAATAATTTTTCTCATATTTAAACTGAATGCCTTTTGTTCTGTTGATCTTGAATTCTTTTATGATTATGCTCATGCTTGAATCTCATACAGCAAGATGAATTGGTTGTACAATTTTTAACAGTCATGTATTTTATGATGGTTTGCAAGATGAAAAATATTCCGGAATTCAATTGATTTATTGTTCAAGGCAGGTAAAGTGGGTTATTAAGAAAATAGAAATTGGATATTAAAAAGTTGGCTAATGTAAAGAAAGTAATTATATTGTAAGCTCCAGGCAATAAGCATTCAATGCTTTCAATTATTTGATGTAAATGTGAATTTATGCTGTTGTATTTTTGTTGGTAAATTCTTTAGATGGCCACTGGCACCAAATGATATTATACATGTTGTGATTATTGTAAGGTCTGGAGCATTTAGAAAAAGATTTTTAAAAAATACATTAAGGTAGTCAGACTTTCTCTGTTCTGAATATTGTTTCTTCCAGCATGTTAAATTACTAGTACTTTCAATTGACAGCCCGCTGAGAGCTTCCTTTTAGACAAAGTATTTCTGAAATGTGCTGTTCTCTTGATTTTACATAAGAAATTCAATGAACTGCTAGGTTATGGCTTACAAATCTGTGGGAGTTCTTTTGTGGGATAACTAAACTTATGAGGATAATCCAATAGATTCCGTTTACTTGATTTTCAAAAGGCATTTGACAAATTTCTCATTGATAGTAAGGCATTGTTGACAGTTCAGATTGACTGACTTACTGACCAACAATTTGCTGAGCAGCAAAAAATGTTAAATGAGAAATGTCCTGCAGGAAAGAAAAAGCAGTGTTTTCCAGGAATCTAACCTTCTATCTTGCTATCTGCAGTGCTGGTGAATCAAAAGGGGATTTTTATTGTATTGTTAGAATTGCCATTAACTCAGACGTTTGTAGGCAATTAAGAATGAAATAATTAATGTAAGAAATGTAAAAGGGAGCTTAAGTATCTTCAGAAAGACTTGGACAAATTATGTTGATGACATGGGATATGATGGATGGATTATGATGTGAATAAAAATAGGGTAATGAATATTTAAAAGAAAGGTATAGATACATTTGAACAAATTCAAGGAAAGTTATCAAGATGATTTCAAGCTTCATGATCTTAAATAATAAGAGATTCAAGTGACAACATTTATTTCATTGAAGAAAATAGAACTTGGAGAGTAGTGGAGATGAAATGGAATTAAAGAGTGAACCCTGTTAAAGACTGGTTCTGCAATCACTGATACTGCTGCACTGGTATCAACCTCCATGAGAACTGGGTGATGATTTAACCAGGCGTTTATTTGATTGGTTCTAATTTGGATATTATTAAACAATTTAACTGTTTTAAATCACATGTAGGTGGACTTTCCAGGGTATGCACTCTCCTGCATACCAGCCTATGAGTTTCCTTACTCAAGTCAAGCCTCGTAGGACTCCTTTGCTGTCTCGTCTGCATACTAGCAGCAACTACAGTGGCTTGCTGGCCCGAATCCTGAAGAACATTTCAGCCATTTGGCCGAGGCTCGGCTTTGTTTTGGGGTTTTGGTGTGGGCAGACCTAGCGTCCGTCCGCTTAGAATATGACCTGTGTGAGGTTCTGCGATTGCCTGCACTCAAGCGGTATTCCCCACACTTATATGGACAGGTGATGGTGTCCACTTCTATTGGGATACCCTGTTGCCCACACGCACCACTTACTGCATTTTCTAATATCAAAGCCAGCTGTAGTGCCTGTTTGAAGTCTGCTTAGGCTTCAGCTAGTAGGGGCTTTTGCGTGGTTATGTCATTAATCCCACTCTTGTCACCACTGAAATAACTGCAGAGGCTAGTATCCTGTCACTAAGTCACCCTTTATTTATACATGCACAGTTACATGGACCAGCTAGCTCAGAACCAGACCCTAGAGTGAGAAGACTCTCCAAATCTCCTGTTTATATCTGTCAGCCAGGGCTCCTTGATTGGCCCATATTAACAGCCCCAAGCAGGGATCTCATACTCAAATAGACCCACATGGCCAACCTCGTTCCAATCACTACAGGGATATAGACCAATTAAGTGAGTGGGCAAAACCTTGTACACAATATAATCTGGGAAAATGTGAGGTTGTTCACTTTGGGAGGAAAAACAGAAGAGCTGAACATTATTTAAATGGAGAAAGACCGTAGAAAGCTACAAACAGAGTGACTTGAGAATCCTCATCTGTGAATCAGAAAAAGTAGTATCCAAGATCAGCAGGTATTAGGAAAGGCAAATGGAATGTTGGTCATTATTTCAAAGGGGATGGAGTATAAAAGTAGGGAGGTTTCTGCTAAAACTATACAAGGCAGTAGTCAGACCACAGCTGGAATACCATGAACAGTTTTGAACCCCTTATCCAAGGAAAGATGTACTGGCATTAGATGCAGTGTAGAGAAGTTTCACTCAGCCTATACCAGGGTATGGAGAGACTGTCTTCTGAGGAAAGGCTGAGCTTATGGTTGTGCCCATATTTGTTGGAATTTAGAAGAATGAGAGGTGACCTACTGAAAAATATAACATTTTTAGGAGTCTTTACAGGGTAAATACAGAAAGTTTGTTTCCCTTTGTGGGAGAGTCTAGGACCAGAGTCATAATCTGAGTAAGGAGTCACCTATTCAAGACCGAGGTGAGGAGGAATTTCTTCTGTCTGAGATTTGTGAATTTGTGGAATTCTTTACAAGCAGACAGCTTTTGAAGATAGGTAGTTAAGTATATTTGAGGCCAAGGGAAATTTTTAATCAGAAGGGAGTTGAAGCTTATAGGGAAAAGGCAGGAAAGTGGAATTAAGAGTTATTAGATCAGCCATGGTATCATTGAATGGCAAAACAGACTTGATGGCTTGAATGAGAGATGACAAGGTGTAGAGCTAGATGAACACAACAGGCCAAGCAGCATCAGAGGAGCAGGAAAGCTGACGTTTCGGGCCTAGACCCTTCTTCAGAAAATGAATGGCCTAGTTCTACTTGTACGTTTTATGGACCCTTGCTAGAGAAATCATGAGAGTGAAAAATAAAGAAGAATATGTAGATAGGGTTGATGGATTAGCGAATAAGGAGTCTCATCTGAGGCACAAATACCAAATTCCATCACTTAGGCCAAACCAAATATTTCTGTGCTGAGAATTCTATGGATTTCTATGGTGAATTGAGTCAGTTTGAATGTAATAGGATTGAGAGGTTCCAAATATAGCTATATGAAAGAACAGATCTTCTTCCTATCAAAATAAATTACAAACTGCTTAAACATGTCAAGAGTAAGCATGACTTTCAGTTTTATTAGTAACCCACAACTGCATGCTCAGCTCGTGAAGCCATATACTTTTAATTGCAGTGAACAAGTATGGGTGTTGTAGTTCAATGACAGCTTTAGCCATAGCAAAGTGCTTATCTGTAATATTGCACCAAGTTTATTTTTGAAAAAAACTGCTTTTATAGATCCAGAGATAGTGGAGATTGCCGATGTTGGAGAATCTGAGCAAACAAGGTGTAGAGCTGGATGAGCACAGCAGGCCAAGCAGCATCAGAGGAGCAGGAAGGCTGACGTTTCAGGCAAGAAAATTTCTGAAGAAGGGTCTAGGCCCGAAACGTCAGCCTTCCTGCTCCTCTGATGCTGCTTGGCCTGCTGTGTTCATCCAGCTCTACACCTTGTTTGCTCTGCTTTTCTCGATCATTGCAATTCATTCTAACCGTGAAGACATGCTAAAGGTATTAATTGAATTATTCTTAATGCACACTGTTTTAACCACAACTGCTTGTTATTTAAAGCAAGAAATCTGACCATTGTGTTCCGTGTTGGGAGTTATAGGTTCAATTGCAAAACATTTTGATGAGCAAGTATGTGGAATATTTCTTTGTGGATGTCTGCAGTTGGCAAAAGAAACTAATGATTACTGATTTGGTCATCTCTATGTGGATGGAAGTGCAACGAACATGGGCTTACTTGTACAGTATTTTTATTGGTTCTGAAGATATCAGGAATCAACTTTCTGAAGATGCTAAACAATTTGATGAGATTGACTTGAACTTCAAGGTACTATGAAATCTGGACTACTGATAAACTAAATTTGTTTTAATTGCTGTCTGTAGGGTAATGTTTTATAGTGTTGAAATTGGTGAGCCAGCTCGTGTGGGAAAACTGGTGGATGGATCTGTAAGTTAGGGTGCCATGCTATTGGTGGCATATTTTCCCTGCACACGATGTCTGTTTTACAGATGGCAGGTGAGGTGTGGGTGGTCACCTGCCCTTTGTCCAGTTGAGACCAAATATTAACTAATGTTCAATTAAAGATCTGCTCTTAATAATATATGGTGGGAAAGGCCTGCTCCCAACATGTAGCCTGGTGGCTTTAAACCTGTGGATTGCTGGTCAGTGGAAGGTTGGATCCCTCCTGTTTGTGTATCCTGCATCAACCCGAGGCCACCCCACGTCCACCCACTGTAGCTCCCTCCAACGCCCCAGTTGTATCACTGAATGGTATTTCCTTGACCTACCTGCAACACCAGCAATGTGTGCTATTGCCAATTTTCAGAGCTGCCAACCTATAATTAACCCGTAGCCCTATGTTATGGGACATCCTTCTAGAGGTGGGTAGAAGCACTGAGTCATTAGAAGTAAAGGCCTTTTCCTTGACAAATTAAAGCAGGGTGAACTAAGTAGAGGTGAGCTCACCTCCAAAATGTTTCCAGGGATATAGAGAGTGCATCTTCCTCGTAAAATGCAGCTCCATTTTCAGTTTCTCATAAAGACGATCAAAATAATCATTCCATTTTCTGTTTTAAAAAAAAGATCATTTTTATGTTATCAAAATGAATTAAATAGTGTGCGTTTATAGAGATGACCTTTGAAATGCAACCATAGAAACTAATTAATCAACTCTTAAATAATAAAGGAGTAGAATATATTAATTTGTGTATTGCGTTTTCCGTTTTAGGACTTAATGGCTATGATTGTCAAAACAAAGAAAGTAATTGAGACAACAAACAATCTGGGATTACTGGAAAAATTAGAAATTCTTCAACGAAGGTAACAACTACGTAACATTTTATTGGATCCTTAGCCGTCTATATTAATTCAGTTTTGTGTCAGATTATTTAGTAATTGCATATTTAATAATTTCTAACTGACTTTCTGCAATGTTGCTCTCATTCACAATCTTGTTTCTGCCCATGGCATTGCTTCTTGTTGCTGTTTTGTTATCATGTGCATGAATCATAAAAAGCTAGCATCCAGGTTTAGCGAGTAAACGTGAAGGAATAGACTGTTGGCCTTTATTTAAAAGGGAGTGGAGAATAAAAATAGGAAAAAAAACATATAAGGGGTACTATTTAAACCATACATAGAAATCTGCGATCAGCTTTGGTCCTCTCCTTTAAGGAAGGATATACTGGCATCGAAGGCATTCCAGAGAAGGTTCACTAGGTTGATTACATGTATGGGGTAACTGTCTCATGAGGAAAGGTTGAGTAGGTTAGGCCTATACTCATTGGTGTTTAGCAGATTGAGAAGTGACTTTATTAAAATAGAGAAAATGCTTAGCAAAATTAACAGGATAGGTGTGCAGATGTTATTTCTCTTTATGGGAGAGTCTAGGTCCAGAGGGCATAATCTCAGAGTAATGGGTCACCCATTTAAGACAGATGAGGGGAATTTTTTTTTTCTGATGGTTGACAGTCTGTGAAAGTCTTTATTTCAAAATGCTGTTAAGGTTGTATTATTAAGAATGTTTTCCCAGCCACCATCAGTTCTGAGGAAGGGTCACCGGACCCGAAACGTTAACTGTTTTCTCCTTCACAGATGCTGTCAGACCTGCTGAGCTTCTCCAGCAACTTTGTTTTTGTTCCTGATTTACAGCATCCGTGGTTCTTTCGGTTTTTATTAAGTATGTTCATGATTAAGAGAGGCAGATTTTTAATCATTAAGAGAATTGAGGGTCAAAGGAAAAGGCAGGAAAGTGGAATTGCATTATCAGATCAGTCGTGATCTCAATGAACGGTGGAGCAAACTTGGTGGGCCGAATTGCCTACTTTACCTCCTGTGTTGTATGGTCTTTTATGGCCTAGTTTGACCACTGGGCTCCTATAGATAATTTAAAATGAATGTTTTTCTACCTGTCATTGTTTCTCGCAGTTGCAGAAAAACTTTCTGAAACCATTTTGGGAAATAGTTAATCAGTGCCTATAGTGGTTAAATTGTAATTATAGATAATGAATTCCAAAAGCATTTTCCATTATAAATTTGAAGATAGTAATTCATCATGGTGATGAATAGAGTGATGACAGAAAGCGCATCTCCTTCCAGGTGAAGCAGTCATTTACTCGCCCTTCTTTCAATGTATTATACTGTATTCCCTGTTCACATTGTGGTTTTCTCTAAATTGAGAAAATTGGGTTATTGCTCTGCAGACCACCACTGCTCAGTCCACACACATGACCCTGAGCACCTGGGCTGCCGATTTAATTCACCACCTGCTCTTACATACACATTTCTATTTCCAGCCTGTTGGTGTGTTTCAGTAAAACTCAACATAAGGGCAATGAACAACGCCTCATCTTCCGATTAGACACTTTTCTAGCCTTCTGAGCTCAGTCTTGAGTTCAACAGTTTTAGACCGTGAACTCTTGCATTCATTTGGTTTTTGTTTTGTCATGTGCCAGTATCTGGACAAGTGATTTGTCTCTTTAACTACAGTCATTTTCACTCCCTTCACCATTTCTTCAGTGACTTCGTGGTCACTTAATCTCTCCTTCCTGTACACTTTCCCAGACCTTCCTTTTTGTTTCTCAGTACCTTCCACTCTATCGGCTATAGATAACCCAACACATTTCTGCGGTCCATCTGTTTGGAAGAATGGGCATCTTAACTCAAAATATTAACTCTTTTTCTGTCTTCACAGATGCTGCTAAACGTGCTGTTTTCCAGCAGTTTCTGTTTCTATGACAGAAAGTAAGAGCTTTATGGAACATGATTACGGAATTTTGAGGGCCAAATTTTTGAATTCTTTCTCCCAACTTATGGCACCTTGTCTTTTTGTAAATAAATAAATGTTTTATCTTCATTTACTGTGTTTTAATATTTAACAAGTAGAATTTTATGCATCCTCATAACTGGGTTTGCAGATGGAGTGAGGTGTGTTTAAAATTCTGGGGCTCTTCAAATGAGCAATCCATTTAGAGTCATAGGTAGTACAGCATGGAAACAGACCCTCCAATTCAATTAGTCCATGCTGACCATGTTTCTAAACTAAACTAGTCCCACCTGCCTGCATTTCGCCCATATCCCTCCAAAGCTTTCCTGTTCATGTTGTAACTGTACCTGCATCCATCACTTCCTCTGGCAGTTGATTCCACATACAAAGTATTGTCTGGGTAAGAAGTTCTCTCATGTCCTTTTTAAATCTTTCTCCTCTCACTTCAAAAAGTATTCCCCCTCGGTTTGAACTCCCCCACCTTAGGGGAAGGACCTTTGCTATTCACCTTATCCGTGCCCTCATGATTTTATAAACCTCTATAAGGTCCCTCCCTCTTGCTGTATCCCTGCCCATCTTCCTTTTCAGATAACAGCTTGATTCCCTTTTTGACTGCTTCAATTGAATGGCCTCCATCTCACACACTGCCAGTACCTTCCAGAACTTAATCATTCGCTGCATGGAAAAGTAATTTCTCATTTTCCTTTTGCTTCTTTTGCCAATTACATCAAATCTGTGCTCATTTATTCTTGATCTCTTCACAAATGGAAACGTTACTCTCTCTCTACTCTGTCTAGATCCCTCATGACCTTGAATGTCTCCATTAAGTTCCCTCTAAGCCTTCATTTTCCAAGAGAAACAGTCCTTGGTCTTTGGTGAGGACCACTGCACTCAGACTGAGACATGGCAGTCTGCTTGCTGTGTAAGCTGCTGACTCAGTGATGCAGGTGTGAGATTGATGTAGCACACTGCAGTGGAGCAGGATGTGCACCCCTAAATTAAAGACTGTTTAGCAGCAAGGCAAATTGCCTGTGTTTGTAAATGCACTAAGACAAAGCAAGGCAAGACAAGACAGGGATGCTGTGAACATGACTACTAACTGAGTGAGCACTAAGAGAGCAAGTGAACATCTCCGAGATCTAGTCTTGTTCCGTATGCAAGCTGGGTGCCTGTCCCTATGTGCAAAGTATCCTTACAGCAGCCTTTCAAAACAAATTGATAGCCCTGAAAGTCTGTGCTTCCAGAGCTTCCTTATTCAAGGAAGAAGTGTTTGGGTAGTCACAACGTGTTGGTAGATGCTAGTTGCCAATGTCCATGGATGAAAGGTGAATGCACCTGGTACCACTTAGTCATGCTTGGGATGTGGTTTGGTTGCAGGCAAAATGCATATGGTTCGAGCAAGCGGCAAGCTAAATCTGCCAAGTATCCACCCTAGTTTCCTTGTCAGGTTTTTCAGACATCTAACTTGTTTGGTAAGGTTGGTAAATTGGAAGCTGAATGCTAATGAGTTGAGTTGTGCAGTTATTGAGGCATTTAAAAAGTGTTAATCCCCACCAATTGGCAAAAATCTCATCATGCTGCTACGAAAAATGTAAAAGATGGAACAAGATGACCTCAACATTGAAATGCACCTCACTGGACTCCTCGTTCAATTCTGCAACACATCTCTCTATAGCCCACACCACTCGTACTCTATAAGATTGCAGTCCAAATTGCTTCCTCCCTAACTCTGCTCGTTAAATTATTATTCCTCATTCTGGTGCTACCTATCTCACACAGTATTCTGTGAACCTTGGTATTCGTCTCTGATATTATCTCTTGGTTCCGACACCCCTATCACATTAATTTAACGCTCCCCAATTGCATTAGCAAAACACCCCATGAGGAATTTACGGCATTCTTCTACATAGCATTGCAGTCTTTATAGGATCCATGTTCTCCAGGATTGGTGCCAGTGCCCCATGAACTGGAATGCACTTCTCCAATACCAGTCTCTGAGACATTCATTCAACTCTCTCATCTGATTTTCCCTCTGCCAGTTTGCATATGGCTCACACAATAATGCAGAGATTATGATCTTTGAGGTTCTACTTCTTAACAGAATCAGAGACACTTGTCAGATAAGACTAGAATTTACAAGAATTATAATGTAGGTGGAACTAAAGACTCTGTACTTGAATGCATGTTGCATTCAAAACAAAACAGATGAACTAAAATCACAAATGGAAATAAATAAATAAGAACGATCTGTGGCCTGAATCTTGAAGGGTACAGGACATTTAAAAAGGACAGGAAACTAGGAAAAGATGGAGGTGTGGCTCACTTCGTTAATGATGGTATTGGAATAACAATAGATAGGGATAACCTAAATTCAGGGAACCAAGAAGTGGCAACAGTTTGGGTAGAGACATGAAATGATAAAGGCAGGAAATCACTTCTGGAAGTGGAGTACAAACCCGCAAGCAGTCATCATATAGTAGGGTGGTCTATAAAGGAAGAAATAATGAGATCATGTTAGAAAGGAATGTTGATAATCTTGGGAGATTGTAATGTACATATTAATATAGCTGCAATGCAAAATCTGTGATTCCACACCGTATGCAGACAGTTAAGAATGACGACCTGGTTGAGTGAGATTTTAGTCTTCAGTTTAATATTTACCATGATTATTAGTCATGATCAAGGAATTGGCTGTGGGCAGAACTTAAATCCACTAACTTAAAAATGGTATCAGGGACTAGATTATTTGAGAAATATTTTTTGTTTTTGTTTTTAAGACAATGAATTTGTTTAATTTGCGTTTAGTAATTTAATCTATTTTAAAGATGGTGAAACCAAATCTTACCTGTTACAATTGCCTAGTGAAACAAATCCTAAATACACATTCAAAGCAATTATTGTGATGTAAAAAGTGTATGTTTTCAATCCTTTTTACAGACTGACACATTGTGAGAAAGCTTTAGCTGAATATCTTGAGACTAAGCGACTCTCGTTTCCAAGATTTTACTTTGTTTCTGCAATGGATTTATTGGAAATTATTTCCAAAGAAGGTCAACCAAAACAGGTAAACATTCCACAGTGTGGTCCCTGAATATCTGGAGAATTAATGTGCGTGCAAAATGAGTCACTGGAAACTAAAATCTGGTATATGTTAGTTAGCTAATAGACTTGGTGATTTTGCAACCCGACTGAATTTCTTCTCGATGTTTCACTGGATTTCACAGAATCACAGATTCTTGGACTTTATGGATTTCATTGATTAAGGGAGAGATTAATGAAGTTACTGGATTGTGTTGTATGATACCTAATGAATTGGATGATTAATTCATTGAATGAAAAGTTAGGTAATAATTCAATTATCTCAGTAATGAGAATTATATAACAGTTACGGGATTTGACTAAGTCAGTCAGACATTATTTAATAAACTATGATGAATCTCATTCAATTTTTAATACATAATTTATCACGTTTTCTGGGTTTATCCAGCTAAGGAACAGATTGCCTAATAAATGTATTGCATTTGATAGGTATAATTTAATTAAGTGAAAGCAATAAATGCTGGAAACACTCAGCATGTCAGTCAGCAGTTCTGAAGAGAGCAGGTAACAGAATGGTTTAGTTGCCAATCCTCTGATGAAGGGCTCACACTTGAAACATTAAAATGTGCGTACTCTACGGATGCTAACTGACCTGCTGTATGTTTGTAGCATCGACTGATTTTGCTTTGGATTTTCACTGTCTTCAGTGTTTGTTTTCTTAAAATAAACTAATTTTCTGGATTCCAGTCATGGAAAATTGAATGAATTTGATGACTGCATTGATTTACCAAGAGATTATTTAATGGAATTCATTCAGATGCAGAAAATGTAATGAATCCATTGGATTTGATTCACTCAGCCAGACATTACTTAAAGAATTTACTGGATTCCACTCATTAAAGCACAGATAATTTAATGAATTTTATTGAATTAGAGTGAAGTATGATGAGATTATTTAATGTCATACAGGCAATGACAGGGAATATGGATAATGCTCACTGGTGAATTTTTGAAAACGATGCTCGTCCAAATAGGAGTCCTAACTAAATAATTGATGAGTTGGGGAGCTAGTTGTTGGAGAGAGGGCAGCAATACATTGGAACTAAATAAACCATAGCTGGAAGGAGAATATAATAACCCATAATGAAGTTAATAGAGGATTTGGAGGCTTACTGAAATGGAACTCAGACTAAGACCAGAACAGTGTGATGCAGTGATGGAAGTCTATTATAAATAAAATTACATTAACTTGCAATGAAAAATGTTGTCAGAAGTCTGTTAAAAGATATGACAACAGGTTAAAAAGTTTGAGGAAGGAAATTTAAGGGAATGCACAATTTTATTTTCAATAAATGGGTTGAAACCAAAATAAAGTTTCAGTAGAGTATAAGAATATAATTTACAAAAACATTATTTATATTTAGAACTGAATTCTCTATTGTGTTTTTAATGTCTTTAATACTTCAAGAGCCTAGAACCACTTTCAATACAGCCAACCTTTAAGACCATCCTTCCTAGATCCTCTGAATAGCCTTCTCCTAATGTTTTCTGAGCGTGTAGTAAATATATATAAAAAATAATTCCCATTACAGGGATGTTAGTCAGCTCAAAGAAATATATATCTCATATGTCTTTAACAACTAGTTTATCAGTGTAAACTCCTTTGAATTAGACGTGGTGCAATTTTTGAATTGACAAAAAAAATTTCTATCGGGTTTGCAATTTTACTTTGGAACAAATTGGTCAGTTTCTGAGATTCATCAAAGATGCCATCCATTATTTGATGATTAAGAAGTAGACTGTTGGAACAGTAATTGGCTGTGTTGTATTTTTCTTCTTTTTATGGTCAGGGTGTATCTGGGCAATTTTCACGTTGACCGTGATAGGTGCCCATGCTGTACCGGAGCATGCCAGTTCTGGAGCACAAATCTTCAGTACTATTCCCGGAATGTTATCAGGGCCCATAGCCTTTGCATTATCCATTGCATTCAAGTTTCTTGTTGTTACATGGAGTGAATTAATTTTACCGGAGGCTCACATCTGTGGTGCTGGAGACTTCAGGAGGAGACTGAGCTAGATTTTCCACTTGGCATATCTGGTTTAAAATACTTGCTAATGCTTCAGCTTTGTCTTTTGCATTGATTGGCATGTAAGTCCTGCGCTTTTAGCCACCGAGCATTCAATCCCCCTCATCTAATTCACTGATACAAATTTTATAAAACTGAGGGGCCAGCATAGACTCCTGTGGGGACTCCACTTGTGACATCCTGCCAATCTGAAACAGATGCATTTATGCGCAGTCTGTTTTCTGTCAACCAGACGAACTTCTATCCGTTCTTCTATCTTGACCTCTATTCCATGAGCTCCTACTTTGTCCAATGATTTTTTATGTTGCTTAACTATTCAATGAGACAACTCTCCCAATTTTGTGACAAACCTCCAAATGTTGTCATGGGGGAATTTGCAAGATCAACAGTGTCATCATTTCCAGTGCCTTGGTCAATGCTGATTGGTCTGTCAGATTTCATTTATTTTATCAGACTTTGTAGTGCTTTGTGTTTTTTTAAAAAACTTTCCTCTCACAGCTCCTTTAAACTTTCCCTCTTTCACTTTGAACCTATACGGTACCCCACTAAGTATTTGACATTTCTGCCCAGAGAAAAAGACTCCAACTATCCACCAAACCTATTGCCTCTCCCAATTTTATATATGTCTATCAGGTCGCCCTCAACTTCTGATGCTCTAGCAAAAGCAATCCAAGTTTATCCAACCACTCCTTTTGGCTAATATACTGCAATCCAAGCAACATCCTGGTAAACCTCTTCTGCACCCTCTCCCATGCCTCCATATCCTTCCTCTAATGTGGCAACCAGAACTGCACGCAGTAGTCCAAATGTGGCTGAACCAAAGTGTTATACTGTTGTAATATGACTTGCCAACTTTTATAATCAAGGCCTTTATTGACGAATGCAAGCACTTGAAACTTTCACTGTCCTATAATTTTCTGGATGGTCCCAGTTGCCCTCCTTAAACAAAGGAACAACATTGGCTATTCTCCAGTCTTTTGGGACCTCACCTGTGGCTAAAGAGGCTATAAAGGTCTCTGTTAAGGCCCCTGCAAACTTCTCTCTTGCATCTTTCAATATAGTAGGGTAGATCCCATCAGGCCCTGAGGAGTTAGCTACTTTAATGTCTCTCAATATCAATATAGCCTGCTCAAATCTTGCCATCATCTGTGTCCTTCTTGATGAATACTGATCAAAGTACTCATTAAGGACTTTGCCCACACCCTGTGGCTCCATGTGTAAATTCCCTCCTTTTGTCTTTGAATGGATCTACCTTTTCCCTAGTTAAACCATTGTCCCTAATAAATGTATAAAATGCCTTGGGATTTGCCTTAATCCTACTTGCCAAGAAGAATACTTGACTCCTTTTACTCCTCCTAATTCCTTGTTATATTATTTTTCTGCTCCATTTATATTCCTCAAGGGCCTTATCTGATTTCCATATCCTCAACCTTGTACATACTTCCTTTCAATATTTCTTGTAATCCAGGGTTCCTGAATCTTGCCATCCTTATCTTTCATCCTCAAAGGAACATATTGGCCCTGAACTCTGATCATTTGGTCTTTAAAAGATTCCTATGTGTCAAATGTGGATTTACTCTCCATCAGCCAACACCAGTCTAATTTCTTCAGTTCCTGCCTAATATTGTTGTAATTAGCCTTTTCCCCAGATAGCACTTTCACCTGAGGATCAGTCTAATGCTTATTCAAAAACTATCTTAAAACTTAAGGAATGATGATAATTGTTCCAAAATGTTGCTCCACTGAAACTTGATCACCTGGCCAGGCTCATTCCCCAATAAAAGGTCTAGTATGGCCCCTTTCCGAGTTGGACTATACATATGTTGTTTCAAGAAACCCTTCTGGATGCATCTAACAAATTCTGGCCCATTCAAGCCCCTGGCATTAAGGGATTCCCAGTCAATATTAGGAAAGTTAAAATCCCTCACTACAGTAGCCCTGTTATTTTTACATCTTTCCATGACCTGCTTCAATAAATGTTCTTCTGTCTCCTGCTGACTATTGGGAGGGATTTAACTCTATCATAATGATTGTGTCTTTCCTATTCCTGTGTTCTGCCCATACGGACTTGCTGGATGAGTCCTGTGACTGTCTCTTTAATGCAATGCCACCCCCTACCCCCAGCCCTTTAACATACCTCTTTATTTGAATCTTGTGGCAGATCATCCATGATCTCATTGAATAGCAGGAGAGTCTTGAAGGGCCAGATGGCTAACTTCTAGTCCTGTTTATTTCCAGCATCAGGCACTCACCACTGTTGCTGAGTCCATGAATGGACAGCAAGTGCACTCCCTACCCTTAAATTGGCTTGAGTGTTGAAGTTTGCATGGGAATGTCTAAAGTGCACTTCGCAGGATCAAGATGCAAAACTAGCTCCCAAGTCCAGTTCACAACCTCCTGATTACTTAATCATCGATGGATTTTAAATGGAAAATAAGGTGGCAATCGTGGTATGATGTGGGAACAGGATCAGGTTATTAACTGCTTGGAAGAAAGGGTAGAAAAGTAGAATATTTTTTGAAGAGGCATTGAACTTTTGAATTGAACACACAACGTTATTTTGCAGGTTCAGCAAGTAATTAGCAAGGCAAATGGTATGATGGCCTTCATTACAATGTGATTGAATATATGACCAAGGGCATCTTGATATCATTTTATAAAGCTTTGGTGAGTCTTCACACGGAGGACAGGGTATAGTTTGGGTCCATAGCTAAGGTTTACTTGTTTCAGAGGCATAACAGTGAAAAGTTCAGTGCAGTGGTTCCTTGTATGATAAGGGTTTGTTGTGACAGAGATTGTGTAAATTGGGCCTATACTTTCTGGATTTTACAAAAATAAGAAGTGATATTAAAGGCAGGATAGACACTATGAGGTTGCATCCTTTGGCATAGGAATCTAGAACATGAGCACAGTCCCATGATAAGGAAGTATTTCTTTAGCACCATGATGAGGAAGAATTATCTCACTCAGTGTTGTGAATCTTTGGAATTCTCAACTCCAAGGATCTTCCAAGTTTTCATTCAATGAACATACTTAAGGCTGAGATGTACTGAATTTTGATCTCTCAGGAAATCGAAGGATTTGGGGAGTGGGCAGTGCCCACTTGAAGCCCTATTGAATAGCTCAACAGGCTGGAAGGCTGTATGATCTGTTCCTAGTCCTATTTCTAATGCACTCATGTAATGTGCATCTCATCATGTAACATCCTACAGATTGCTACTGCTGCTACTATATTGACTGAGATATTTATTTGTGTTGGTTTTGGGTGCAGGTATGTCATATGATATTCCTTCCTTGGCGTGTTCACCCTTCTCCAACATTTTGGCCCCCTGCTATACTCCAGCAATTCCTGTGGAAGGTGAAAGATATTGATTGAAATTAAAAACTGGAAGAGATTTAGAGACCGGAGTATACATTGCTTGATGTTTTGATGTTATGGTGACAGAAGTTCAGAATGCAATGTGCTCATAGGATTTGGAAATCTCTGGCTAGGGCAGCATTTACAGCCATTATGCAATTGCACAGGAGAAGGTGGCGATTATTCTAGCACAGTCCTGATTTGTGACTTGTAGATGATGAACAATCTTTGGGGAGTCAGGAGGTTAATTACTCACCACAGAATTCTGAATCACAGTTGTAGCTAAAGTGACCATGACTGATCCAATTTTGTTTTGGTCAGTGGTAACCCCCAGGACATAGTTAGAACTGAATATCACACTGCTACTATCATCAGACATGTTTAAAATCCCATTTCTTCACCAGTTACTCCCAGTGGAGGGTGACTGAGAGATGGGTGTCAGATGGCACAAAATGAAGGTGAGTATCGGTGCTCATAGTTCAGTTGATGTTTGAGTTGCCTTGGAGGAAGAAAGGAATGAAGCTGTGCAATAGGTGTTGCTCTGAAGAGTATAGATCAGTAAAATGCTGAGGAAGTCAGAACATGGTGGTTGGTGCCTGAATGTGATGTGCCGCTCACCTGCAATGATCTAATGAGATTACTGACTCTTTGGTAGCACTGTATCCATGTCCTTGGCACCAAATTTCTCCTGCTATCTACAGGTACCTTCAAAATTTCTAACATGTGAACATCACCTTTGGGGGTGAGTCAGAGAACCCAGAGTGGTGGGTAGGAAGTAACCAGACTTTCCATGTCTTCCTTCCTTCCTTCCTTTTACTAAACTCCAACCTTCAACAGTGTTATTAGATGCAACCAGTTTGAACCCTGCCGGCGTCTGCTAGCTTGAGAAATTTTCACTGCTAGATTTGGTTGTCAGCAAATCAGTACTCTGCTCAGGAAAACCAGAAGTAGAATGCTAATGCTGTGTTTGAGGAAACATCCCCAAAAAGCCTGCTGACAGAACAAGTGGGCTCCTAACCCACCGTCAGCCCTTCTGCTACAAGAGAACTTGTAATAAAATTCTGGTCATGATATCCATAAAGGGAATTGACTGAGAATGAGAAACATAATGGAATATTTACAGTAAACCTGTGAGATTTGCTGAACTATATAATATATCAGTTGAATGGAAACTCTAGAAAAGTTATTTCTAAAAGAAGATTGAATTTTTAAAATAAATAACAGATTGAGTTTTGTTTCCTTGAAGATTCTTAGCCAACTTCGTTACAGAGTTGATTTCATGCTAGGGTAACGTTCCAACGACACCAGTTTCCCTGTAGTATCTCAACCATCTGGCCAAAAGTTTAGTGTGAACATTAAATCCAGGATTCCCATTCTCAAAGCAGATAATGCAGAGTTGTGAAAATTCCCAGCTTAGTGCACCCACCTTGAAAGAAACTACTCCAAGAGGCTAGATCTCTGTTGTGTGAGGCCAGAGGGAGCATGATGGAATCAGGCCCATCACCTTCTGGGAACTGTCTCAGCAGCGGTTGTGTGCTAAGCTGGGCTGGTTAAAGGGCCCATTTCTTTGCTTTGCAATTTTTTTTCAATTTGTTATAAAAATAGCTAGACCGTCAGCCCTCACACCCCTGCCCCTTCTCCCTGAAAACATTCATTCCCATGCCCCTTCCTAGCCAACTGATATACTCACCCACCTTCCATGGCCCCCAACCATGCTGGCCTGTGTGCCTCTAGCTAAACCTTTGGACCGTGATAGCCTCCATGTTACCATTTGTCTCTGTACCCACCCTCCATGGTCACTCATTCTTTTATTGTCAACTTAGACTCCTCTAACCCCATCTAGGCCCCATAAAAGCCTTGTGCAACTCATGGACCTAGATAAACCTCCCTCACCCCCATGGACCCTATTGAAACTGAGCTGAATTCTTTAACCTACTGTCAATCAAAGCAGTCCAGCAGAGGCTGTTTGTAGCTCTTGGTGATTGCTGCAGTCTGTTTCTTTCTCTTTAGGTGCAGTAAATATGTGACCTGCTTGGTTTAGCATGTTAGAGGAAAACCACTTACTGGTCTAACCAGCAGAGGCTCTTGTATTGAACAAGCAGCAGCTTATGCATGTTGGCAATGAGTTGCAGGTTGATATGAGAGCATTATTATGGTGACTATGATGAGGATTTGAAGTTAGGCTTCACTGTTCGAAGATCCTAAGATGTTCTCACAAGTCCATATGATGTATTTTTAGTGGGCGGTGCTTATGGCTCTCCTCAGTATTAATCTTTCCAAACCCATATGCAACAACCTTCACTGATTCCTAATAAAACAATGCCATGATTTAAGCATTCTCAATTTTTGTTTTTGACATCCTCCATAACCTCATTCCCTTCTGTTAATGAAGTGTCCTTCAATCCTTCAACCCTTTGAAATCTCTGCGCTCCTCAAAAAACCAACCACTACCACCACTACTAACCACCGCTATTGGTGGTCTTGCCTTCAGTTGCTTATTCTGTAGGAGTCTAAGTCATGACATTACCTCCCCAAATCTTTATGCCTGTCTTCCATGTTCCTCCTTCATGACGTTCCATAAAACCCAACATTTTAATCAGCGTTTGGTCATCTGTCTTAATATCTCCTTATCTAGATTTGGTGTCACATTTTGCTTTATAATGCTATTGTCAAGCACTTTGGGGCATTTCAATTTCATTAAAGGTGGGATGGATATTCATACAACTTGTGTCATAAGAGGCTCTAAGTGGAAGAAAAAAATAAAATAAACCTTAAATGATGAATTTGTTACTTTTAAAACATTCATAATCTCTCAACAGGTGACAAAACATTTGCTTAAGCTGTTTGATAATTTAGCTGATTTAAAATTTGAAAATAATGACAAGCATGGTGACACATGTAATGCAGTGGGAATGTACAGTAGAGAAGGAGAATATGTGCAGCTTTCAACACCCTGTTTTTGTGAAGGACAGGTGGGTTTTTACTTGTTTGCATTCTATATGGTAATACGTTTGAAAATCTGAATGATGTAAGACAGTTTGACATTGGTTGAAATTAATTTTGGAATGGATTCCAAATTATTGGAAGGGGTTTTTTTGTCTCTGCATATATCAAAGAAAAAAAAATATGGAAGAAAACAAAATAATTTGTCAAACAACTAAGTGATTAAATTTGAAAATCTGAAAATTTTTCTTTAAATAACAATGCATTGTATGCCTCCCTATAGGTTTTAATCTTTTGAATAAATTTATCACATAAGAATGGTTTCTTCTGCATCTCGGAGTCAGTCCATTAAAGTATTTCACTTTGGCATTGGCTTTCAGCATGTGTTAAAGAAAGATCTATTGTGGGAAATGCCAAAATATGACAGTTGTGCTCAGATCTTTGCAGTTGCAGAGAAGGATAGGCAATTAATAAAACAGATGGAATATTGGACTTTAAAAATAGAGGAACGAGTGCAAAAACCCAAAGGTTATGCCAAACATCAAATCTTTAGTAAAGGTGTAGGCCACTTAGTCTCATGAACCTGTACACTCCAATTCGATGAGAATATGAATGTACATGCCTACTTTTGTCCCATAACCTCTTAATTTTAAATCTGAGATTCATTGATAATTATAAGTTGACTCAGCATCAACTGCCATTTTCACAGAAAAGATCTTCTAATTTCTACCACCCTCTATTTGCTTACAAATGTTGATCCTGAAAGGCCAAGCTCTTAATTATTAGTCTGTATCCTTTATCCTTTAGTCCCAGATTCCCCAATCAGTATAAATAGATTCTTTCTGTTTACCTTATTAATTCCACTTAAATATTTTGTAAACTTCAGTTAAGTCACCTTAACTTTCTAAAATACATTGAATGCATCCTCAGTTTGTGCAATATCTGTTGGTAATTTACCCTTTTCAGTCGAGGTTTAATTTTGGTGAATCTGTATTATGCTTTTTCAAGAGCCAAACTATCATGTCCGGAGTGTGGTGCCTCAATCTGAACATGGTGCTGCAATTGTGGTCTAACCAAGGTTTTATATAGAAAAGAAAAAGAACTATGTTCTGAATGGTCTTTGCTTCATTACTAGGCTGAATGTTGGCTGCATAATCTTGAGGAGACGATGCGAACAACAGTGCAACATGAAATCATGGAAGCAGTTGCAGCGTATGAAGAGAAGCCGAGAGATCAGTGGTTGTTCGATTACCCGGCACAAGTGGCCTTGACTGGCACTCAGATTTGGTGGACCACAGATGTTGGAATTGCTTTTGAACGTCTGGAAGAAGGCTTTGAAACAGCTTTAAAAGATTACAACAAAAAACAAGTGAGTTGTCTTTAAAACAAGTTTCCTAATTAAATCTGCAAAGACTGATATCTTGAGTGGTAATATTTTCGTTAAATTACAGAATTTAGACCATTCTGATTTAATTCTACTTTTACTTGCCCATTGTACAGTGTAGTAGAATTGCAGTAAAGCACAAAACACTGAGAATTTCCTCAGCGATTCTCTTAATTGGTCATTGTAACTCACCAAGAAACCTGTTTATACAATTTATCTGGGAATTCCTTGATTATCTGTCTAAGCTATGGTAGCTGATCAGGAGAATTCAAAGAAATGTCTGACAGTTGTGTTGGACAGCTTGTGATTGCTACTTTTCACTCACAGCAGGCCACCAGTTCCTATAATTCCTTCTCATTACTACAAGCTGACCAATGATTAACGTATGCAGTTATTATTTTTAGATTGCAAGTTTGTTGAGAATACATTGAGCTCTGAAACAATTCCATCCATATTTTTTCTTCTTTAATGTTCTTGCAATAATCTTCATAATGTGCAAAGTATAAGATAGAATGAATAAGATTGAACAAATTTGCATTCCTCACTATCCATTAATTTTGCTTCAGATGGTCAATATGCACAATTTTTATATTTTAGTTAATACATTACAGGGGATGCCTTGCAAGTATAATGCTTTCTAGAATAAGTAATCAATGTATGACATATAGTGTACTGTACCCTATCTTTTTGAGTAGTCAAATATAATTATTTTTATTGCAGATTGCTCAGCTAAATGTTCTTATAAACATGCTACTAGGGGAGCTCACCCATGGTGATCGTCAGAAGATTATGACAATCTGTACAATTGATGTACATGCCAGAGATGTTGTAGCAAAGCTCATAGCACAGAAGGTAATTTGTTGTAGCAATTACCCTAATGCATTCTTAAAAGCATAAAATAAACATAATTTCCCTGTAAAGGGGCTGCTCAGTTGTCCTGGAAAGAAATGACAATGTTTTGATGTAGTCACTTGGGTCTTTTCCAGTGATATGTTACATAATTACATTTACTAGCTAAAGTACAAGATTGACTTTCTAGTATTTAGTCTAAATTTCTTATCATTTTGACTGTATTTCTTTAAGGTGATTGCAGTTTTTTTTGTTTTCCTAGTCAAGGTTTACTCAAGTACCACTGAACTGGTTTTACGTTCTGCATTACTCAATACCCATTTTAGATATTGCACTCTCTTGATATTTTTACTAAAAAAAATTGATCTCCAATCTCTGTTACCACAATATTTATGCTAGAGTGTTTCAAAATGATCTTGAAGATCTTTCTGTTGTTGAATAAATGAACCCTATGTTAATTGCATTCCATCCATTAATAATTCTGTCATGTACAGAGCAACAGTTAAGTTTTTTTTTAATTCATTCATGGGATAAGAGCGTCGCTGGCTAGGCAGCATTTATTGCCCAGAGGGCAGTTAAGAGTCAATCATATTGTTGTGAGTTAGGAATCACATGGAGGCCAGACCAGTTAAGGATGTTAGTTGAACCAGATGGGTTTTTCCAACAATCAACAATGGTCATCATTAGACTCTTAATTCCAGATATATATTGAATTCAGTATCCACCATCTACCTTGGCGGGATTTGAACCCGGGTCCCCAGAACGTTATCTGGGTCTCCGGATTAACAGTCCAGTGATAATACCACTAGGCCATCGCCTCCCCATGAAGACATTTATTGTGTATGAGTTATTTGGAGCTGAAAAAAAATCAGTTTCTTTTATTGATGCATTATTCCTATCCTACTCGGAGTTCTAATGTAGAGTTTTACCAGGCTATTCCATACCTAGTTTTCAAAAGCCAGAGGCATTCGTTGTTGGAGTCAGACAAAGTGCATGTTACACCAAACCATGGGTAGAATCGTGAAAAGATTTGAGATTGATGTGTAATTTTGAAAATACTCTTTTCCCGGAAGTGATCACCACAGAAAATAATGTCCTTTCAGGGTAAATGTTAAAATGAGTAAATGTTAAAAACATCATTTATTATTATGTTTTATTTATTATTATTGTTATTTATTATATGACAGGAGGGGATGGAAAGCAAATAAAACTAGTCTTCAATCATAGAATCCCTACAGTGTGGAAACAGGCCATTCGGCCTGACAAGTCCACACTGACCCTCTGAAGAGCATCTCACCCAGATCCAGTTGACCATGTCTAACCCACCTAATCTAAACATCCCTGGGCACTATGGACAATTTAGCATGGCCAATCCACCGTTGCACAACTTTAGACTGTGGGAGGAAACTTGAGCACCCGGAGGAAACCGATGCACACACAGGGAGAATGTGCAAACTCCACGCAGTCACCTGAGGATGGAATCAAACCCGGGTCCCTGACACTCTGAAGCAGCAGTGCTAACCATTGAGCCACGGTGCCACCTTTTCTATGGCTCTATATTTCTACACCTTGTTAACTTATTTTGCAAGAATTTTAAAATCAGGTTTGGTGAGTTCAGAGCATTTTAGGAATGCAGAGTGGTGGCTGTCTTAATTAATAATAGTATTAGTGAAATTTGAGAGTGATGAACTAAGTTCAAGAAAACAAGATATGGAAAAATTTTGGGTAAAAATGATAAAAGCAAGTCACTTGTGAGAACAGTTTCCAGCCTGCCTTATAGTAACCACATCGTAGGTGGAGATAAAGAAAGAAATGATAAAAGCTTGTCAGAGAGACTGGCGATAATTATGGGAGACTTCAATCTGCATATAGCCTTGAAAAGTTGGATGGGCAAAAGGTAGCATAGGTGAGTTGTTTGTAGAATATTTCCAGGACAGTTTCTTAGAACAGCATGTTCTGGAGCTTAAACAGAAGTAGCTGGAAAAGCTGAGCAGGTCTGGCAGCATCTGAGAAGAAAAAAATCAAAGTTAACATTTCAGAACAAGAAGGGTCACTGGACCTGAAATGTTAACTCTGATTTTTTTTCTTCACAGATGCTGCCAGACCTGCTCAGCTTTTCCAGCTACTTCTGTTTTTGTTCCTGATTTACAGCATCTGCAGTTCTTTGGTTTATATGTTCTGGAGCTTACCAGGGAGCAGGGTATTCTTGAATGGCATTCTGCAATGAGATAGGATTAATTATAATCTCATAGGGAATGCACTCCTGGGTAGTAGTAGCCTTTAACATGATTGAATTTTATGTTTAGTTTGAGAGAGAGCAGTGGGTCTGAGATTATTTTTAAAATTTTAAAGGGAATTATGAGAGCCATGAAAGCAGAGCTGGCTAAATTGATTTGACAAATTAGTTTAAAGGATAGGTAAATAGAGATGCAGTACTGACAGTTAAGGGGATATTTCAGAATACATGGAATAGATACTTTCCAGCGATTAAGAAAAATTCCATGGAATGGATCCATCATCAGATTAACTAAAAGGATAAATGGATAGTTATAGAGTCATACAGCATGGAAACAGGCCCTTGGTCCAACTCATCCATGCCGATCAAGTTTCCAAAACTAGACCAGCTCCACTTGCCTGCGTTTGGCCCAAATCCCTCTAAACCCTTCCTATTCATGTCCATGTCCATGTCCATGTCCAACGTCTGTTAAACGTTGTAACTGTATCAACATCTACGACTTCCTCTGGCAGTTTGTTCCACGTACAAACTACCTGCAAAGCTAAGTGGTACACAGGCGATTAGACAGAACATAGAAAACAGTAAATAATGACCAAAAAGTTAGGAAAGAGGGAAAATTTAGAGTGAAAAGCTAGCCAGAAATGTTAAAACAGATAGTAAGAGTCTTTTATAAATATTTAAAGAAGAAAGAGTTAACAAACTGAAGGTTGGTCCTTCAAAAAGTGAGACTGGAGAAATAATAATGGAAAATAAGAAAATGGCAGATGAATTGAGCAGTTATTTTGCATCAGACTTGACCATAGAGGATATAAGTAATATACCAGAAGCTATGATAGATCACGAAATGAAAGTGAGGGAGGAACGGTGACTCAGTGGTTAGCACTGCTGCCTCAGCGCCAGGGACCCAGGTTCAATTCTGCCCTCGGGCGACTGTCTGTGTGGAGTTTGCACATTCTCCCCGTGTCTGCGTGGGTTTCCTCTCACAGTCCAAAGATGTGCAGCTTAGGTGGATTGGCCATGCTAAATTGCCCGTAGTGTTCAGGGATGTGTAGCTTAGGTGGATTATAAGGGGATGGGTCTAGGTGGGATGCTGTGAGGGTCGGTGTAGACTTGTTGGGCCGAAGGGCCTGTTTCCACACTGTGTAGGGATTCTATGTGAAATGTGAAAACTTCGGGGAAAATCACAGTTGCCTCTGGTTGGATATAGTCATTACCTCACATAGTATGTTGTGAACGTTTCTTGTTTCAGTCCAAACCTGGACATTGTGCAAGTCATGTTGCATTTGCTGCAAAAATGAGAGATGTCATGGTCATTTGGGGGACTTGGGATTCCCAACAACTTCTGATGTTTTTCCTCGAGCAAAGAAACTCACTGTCATGGAAAAATTCTGGTCTCTAGTATCAGTGTAAAAACATCAATGCAATAGTGTCCATTAGCACGTTGAATCATGGAGATGTGCAGAATGGAAACAGACCTTTCAGTCCAACTTGTCCATGCTGACCAGATGTCCTAAATAAATCTAGTCCCCTTTGCCAGCATTTGGCCAATATCCCTCTAAACCCTTTCTAATTCATATACCCATCCAGATCCCTTTTAAATGTTGTAATTGTACCAGCCTCCACCACTTCCTCTGGCTCCTCATTCCACACACGCACCACCCTCTGCATGAAAAAGTTGCCTCTTAGGTCCCAATTAAGTCTTTCCCCTCTCACTTTAAACCTACGTCCGCTAGTTTTGGACTCCCCCCACCGTAGGGAAAAGACCTTGTCTTTTTACCCTATCCATGCCCCTCATGATTTTTTAAACCTCTATCAGGTCACCCCTTAAACTCCGATGCTCCAGGGAAAATAGCCCCAGCCTATTCAGCCTCTCCCTATAGCTCAAATCCTCCAACCCTGCCAACATCTTTGTAAATCTTTTCTGAGCCCTTTCAAATTTCACAACATCTTTCCTATAACAGAATTCCACGCAGTATTCCAAAAGTGGCTTAACCAAAGTCCTGTACAGCTGCAACATGACTTCCCAACTCCTATACTCAATGCACTGACCAATAAAGGCAAGTGTACCAAAAGCTGCCTTCACTACCCTATCTACCTGTGACTCCACTTCCAAGGAACTATGAACCTGCACTCCAAGGTCTTTTTGTTCAACAACACTCTGTAGGACGTTACCGTTAAGTGTACAAGTCCTGCCTGATTTGCCTTTCCAAAATGTAGCATGTCATGTTTATCTAAATGAAACTCCATCTGCCCCTCATCCCGACATGATGAAAGTGGTGTACTGTTGTGAATTTCTCAAATAAAAGACATTGGGCTGAAACGCACTTTTTTTGGCTGAGTGTGAGCTATGTTGAGTTTGGTGGAATGATTCTCACTGCAAGGTCGAGTGAGTTGGCTTGCTATGTTTTGCCAAAGTCACCATGATAATTGGGGTTTCAGGCCACATAGTCAACATCATGTCTGATTTTAACCCCATCTCACCACACAATTTGCCACTCACCGGAGATCCTGAAAATGACTGACATTCCTAGTGCCAGCACCATATTTAAAAGGCTGTTGTGGACCACACAATCGCCATCAGTCTGGAGCTTCCCAATACGGTTCCGGATATTTGCTGTGGACATGGCGCACAAGGGGAAATCAATGCCCCGCTTTGCGGTCCTACTGAGTAGGGTGGTGTGCAGGCAGGAATTACTTTTCCTCCAGTGGAAGTCACGACCCTGCACCATGCCAGTCAGGTCCAAGTTTGCCACCCAGGCTACAGCAGTCCCAGTCATCTAGAGGAGTGCCCAGCACTGTAAAAAGGAGATCAATGTCTTTCTCCACTCCACTATTTTCTCTCTGATATCTCTCATTTCCTAAATTTCTACTTTTGCGCCCATTTCACCCCAAGGCTCATGTTCTACCACTCTCACTATGCCTGCAATATCTTCCCTCACTGGCTCTCATTACTGTTCTACACTACTAGCCATACACACTTCACTGCCTCACCACCCACTCAGGACACCTCCCCACCTGCACCAACAGGTCAGAATTGTTTTAGCCCAGTGTCCAACATAGAAATTTTTTGATGTAAATGGTGAGTTGTACCCACTCAAGTTTTTCTGATGGCTAGTTTTATGGTGAGTTTAAGATTAAAACCTTAGTTAAGTGGGCTGTTGAGAAGGCGTTTAACAAGGAAAAAGAGTGTCACTTGGGAACTATCCAGGCAAGAGGCTATAGTTGCCTATCCAGAGTCTTGTCACACCACAAAGTAAACAAGATATGGCAAGATGAATTCGACATTGAGATGGGCCTTGCTGAACATCTCGCCATTGCCCACATTGCACTAAGCGTGATTAGATTCTGCTCAATGCCTTTCTCAAAAGATGAGCGTTTTAATTCAGGTTTATTTACTTTACAAATAATATGATATTTACATTTACTCACATCCATAGGGTGTAAAAGATGTAAAACAAAAATATCTTTTAAAATAGAGATGAAAACACTTTGTTCAGGCATTTTATTTACTTTTATTTATTTATTTTATGTTTCAATGTTAATTTTTTTTGCTAGGCCACTAAAGGTCAAGCATTTGCCTGGCTATCACAACTGCGTCACAGATGGGATGATCATCATCGGCAGTGTTTCATTAATATCTGTGATGCCCAGTTTCAATATTCATATGAGTACCTTGGTAATATGTCTCGGTTGGTAATTACACCTCTGACTGACAGGTAGGGCCTGTTTTGATCCATTTACTTGTTTGAAGTAATCTAATAATTTAACATCTGTGAAGCTAGATCTGTACTCTCTTGCTTAATGGCAATGCACTTGTGCAATTTATCATTTTCAAATACTTTTAAAAAATGCTTTTATACATTTCTCCTCATACATTATAAGGTGTCTTATCAGTTTGAGCACTGACCACCTCAGCTGTCTGATGTAAAGCCATTATCATCCTGAGATATGCAACAATAATGAAAATGTGGGTTGTACCTCCCTAATCCAGCAACATTAGGACTGGGCCTTTGCTGTACCAGAGAATATGCCAGATCACAGAATGATTACGGTATGGAATGAGATCATTCAGCCCATCTACACGGCTCTCCAAATGAACATTTTGGCTTACTGCCACTCTCCTGCCTTTTCCCTGTAACCCTGTACATTGTCTCCATTTAAATAAATTTCCACCACCCTCTTGATTGTCTCAGTTGAACCTGCATTCACCACACTTCCTAGGCAGAGCATTCCATTACCTAACTACTCTCGATGTGAAAATATTTTTTCCTCATGGTGCATCTGCCAGGAACCATTCTTGTAAGACCCCTTCTGCACTCTAATGCTTTTACATCGTTCCTATAATGTGGACCCAGAATTGTGCACAGTGCTTCGGCTGAGAACCACACAAGCTCAAATGTCAGTGTCAAAACAATTAGTACTAAAGTGAGAAACTTGCATTTGACTGATGGTCAGTGGCTGAAGTCCTAATGAAACTTTTTAAGCCATCAAAAATGTTAAGTATATTCCACGCACATTGAGAATAATCTCCATCAAGTTGTCCTGTTTTGTGGCTTCACCAGGTTGTCTTCTAATTTTTATGTATGCCTGGTGCTACTCATGGCATTCCTTCCTGCGCTCCCACACTCCCATTGAACCAAGGTTGATCTCCTGACTTGATGGTAATGGTTGAGTGGGGGATGTTCCAGGCCATGAGGGTGCAGATTGTGCTGGAGTACAGTTCTGCTGTAGATGGCCCACAGCACCTCTCGGGCACCCAGTTTTGAATTGCTAGATCTATGCGAAGTCTGTCACAATTTACACAGTGCCACAGAACTCGATTGAGGTTATTCTCAATGTGAACTTCCGTAAAGTTGTGTAGCAATTTTGTTGCAGTCACTGAGATATGATTGGAGAAGGCTAGGACTGGCAGCTTGACATTACAGTGTATAGAATGTTCAGATGGGATTTTTGGGGGAATGTAAAAGAGGTGGGGAAACGCATTATTGATAGAGGAAACCATCACTGCATTAATGAGGGAAGATGTTCAAGATATCTCTTCGAATTAGGCTATCTGGGCAGAGCTTAGAAATAAAAAAGGATGATCACTTTGCTGGGATTATAAAACAGATGCTGAACAGTCGGGGAGAGGGAGGAGTAGATATGTAGGCAAATTACAGTAAGGTGAGAGAGGAACAGGGTTATAGTTGTAGGGGATTTCAACTTTGCTAACATTTACTGAGAACACCTTAAATCAGAAGGATTTGACGGAGTGGAATTTTTAAAGTTCTGCAAGGATAGTATTTTGTGCCGATACAAAGTCTTACTAGAGATGGGACTGTTTTAGAATTAATCCTAGGTCAAGTGGTTGAAGTTTCAGTGGGTGCAAATTTAAAGTCATTATGGAAAGGGTTAAGGGTTTGCAGAAGTCATGTTTCTAAATTGGGGGTGGGGAGTGGTGGTGAGACCAATTTCAATATCACCAGACAGGATCTGGCAAACGTAGACTGGGAGCAGCTACTTGCAGGTAAGTCTACATTTGCAAAGTGGGATTCTTTTCAACCTAGTATAGTGAGAATTCGGGGCCAGCGTGCTGTAGCAAGAGTGAAGGGCAAAGACAGCAAGTCCAGGGAACCCTGGAAGACAAGGGATATTCAAGAGTTTGATAAAGAAAAAGAAGGAAGCATGTGTCAGGTACAGCGTACTAAAAACAGGAAAGACCTTTCAAAAGTACTGAGAGTATGGGAGCTCGCTTAAAATGAAATAAGGAGGGGGACGCAAAATATCTTTGGCATATTAGATTAAGGAAAACCCCAAGGCCTTTTTATTAGTATATTAAGAGTAAGAGAATTACCAGGGAAAGAGTGGGACCTATTAGAGACCAAAGGAGCAGCCTGTGAGTGGAGCCAGAGGATGAGAGTGAGATCTTAAATGTGTTCACAGAAGAGAAAGTCATTGTACCCAGAAATTTCAGTTGGGATTGTGAGTTTCTAGAACATGTTAAGATTAATGATGAGGTATTAGATGTTTTAGTGGGTGTAAGTATGCAAAAGTCTCAAGATCTGATGAGATGTATCCCAGGTTGCTATGAGATGTAAGGGAGGAAATTGGTGGGGCCCGAGCAGCTATATGTAATACTTCACTGGCTACAGGTGAAGTACCAGATGTTTGGAGGATAGTTATTATGGTTCTTTTGTTCAAGAAGGGCAGCAGGAGTAGGTCAGGTAATTACAGATCAGTTACATTGACATCAGTGGTAGGGAAATTATTGGAAAAAATTCTCAGGGACAGGATTAATTAAAACTTGGAAAGGCAAGGATTGATTCGGGATAGTCAGCACAGATTTGTTAGATGATCCTTACTGACTAATTTAACTGAGTTTTTTGAAAGATGACTAAATATTATTGATGGGGGTAGTGCCGTTGATATGCTTTACATGAACTTCAGTGTAAGGCCTTTGTCAATTCCCCATATGGAGGCTGGTCCAGAAGATAAAAGCCCATGGGATCCAAGGCAAGTTGGAAAACTGGATCCAGAATTGGCTTACAAATAGTAGGCAAGGGATGATGGTGCCCTTTGTGATTGGAAGCCTTTGACCAGCGGTGTACCGCAGGGATTATGCTGGGACGGTTGCTGTTTGTTATCTACATTAATGACTTGGACGTGAATATAGAAGATATAATTAGTAATTTTGAAGATGCCATGAGAATTGGTGTGCTGTTGATATTGAGGATGGTCTCAGGCTGCAGTCTAATATTGATCAGCTAGTAAATTGGGCAGAGCAATGGCAGATAGAATTTAGTCCTGTTAAGTGCAAGGTGATGCATTTTGGGAGGTCTAATAGGGAAGAATATACACAATGACTGGTAGATTCTTAGGGAGTACTGAGGAACAAAGGGATCTTGGTGTACAAGTTCATAGATCCCTGAAGGTGTCAGCACAGGTAGACGGGGATTGAAGAAGGCATATGGGATGCTTTTCTTCATTAGTCAGGGCATAGAATATAGGAGCAAGGAAAGTCTTCTTACAACATTGGTTAGGCCACAGATGGAATACTATGTATACCTCTGGTTGCCATACTATTGGAATGGCATGATTTTACTGGAGAGGGTGCAGAGGAGATTCATCAGGATGTTGCCTGGGATGAAGAGTCTCAGTTATGGGGAGAGGCTAGATAGGCTGGGTTTGTCTTCTCGGAGCAGAGGCTGAGGGGAGATCCAATTGAGGTACACAAAATTATCAAAGGCGTAGATAGTGTAGTTCCCCATGGCAGACATGTCAAAGACCAGAGAGCACAGGTTTACTATGAGGAGTAAGTGGTTTAAAGGAGATCTAAGGGAAAATATTTTCACCCAGAGGGTGGTAGAAGTGTGGAATGTGTGACTGAGAGGGTGGTGGAGACAGGTTGTCTCACAACATTTAAGCATCATCTGGATGAGCACTTAAAATAGCAGGGCATAGTAGGCTATGGACCACATGAGTAAATGGAATTAGGGTAGTTTGGTGTTTGTTGAATGTCATAGACATGGTGGGCAGAAGGGCCTGCTTCTATGTTGTGTGACTCTCTATGACCATAGGTCTCCAAACAGTCAATGGGCATTTGAAGAGCAGATATGTAGACAATTTACTAAGGCATGTAAAAATAATGATAGGATAATTATATTAGGAGATTTCAACAATCCCAAAATTGAGATAATCATGATATAAAGGGTTCGGGGCCGTTGCAGATTTCTTGAAATGTATAAGAGAGCTTTTTATGACAACATGTAGACGGATCTACAAGGGACAATGCAGTACTCGACCTAATTTTGGGGAATGAAGCCAAACAGATGTTTGAGGTGACAGTGGTGGAGCATTTTAGTGACAATAACCACAACACTGTGCTTTTGGTGTTTGTCTTCTTTTTAAAAGTTAGTCTGCAGCAAAGGGTTTTGGATTGTAGGAGGCATATTTTATTAAAATAAGGTAGGATGTAGCCAAAACAGACTGGGAAACAATACTTAGGGGTAAATCTACAGCAAAACAGTGGTAACCGTTCAAAAAGGAACTGGGACAGTGCAGGCCCAATGTGTTCCCTTTATTATGAAACATAGGAGCAACAAGCTTAGAGAACTGTGGATATCTTGGAATATTCAGGACTGGACTAAAAGGAAAAGCGATGTATGCAGATACATAGGGAGCAAACAATGGAGGCCCTAGAGTAGTGTAGGAAGCCGTCTACCACCACCCTGTCACTGCACCAATTTTGGATCCAAGTTAGCAAGCTAAACTGGATCCTTTTGAGTTTTTACCTTCTTTATCAGTTTAAGACCTTGTCAAAAACCCTGCTGAAATCCATAATAAACTACATCAACTGCACTATCCTCATTAACAGACTTGGCCACCTCCTTGAAATATTCCACCAAATTTGATAGGCATGACTTCTCTCTGACAAATCCATGTTGACCACCTTTGATCAAACCTTTCCTCTCTAAGTGGAGATTAATTTTTTCTTTCACAATTTTCTCCAATAATATCCTGACGACTAATTTTAGACCCACCTGGTCTATAGTTCCCTGGTATGTCTCTATTACCCTTCTCATAAAGTGCAACCACATTTAACTGTCCCCTATTCCCCTTTACTGTGGCTAGAGATGACCTAAAAATTTGGGTCAAGGACCCTGTAATTTCCTCCCTCGTCTTCCACAGCAACCTGGGATATGAGTTATCCTCACCTGGGGATTTGTCCACTTTTTGAAACTCTGCCAAAGCCTCCATTACCTCCTAATATCAATCTCCTCAAGGACTTCACAGTTCATTTTCTTGAATCCTGTTCTTGCATCCTCCTCCTCCTGAGTAAAAACAGATGTGAAGTATCCATTCAACACTCTACCAATGTTCTCTGGCTTGATGCACAGATTGTACCTCAACTGCTTTCTGTGATAACAAATTCCACATGCTTACCATGCTCCTGGTGAAGAAATTTATCTTTGACTTAGTCCTGAATGGTTTATCCTTAGACAGTGACCCCGAGTTTTGGACTGCTCTGTCATTGGTAACAGCGATCCGACATCTACCCTCATTCTTCTGGACTCCAGGAAATATAATTTTAACAGATTCAACGTCTCTTGTTATGTCAGTCCTGCCAGTCCAGGAAATGGTCGGGTAAACCTTTGCTGCATTCCTTCTTGATGTACTTGTGGGTAGTAGTGGCAATTTCTCCATTCCTTTACTGCTGGGTCAAAATCCTGCGACTCCTTTCCGAACAGCACTGTGCTGTCCCTACACCCCGAAGGCTGCAGCAGTTTGAGAATGCAGTTCACGACCACCTTCTCCTGGACAATTAGGGATGAGGAATAAATACTGGCATCGTCAGTGACGACACCACCCCCACCTCCTCCCCCCCGACCTTGTCCCTGTAAACAAACATGAAAATAATGTTTCTGAGCTCAACAAACAAACCCTCTTCAGAGAATCTAATTGTTTCCAACATTTTAAGGTTGTTATCTTCATTTGTCTCCACAAATTCTATTCCATGTATTGATTACTTGTGGTAAGTGCCTTGACATCAGTTCAGAATTTGCCTTTTGTTGTTCTAAGTTGATGCCTCACCTCCCATCACAGTTTATTCTGTGGTTTCGAAGGTTGCCTATTTTTTAATGTTTATCTCTAATTCTGTACTATAGTTACCTTCTTGCAAGGATGAAACTCCATCCAAAAGTCCTGTTGTTTTCTTGTTTGAATGCTGAAGATCAGTTTAATAGCTTTTCTCTGCACCTGTTCAAGGCTTAAATAACTCCTCCACATCCAATGATCGGGACCAACCACTGCAAGTGTAGTCAGACCACAGAATTATAGTGTTCAACCATGTTATCCTCTGATTTGCATAGTTCTGTTCTGCCCTACAGGTCAGCATTGCATTTACTCAATTGTTAGCTGTTAATTATGATTTTAATTGTTCCGCAGATGTTATATTACCTTAACCCAATCTTTGCATTTGACAATGAGTGGAGCACCATCAGGACCTGCTGGGACAGGTAAAACTGAGACCACTAAAGACTTGGGACGGTCTTTGGGCATTATGGTCTATGTTTTCAACTGCTCAGAACAGATGGATTACAAGGTAACACTATACTTTTCTACATTATAATCATGAAAGTAATTAATTTGTGAGTTGAATGCAGCGAGTTAGATTTATTGAGAAATTGTCCTTTGATTTTAAAAAACAAAGTTCTGATCAGTCTTGTCTGAGTTAAAGAGGATGAGTCAGCTGTCATTTCTGTTCTTGGTATGTCATGCTGAAAGTTCCACTGCATGGAACTTGAGTACAGACTGTCTTAGGCTTGACTGTAATGCTACCTAACTGTCAAATTGTCTGTCAGCACTGACTCTTTAGGCCATTTCTGAATTCAGACCCCAGCAGTAGGTGGATGGGAAATAACTGACAAAAGAAATCCTTTTTAGAACCATTATCATCACTGGTTTATAAAGTAATCAGTCTTTATTCAATTCACTCATGGGATGTGGGCACTACTGGTTGGCCAGCATTTATTGTGCCTCCCTAGTTGCCCTTGAGAAGGTAATGGTGAGCTGCCTTTTTGAACTGCTGTAGGTAGACTTACAATGCTGTTAGGGAGGAAGTTCCAGAATTTTGACCCAACATATTAATTGACTTGTTAAATAAGTTGTATTTTCAAAACCACTTTTTTCTTATTTAATATTACGGTTGACTTAGGGTTATGTTGGCAATAAATAAATAATTAAATGAAATTTCCATTTAACGAATAGATTTTTTGATTTAAGGGTAGTTACTGGTATCAGGGTAATGCAAATTGTCATAGTAGTCCTGAACAAAAAAAATTACTACATCAGCTAAATAGCATTCCTCCAATATACAGACCATGGGGAGGAGCATGGTAGACATTGGCAAAAATTTGATGGTTGCATATCAGCTGCATATTATAAGCTCCAGTAAATTTTCAATTTGCTATCGTCTGTCATCGACCTCAGCAAAGTTGAAAATTACCCTAATAATTCTTAATCTTGTGTTCCTTGGTAAGTCTTCATCTCCAGCTTCAGCTTTGGTCCAGCTCATTTTTACTACTTGAAAACTAAAATAATTGATCGGTTAAGCTTATGTAATGCTCACATTCAAATAAGAACGTAAGGGCGTAAGAATCAGGCGCAAATGTAGACCATACTGCCCTCAGAGCCTCCTCTTCCATTCCATACAATCATGGCTGATCTTCTGCTTTAACTCCACTTTCCTGTCAGCAACTCGTACTTCTTGATTTTCTGAGAAACAAAATCTCAGCCTTAAGTATATTCAAAAACAGAACATCCACAGCCCTCTGGAATAGAAAATTCAAAAGATTTGCAGTATTTTGTGTAAATAAGTTTCTCCTCATCTCAGTCCAAAATTATCCTGGAATTGTGCCCCCATAATCTATATTCCTTGGCTGGGGGAAACAACCTGTTGTGCCTCCACAGTCAGACCTTTAATAACTTGTATGTTTCAATGAAATCATCTCTCATTCTTCTAAACTACAGGAAATTGACAAAATTTACTCAGTGTTTTCTAGGACAAGCCTCTCATCCCAGGAATCAATCTGGTGAGCCTTCACTGCACTGCTCCCAGAGCAAATATGGCCTTTCTTTAAATGTGGAGGTTGAAACTGCGCATAGCTCTCCAGGTGTAGTCTCCAATTCACCAAGACTTCTTTAATCTTGAAATTCAGACCATTTGAAATAAAGGCCAGCACGCCATTTGCCTACCTAATTTCTCTCAGTACCTGCATGCTAACTTTCTGACCCAAATCTCTCTGAATATCAAGTTTCACGAGTTTAAAAAAATTCTGTCTTTTAATTCTTACTACCAAGGTGAATAACCTCTTACTTCCTCATGTTATTTTTAAACTGCCACTTTGCTGCCAACTCACTTAATCTTACCACTTTTTTTTATAGCTTAGATATATTAATCTTGTCTCTTTAAGTTATTAATGTAGAATCTAAATAGGTTAGGCTAAGCACTGATTCTTCCAGTACTTCACTAGCTATTAGATGGTACATTGGCTGGCACTGCTGCCTCAGCGCCAGGGACCCCAAGTTTGATTCCACCCTGTCTGTATGGTGTTTGTACCTTCTCACAGTGATTGCGTGGATTTTTGTCTGATGCTCTGGCTTGCTCCCACAATCCAAAGATGTACAGGTTAGGTGGATTGACCATGCTAAATTGCCCCAGAGTGTCCAGTAATGTGCAGGCTAGGTGGATTAACCATGGGAAATGCAAGAATAGGGTGGGTCTTGATGGAATGCTCTTCAGAAGGTGCTGAACGGCTCTTTCTGCACTGTAGGGATTCTATGATTCTGTAGTCTGCCAAGATTAAACTGTCCTTTTTATCCCTACACTTTCCTTTCTGTCCATTAGCCAAACCTCTATCCATGCTAATATTCTAACCATGTGTATTGATCTTTTGTATACAACCTTATTAAATGTCTTTTGAAAATCCAAGTACACTACATCTACTGGTTTTCCTTTATCTACCCTAGTGGTCACATCATTAAAAACCTAAGTTTGTCAAACACAATTGCCCCTTCGTAAAATAATTTGACTTTTGCTGGTCATAATATGATTTACTAAATGCATTCTTAAGACTTCAGCTGAACAGATTTTGCCAGCCACCTTGACATGTCTGTCTGCTGTGAGGCAGTGCTGCACTGTCAGAGATGCCTTTGGGATGAGACATTAAACCAAGGCCGCAGTTGTCTGCTGAGGTAGTAGAAACGATGTCCTGGCCAATATTTATGTCGCAAGTAATACAGAAATCACAGTTATGTGGTATTTATCACGTTGTTATTTGTGGAATTTTGCTGTATGCAATTTAACTGCCATTTCTTCTACGTTATGCCTATGCCTCAGAAATGTACTTCGTTACCTGCAAAAAAAAAGTTTCGATGTTTTGTGGATGTGAAAAGTAATATAAAATTTCAGTTGTTTTTCTTTCTTTTCCTGATGACTGATGTCTGAATAACCGGTCTGTAGTTCCCTGTTCTTTCTTTCCCCTTTTTCTTGAAATATGGTGTTAAGTTTGCTAGGTTATAATCTGTTGAGATCATTTGAGACACTAAGGGATTTTTGGAAATCATTAGCTATCCATTCACCATCTCCATGGTTACCTCTTGTAGAATCCTAGAATGTATATCACTGGGTTCTGGATGTTTGTCAACTTTTAGCCACTTAAATTTCTGATATTTTCTCTCTGACGTTAAATACCTTAAATTCCTCACACACATTTATGTCTTTGGTATATTTATTTTGGTATATAATTTGTGTCTTCTACTGTGAAAATAATTACAAAATATTTGTTCAATGTTTTTGCCATTTCTCATTCCTCATAATAATTTCCTGCTCCTAGCTGTAGGGACAAATTTATTATTTTAACTACTTGCTTTCTTTTCATAGTCGTGTAAAAAGCAGTTACAATCTGTTTTAATATTCCTGACTAGTTTGCTGTCATTCTATTTTTCCCTTTTTATTACATTTTGTGGCACTTCACTGCTTTCTATAGCACTCCAAACATCAGAGTAACTATTTTTCTTTGCAATGTTTCTTCTTCTAAACTAATACTGTCCTTAACTTTCCCTAATAAAGCATTATTAGATCTTTCTTGCTGAGTTGTTTTAACAGAAGGTATTGCTGTTGAACATGTTGCATAATTTCTTTCACCGTTTTCCAAATTTTAATTACTGTCATCCCTTTATAGTCTAGTTATCCAATTAACTCCAGTCAGGTCTCCTCTTGTAGCTGTATAACTAGCTTTGTTTAAGTTTTCTGTTTGGTTCTGAAGTAGGTAGCTTTCAGACTTTACAATAAATTCCATTGTATTAAGGTCACTTTTTCCAGTGAATCTTTTTTCTGTGAAATTGTTAATTAATCCTGCCTCATTGCACAAAGCTAGTTCGAACAGCAACTGTATCCCTGATTTAATTCTACAAGAAGTTGGGCAGAATTTTAATACTTGTGACACGATGAATGTTCATTGGCTAGAGAACACCACCTCTAGGATTCTAATGTGATTTAAGTCATATTGGGCAACCGATTGCCTTCCAGCAGAGGTCCTGCAAAATGGATCTTCTCCCTCTGAGAGCTACCAGTCAATATCAGAGGCTGGCAATTCTCCAGTAACAGCAATGCCACTGGGAACCACTACTAGTACTGCAGGAAGTCCAAGAAGGAGAATCCTGACTGGACTCCTGAAATACAGGCAGACAGGTCCCAACGAAGAGGGGAGGCTGCGTTGGTATAAGAGGCATCAGGACATCATCCTGCAGGACCACTCCTTGCTGCCAGTTTGGCCTTCTGTTGGGGCCAACAAAGAGAGAGGTACTCATACTAGAAAACAAGTGTGGGCTGAGGTGCTTTGGGGGCCACTGATGGATCTCAATTGGCATTAAGGTAGAGAAGATGTTGTCAATGCTTCCCATCCTCGAGGAAGCAGTCAGAAAGTTTGTGACCCTGCCCTCTCCTCAACCCATCTGCCACTCAGTCAGCTCCTGGGAGCAGTTCAGTTAATTGCATTGTCTCAGCAAGCTATTGCAACAGTATTTTATAAATTCATCATCAAACTCTTGTTGCTAATTTATCATTCTTTATGGTGATTGATGTCCTGCATAATTCTTAGTGACTTTATTCCAAGCTCTAATTATTTCTTTGTTTTGACAATGGTATAACTGCTGTTATTCAACTTGTAAACCAACATTACTTGCACTTTCAAATACTAATATTTAGCAGTTCCATCGAGGTATACAGTCATTTGATTTTAAATTAACTGTATTTTGATATGACCAACTTTTGAAAGCTACCTAGATCCAAAGAAAAAATCTCGAATTGATGACAAAGTGACTGTAATTGGCAGAATCTCATTTTTTGTTTTAGGCTTGTTTAATGAGTGAGGCTTGGTCTGAATGAATTGAAATTTGAGCAATCTTAAAGGATTATGCAAAGTAAGAATTTAAATTGCTTTTACTGTGACTGTCATCTTTGTAGAGCTCCTTAATTTTATTTCTGTAATTGTTCAGGCAGTTGCTGTCAAATCTAGGTACAAAAGTAACAGATACAAGCAGGAAGTCCACTTTGATAAAAAGACTTTCCATCGTGCCTTTCTTGATGCCCCAATGTGGATTACAACCAATTAAGTGCTTTTGTAGTGTAGTCAGTGTTTAAACATAGGAAATGGTGTATCTCTTGCCAATATACTTGAACAGAAAGTCATTGCTATTGACGTCATCATTACGTACCCACAAGACAGTAGAACAGGATATTGGAACTGGAGCTATCAGGTTGTATACCCATTGTTGCTGCAGCTCTTTGGCTGCCCCTTCCTTCTCTCCCCTCGCCGTCCTCCTCCACTCCCCCTCGTTGTCCCTTCCTCTGCTCCTTTCATCTCATGTACCCCTCTCCCTTCACTACATGCGTGCTTTCACCTTGCCACCCTGCGCACACTTTCTGTATTAGTGGTTTAATAATTTTATATCCTGTCCCTAAACAGGCAAATTGAAATCAAATCACAAAGCATATTTTTGATTTTAAAAATGTTGCCTTTCAAGGGCAGGTGCAGTGAGTACCCGCCACCACCACCGCGCCCCCCCCCCCCCCCCCCAAAAAAAAGTTATGTTGGTGGCAAGCATTCGCTCTTGCTGCATCAAAATCCTGCAATTCCCTCCCAAATGGCATTGTGGGGCTACCTGCAGTACATGGACTGCTGAGGTTCAAGAAGGCAGATCACCACCACCTTCTTATGGTGTAGCTAGGCATGGGTAATAAATGATCCCATGAGTGAATAAAAAAGAGGCCTGCACAATGTATCACAGGTGATTTATGTACAGCAAGCTTCCACAAATATGACAAGCATTTGTTGAGACAGTAAGGAAAAAAAGACCTAACCTCCTCTTTCTTCGAAGAAGTACCATGACATTTTATTTTTGTACCAGCCAAGACCACATTTGGGCTTCCTTTTAATTTCTCATGCAAAAGCACACCATTTCCTCAGTATGACATTGGAGTATTAACTTAGATTTTTGTGTCCAAGTCTCTGAAGTGAGGCTTGAACCCACCACCTTTTCTCTAAGGCAAAGAGTCATTGCACCCCCTGTGTTGAACTCTCTGGATGTGTTCCTTGCTTGTGTCTATGGCCACCTCTGAAAATATTGTATGTATTGTAATTTGAGTGTGATTGTTGTCATTGTTTAAACATGTTTTATACAATATTAGTCCATAGGAAATATATATAAAGGTCTTGCACAAACAGGAGTGTGGGGATGCTTTGATGAATTCAATCGTATTTCAGTGGAAGTTCTTTCAGTTGTAGCTGTACAAGTCAAGACCATTCAAGATGCAATTAGAAACAAGAAAAAGCGGTATGTTTTTTTAAAAAAAATAGATATATCTATCTAACTGATAATTCTTTGATCTCAAATTTGTACTAATGTATGTTTTGAATCAATAGATTTTATTTTCTAGGAGAAAGTATTGAACTGAAACCTTCTGTAGGTATTTTCATTACCCTAAATCCTGGATATGCAGGGAGAACAGAACTTCCTGAAAACTTGAAAGCCCTGTTCAGGTGTGTACATATGATTGAGATATTAAGTGTAATGTTTCCATAATAACTGTTACCCTTAATTTCTGAAATCCTATCATATATTACTGGGCAATAGAACAGTGACTGAGAAGGCTTTGACCTCATGTCTGATAATTCACTTCTCCGATAACTGACCAAGAAATCTTTCATTGCAGCAAGAAACATTGTTATTAAGTGTGTGAGCTCAAGTATATATCCTACAGCATATATTTATTAGGCTGTTATAGAATCCACAAATCTGCTTGCAGTATGTTGAACATGAAAGTTCCATGTTCAGGAATGGACAAAATTAAACGGTTGCCATGGTGATTGGTACACCTGATTACAGTGACTGAGCCGTCCAGATCCACTTTCATGCCAAACAAGTCAAGAGAAATTTCCCACCTCTCAGAGCTGCCTGTCAATCAGAGGCTGACAGCTATCTCGTATTAGCAGTATTGATTTTAGGGGGTTACATTTAGAGTTACCTAATATAGGCAATGAATGATTTATAGCAATTTTCTGATAGTTTGAAAAGCAGCAGTTTAGGTCATTGGTCAAAGAAAGAAATTGGCAGCCCATCACAGATGAGAACACTTCACTGATCCCAGAGCTGTTGTGTAGACTGGAGGAGTAGAAGCATTGTCCTTTTATGAAGCTGTGGTCATATGTCCTTTTGTGGGGTCTCTGATAGGCTTTGTTGGTGTTGGTACCAACAGTTTTTGTTCTTCACTCGGGCTGAAGTAGGGGAATTCCTATTATCATCTCAGGGGAAGGAGTTCTAGAGATATACAGCACAGAAACAGACCCTTTGGTCCAACCAGTCCATGCCGAACATAATCCCAAACTAAACTAGTCCCACCTGCCTGCTCCCGGCCCATATCCCTCCAAACCTTTCATGATCATATATCTGTCCAAATGTCTTTTAATTGTACCCACATCCACCACTTCCTCAGGAAGTTCATTCCAAACGTGAACCGCCCTCTGTGTAAAAAAAAAAAATTTGCCTGTCGTGACTTTTTAAAATCTCTCTCCTCTTACCTTTAAAGATGTGCCCTGTAGTCCTGAAATCCCCCATCTAGCGAAAAGACAACTACCATTAACTCTATCTATACCTCTCATTATTTTATAAGCTTCTATCAGGTCGCCTCTAAATCACCTACATTCCAGTGAAAAAAAAACCAGCCTATTGCGCGTTTCTTCATAACAAACCTTCCACATCTGGCAAAATCCTGGTGAATCTCTTCTGAACCCTCTCCAGCTTGATGATATCCTTCTTATTACAGGGTGACCAGAACTGGACACTGTGTTCCAAAACAGGGATTCATTAGATCAGGTCCCTGGGTTTTATCGGCCTTTATATTCTTTAAGACCTTCCAAACTTCCTTTTATGTCATGTGAACTGCTTTAAAAACATTGAAGTTTATTTCTCAGCACTGTCCAGACTACATTTCTTTCTACAAAGTAAAAACTAATGCGAAATATTCATTTAGTCTCTCCCCTCTCCTGTGGTTCAACACAAAAAGACAACCTCCTTGATCTTTAAGAAGCCCTACCCTCTCTTTAGTAACCCTTTTGCTCTTAATATATTTGTAGAATCTCTTTGGATTATCGTTAACCTTATCTGCCAATGCTATCTTATATCCCCTCTTTTCCTTCCTTATTTCTTTCTTAAGAATGCCCCTACACTCTTCATATTGATTAAGACATTCAATTGAACCAAGTTATCTATGTCTAAAGTAAGATTCTGTTTTATTCTTGACTACAGCACCAATATCTTTATTCATCCATTGTTCCTTAATCTTACCAGCCTTATCCTTCACTCTAACGGGAACATAATGTCCCTGAATCCTTGTCATCACACTCTTAGACACCTCCCACTTGTCAGATGTCCTTTTAACAACAGTATATTCCAATCAACTTTTGCAAGTTCTTGCCTTATACCATGGTGTTGCCCTTCTTCTTGGATCATCTTGCCCGTTACTCCCTTCCTGTCCCTGTTAATATTCCTTATTTTGGGGGCTGATCATCAGTGCCAAATCAAACCTTTGTCTAACCCCTCTTGGCCAGTGGCCATGGGATAGCTTCAGCATACAACCATAACGTCAGAAGATTATTGTCCCCTTGCCTGCTTTCATCTGAGGGTTAGTTTGCTTGCTTTCTCAGAACAAATACTTATTTTTGAAAACAACACACTGCTAAACTGGTGCATTTAGTGCCAGACAAGTTGTTGTTGCCAATTCAATAAGCATGATGACCTCCATGTTCCTTGTAATTCTGTCCATTGTTTTCATATGCTAAAGTTTTTGAAAAGTTAAGTACTGCTGTAATAGCTGTTAAATCTCATGCTATACAGTAAATGCAAGGACATTTCAGTTTTTAAAGGGACGCTGATATCCAACAATGCCATGGGGAGTGGTGTACACCGTTGATACTGCAGACAGCTAAGGCAGCAGGATCAAGAGGGGAGGAAGGTGAGCTAGTCTCACCAGGTTGGATTAGGAAGACCATGGAACAGGGAGGGGCAGGTGGGGATCTTCACCCATGGGAGACCATTATTCTCTCTGGGGGACATGGGCTGCCAAAATAGGAGCACCATTCTCCATACCCACCAAGCAAACTGTGGTGGGCTGCTCAGTATGGTGTGGCAGCTGTCAGATGAATACTGAATGAGGCTCTGAAGCAGCACGAACATGGCCATCTTTGACCTATTCCGCCCCGGACTCAATCAGGAAGGATTGTGCATTCAATGTCTCCACATCCTGTATTTCCTGCCCATTTAAATAGACCCCTGGCCTTCCAGCATGCATCTATGGGGAGCATTAAATTCCGACCTTTTGTGTGTGTGTGTGTGTTCAGCATAGAATTATTTTGTTTCATCAAGAAAGAAGAATGTGATATGCACCATGAAATAGAAATATGGAAATCATTTAATACCTCACCACAATATTCTTCTTTATGTACATTTCATTTTCGTTCCCTTGGTGCACGATATTAGTCACTGTTTCCTCAGTGATGACTAGAAGCAATACTTTTGAGTGATAAATATAAAACTGATATAACCTGAGTGTAAGCTTTTCACCATGTCCAATAACTAACAATAGTTTGAAGCCTTCAAACTGGTAAATCAAAGGGGAAGGATACAATTGAGCAAAGTAATGTCGGTGTTTCGGTCATCTTTTTGGGCTAATATTAGACCTTAGTGCAATATGACTGTCACCCATAATTACTTACAGCTTTCACTCTAAGTGAAACTAGTGAGAGAAACCAGGGAGATGAATACATGAAATTAGTTTGTTACAGCCTTGTCTGTTATTGAAATGAACGGAGTTAAAAAAGGTCTCATGAGATAGTAAAGTCAAAAGGATTGCCAATAATGTGAATAGAAGAGCTTTTATGCAAAGAGGAACTAAGGCACAGTAGGAGGGCAATGATTTCAGGAGGTAGGAGTAATACCGTTGTTGTGTTCCTGCCCCTGTAGCCAGGCTGCTGAAAATAAAGTTTTTCAGGAACCATGCGTAAATTGTCTGAGAAACTGGACCTACTGCTGGACACAGTGCTGTGATGGGAGCAGGATGAAGTCAGAGTGAATAGGTTAAAAGGCCCACTTCTGTTTATATGAAATTTCCTCCCATTAATGTAATCAATGGCCAAGGTTGAGATGCATCAGGAAGGCTCAGTGATACAAGTTAAATGATGTTGAACTCAATTACACATCTTACAGCAACTTATGAAGTTTTAAGATGGTACAATTGCGTTAGTTGCATCTTTTGCTTTAAAATTATTAATTTGAGCAAGATGAGAGCGGACATGAAGTGATTAGTAGAAAGCATGTTGTGTACAGCTTTATTTTTCTTAAAGTATCCAGCAGATACCTTAAACTAAAAATTCCCAATTTGGATTGTTTCTCCCATTGGGAATGAAGAACCCCAGTAGGGTATGTCACGTGACTGAGTTCACTTATAGATCAAAATAATTTTAAGAACATAAACAGGAGCAACTGTAGGTCATTTGGCCCTTCAAGTTTACCCTACGATTCAGTGCTTTCAGAGATGCAGAACTTCAGTGATTGGTAACACTCCTGCACATCTCATCAATTTGCTTACTTTGGCTTGTTATTGAGATTCATGTGCTGGCAGTAGACTGAAATGGCCTTTGACCATTCAAGCTTGATCACAGTTGCCCTTTTGCATCCAAGATTGAAAGACAAACAATTTAAGACCGGAAGAAATAGGAACAGGAGTAGGCCATTTGACCCATGAGCGTGGATCACTATTCAGTAGGATGATGGATGATGCAACATCGCTCACATCAACTTTCCTTCATTTTCCCCTTTACTGCAAACCCTCTTGAAATCGGGTCAAAATTCCTTTAGCCTTCCTGATTACCTGCAGCACCTGTGTGCTAACTTTGTGTTTCGTGCACAAATACCCCAAGTTCCTTTGTGTTGAAGCTTTCTGTAGTGCTTTTTTTCCACCATTTAAATAGTATTCTGCACATTTGCTCTCCCTTCCAAAATGAGCAGCTTCACGTTTTTCCACATCATATCCCATTTGCCAATGTTTTGCCCACTTGGCCTCAAGATGTCTGTCATAATTTCCATGATGGTGTTTCATGCTGTGGGCCAAGTACTGGGTTTAGTATAAATAGGTTGCAGACTTGATGGACTGAAGGGGCTCTTCTGTGCCGTATGACTGCATTTCTCTTGCATTGCCTCAACAAAAGCATCCCAATATGCTAACAATTACTGTCTTTTGTAGATGAAAGAAAATAAAAATCCCGTTTGGATGCCATAAATATTAGCTATTCTATTATTGAGAATGGCCACGTTGTCCAGTCCAGATACCATCAGGTTAGGCTGTGTACTGACAGATCCAAGCTTTGAGCTGGTGCAGTGAGAATTTCTTGAAGAATGGGACTGGATATTTTTAGTTTCTTAAGATTATTAAGGAAAGAACATCATTAAAATTTTAACCCTGTACTATTGATAGGGATCTAGCTATTGAAATGTTTCAACTGTCCAATGTCTATTTTCTGAGGGAAAAAAAAATTAAATCCCGGTTCAGTGTGCTTTTCAAACATCCAGAAGTTTGTTTGCTCCTTGCTATCCTTCATTTACAACATTCTGTACCACCTCTTCTCAAAAATACATTTTAGTCACCTGCCTAATTTCCCATCCTTGGCTGAAGTTATCTTCTTTTGGGAATTTGTAAAAGTCATAGTCACGCAGTACAGAAGAGGTCCTTCAGTCCAAGTCTACACCAACCTGTTTACACCAAACCAACTTTCCAGTACTTGGCCCATAGCCTTAAATATTATGACATTGAAATTATGATAGAGATCTTGATGGGTTAAGTAAGTGGGCAAAAGGTTGGCAATGGAGTGTAGTGTGGAAAGATGTGTAGTTCTTCATTTTGAAAGAGAGAACAAAAGAGCAGAGTATCATTCGTATGGAGAAAAACTGCAGAAAGCTGCAACGCCATGATTTAAAATCTATTCCCCATCCTATGATAATATGTTAAAGAGGACAATATTATTGCAAGTAACTGGCTGTCAAATTACAGCTGTTGTCTATTTGCTCTGTCAATTCAAAAAGAGAGGGAGGCAAAAATCAGCAAACTGTTGGAATTGATTAAGAAAGTAATAGCACATTTGGAACATCATAACCTAATTAAGCAGAGTAAACGTGGTTTTGTAATAGAGGAATTGTGCTTGACTAATTGATTAGTTTTTCGAGCAAGTCTAAGACTACCACCACCTTCACCTTAAAATTATGCCCCCTGGATACTCACCTTTCAGCTAGGGGAACAGAGCCTCTCTAGCATGACACAGTGGCTCAGTGGTTAGCATCCCTGCCTCACAGCGCCAGGGACCTGGGTTCGATTCCAGAATTGGGCAACTGCCTGTGTGGAGTTTGTACATTCTCCGCGTGTCCGTGTGGGATTCCTCCCAAAGTCCAGAGATATGCAGGTTAGGTGGCTTGGCAATGCTAAATTGTCTGTTGTGTTCAGGGATGTGTTGGTTAAGTAGGTTAGCCATGGGGAATGCAGGGTTACAGGGGTAAGTCTGGGTGTGTTGCTGTTCAGAGGATCAGTGTGGGCTCGATGTGCTGAATGGCCTGCTTCCACACTGCAGTGATTCTATGGTTTTGGAAAATCTAGGGGGTGATGGACTCTCCGGAATGTAGCACTGACAGCCAGATTTCTGGTGCCGAGGCTAATGTGGCAAGGGGTATGCCAGGTTCCAAGCAAACGATTGTGATCAGGGACTGTCTAGTCAGAGGCACAGGCAGACAGTTCTGCAGTTGACAGTGAGACATCATAATGCTGTGTTGCCTTCTTGAAGCCAGGATTAAAGGTATATTGGTGAGGGTGCAGAATATTCTCACAGGGGAGAGGGACTAGCAGAGGGTCATTGTACACATTGGAACTAACGACATAGGAAGAGAAAAAGATGAGATTCTGAGGGAAGACAGAAAGTTAGGCAGGAATTTAAAAGGTAGGTCCTCGAGGTAGTAATATTTTGATTACTCCCAGTGCCACGAGCTAGTGAGGGTAGGAATAGGGGGGGGATAGAGCAGATAAATGCATGAATGAGGAGCTGGTGCAGGGGAGAAGGATTCATATTTTTGGATCGTTGGTATTTCTTTTGGAGTAGAAGTGACCTGTATAAGGAGGACACATTGCCCCTGAATTGGAAGGGGACTAATATACTGGTGGGGAGATTTGCTAGAGCTGTTCAGGAGAATTTAAACTTTTTTTTTGGGGTGTTGAGGGGGGTGCGCAGCACGGGTGGAGTGGTATTGGTGGGACCCAATGCGATACTAAGGAAACATCAGTTGGGAAAAGGAGTAAGTCGAACAGATGGGGCAGACCGGAACAAAGTAGACAATGAAGTAGGTTTGATAAATTAAACTGCATTTATTTCAATGCAAGAGGCCTGACAGTAAAGCGGATGAACTCAGCATGGCTTAGAACATGGGACTGGGATATCACAGCAATTATAGAGATGTGGCTGAGGGGTGGACAGGTCTGGCATGCTTAATTCTCCAGGGTTTAGTTGCTATAGGAAGGATTGAACGGGGAGGCAATAGAGGAGGGGGAGTGGCATTTTTGATTAGGGATAAAATTACACCTGCATTTAGGGAGAATATTCCTGGGAATATGTCCAGGGAAGTTATTTGGATGAACTGAGAAACAAAAAAGGGATGATGGCCTTACTGGGATTGTACTTTAGACTCCCCAACAGTCAGCAGGAAATTGAGAAAGAAATTTGTTAGGAGATCTCAGTTATCTGTAAGAATACTAGTGTGGTTATGGTAAGGGATTTTAACTTTCCAAACATAGACTCAGACTGCCATAGTGTTAAGGGCTTGGATGAAGAGGAATTTAAGTGTGTACAAGAAAATTTTCTGATTCAGTATGCGGATTTACCTACTGGAGAAAGTGCAAAACCTGACCTACTGTTGGTAAATAAGGCAGGACAGTGATTGAGGTGTCAGTGGGGGAGCACTTTGGGACCAGTGACCATAATTCTATTAGTTTTAAAACAGTGATGGAAAAGGATAGATTGGATCTAAAAGTTAAAGTTCTAAATTGGAGGAAGGACAATTTTGATGGTATTAGACAAGAAATTTCAAAAGTTGATTGGGGGCAGATGTTCACAGGTAAAGGGTCGGCTGGAAAATGGGAAGCATTCAAAAATGAGATAACGAGTGTCCAGGGACAGTGTGTTTCTGTTAAGGTGAAGGGCAAGGCTGGTAGGTGTAGGGAATGCTCGATGACTTGGCTTTGGTCAAGAATAAGAAGGATTCATATGTCATGTATAGGCAGCAGAAATCAAGTGATTCCCTGGAATAGTATTAAGGCAGCAGGAGGGCAGAAAGGGGACATGAAATAGCTTTGGCAAATAGGGTTAAGGAGAATCCAAAGGGATTCTACAAATACATTAAGGACAAAAGGATAGCTAGCGAGAGAATAGGGCCACTTAAAGATCAGCAAGGCCACCTATGTATGAAACCACAGGAGATGAGTTGTGGCTGAGATAGTAAAATGATGAATTGCTAGGAGGAAGAGAAAGCCACAGAGGTATAGGATGAGAGCGCAAAGTGTGTTTTAGTCATGAGAGCAGCGTGACAGTTGTGACAATTAATGTGGCAGTTTGTGAAAAATACTGCCAGGCAGAATGAAGGGGAAAATCTACCCCAGATGTTTTCAGGAAAGCCTTAAACGATCAAGAAAAGGGGACCAAGAATGTACGTGAAGGGTACCAGAGGTGACCAAAGGGGCAAAGCTTTTGAAGACACTACCTGCATTTCTGCAATTATAATCAGATCCAGGAGAGAAAAGTGTCACAAAACAGAGAGTTGAAGAAGGGTGGAATCATCAAAGGTCATGGAAAGACTAAAGAAGGATGGGAATTGAATGAACTGTGTTATTTTTATAATTCTAATGTGTTTTTTATAATTTTTTTAATTTGTCAGACCTTGTGCAATGGTGATCCCAGACTTCGAGCTGATCTGCGAAATAATGTTGGTCGCAGAGGGATTTATAGATGCTAGGCAGCTTGCCAGAAAATTTATAAGTCTCTACGCACTTTGCCGTGAGCTACTGTCAAAGCAGGTAACGTAGATTTTAGAAAAGAAGCATGCTTTTCAAACAACATTTTGTTGTCATTGATTTGATTGCTATTTAAATACATATCATCTTATAGGACCATTATGACTGGGGCCTTAGAGCTATAAAATCTGTATTGGTGGTTGCAGGATCTCTGAAGAGAGGAGATCGAAACAGCCCTGAGGAACAGGTAAGTAGAAGTTGTAATTCTAGCTCGTTATAGTAGGTCAGTATTTACATCCATGTGAATTTGAGATGGAAATTCTAGTGTAATGGAGAAGGATTTGGCTCAATATTTTCTACATCACTGTGCTAAGGGAGTCTGGCTGTTTCTAGTCAGCGGTTGACCTATTCTTGCAGACAGCATGGGGCACGGCTCTGTGGTTGGCACTGCGGTCTCACAGCGCCAGGGACCTGGGTTTCCACCCTCAGGCGACTGTGTGGAGTTTGCATGTTCTCCCCGTGTCTGGTTGGGTTTCCTTTGAGTGCTCCAATTTCCTCCCACATGGATTGGCCATGCTGAATTGCCCGTGGTGTCCAGGGATAGGGCAGGGGGTGGATCTATGTGGGATGCTCTTCAGAGGATTGGTGTGGACTCAATGGGCTGAATGGCCTGCTTCCACACTATAGGGGTTCTATGTTAAAAGTACTATATTCGGTTGCACACTTGCTCACCGAGTCAGTGTGTTTGATTGCAGATGTTTCGTCACCCTGTTAGATAACATCATCAGTGTGCCTCTGGTGAAGCATTGGTGTTCTGTCCTGCTTGTTATTTATATGTCTTGGTTTGCTGGGGTGGTTGGTATTGTTTTTTGGTGGTTTGTATATCAGGTCCAGTTCAAAGTGTTTGTTGACAGAGTTCTGGTTGGAATGCCAGGCCTCCAGGAATTCCCTGGCGTGTCTCTGTTTGGCTTGTGTTATTAGGGATGTGTTGTCCCAGTTGAATTCATGTCCTCCTTTGTCCATGTTTATTGAGACAACTGGGAATTGGTAATGTCTCTTGGTGGCTAGTTGGTGTTCATGTATCCTTATTGTCAGTTTTCTTCCAGTTTGGCCTGTGTAATGTTTCTCACAGACCTTGCATGGTATTTTGTATATAACATTAGTTTTGTTGGTTGTGGGTATGGGGTCCTTTATGTTTGTCAGTGGTTGTTGGATTATGGGCTACCCTGATGCCTAGGAATCAGAGTAATCTTGTGATCATCTCTGATATGTCTCTGATGTACGTTAGGGTAACTAGTGTGTCTGGCCGTGTTGTGTCTTCTTGTTGTGGTCTGTTGTGGAGGTAATGGCGGATTGTGCTTTCTGGGTATCCATTGCTTTTGAAAACTCCATATAAGAGCACTTGTTCTGCTTTTGCGCAATTCTGGGTTGCTGTGGTGTGTTGTGATTTGTTTGAATAATTCCTGATGCAGCTCTGTTTATGGGTGTTGGTGTGGTTGCTGGTGTAATTAAGTATCTGGTCCATATGTGTTGCCTCTCTGTGTACCCTAATCTAGAGTTCCCCGTTGTTCTTACGTTCTACTGTTATGTCCAGGAAGGGTAGTCAGTTGTTGTTCTCTTCTACTTTTGTGAATTTTATTCCATTGAGGATGTTGTTTATATGTCGGTGGGTTTCTTCTGGTTTTGTGCGTTTGATAATCATGAAGGTGTCATCTACATAGCGGACCCAGAGTTTGGGTTAGATAGTGGGAAGCGCTGTCTGTCCTAATCTTTGCATTACTGCTTCTGCAATCAGTCCTGATATTGGGGATCCCGTTGGTGTTCTGTTGATTTGTTTAAATAAATGGCCATTGAAGGTGAAGTGGGTTATGAGGCACAGATCCAGTAGTTTCAGGGGGCTGTCCTTGTTGATGCTGTTGGTGACATGGGGTGCCTGCCTTCCTGATTCATCCAGCAGTATGACAATTGTCGCTTTGGCTAGGTTGATGTTTATGGATGTAAATAGTGTTGTTATGTCGAAGGATACCATTATCTTGTGCTCATCTGTTCTGGTGTCCTTGATGTTGAGGAATTATTGGTAGGAGTGGATGGAATGGGTAGTGTTGTCAAGTAAGTTTTTCAGTTTCTGTTGTGGTTCTTTTGGCTAGTCTATATGTTGGAGTGCCCGGTAATGAGACAATGGGTCTGAAGGGGACCCCTGGTTTGTGTACCTTAGGGAGTCCATAGAAGCAGGATGTGTTGGATCCCTCTGGCTTCGTTTTTAGGTAGTCTGTCTTGCTGATGTCCCCTGAGCTGTGCAATTTCTTCAGGGTTGTTGTGATCCAGTTCATGAACTGTGGTGTTGGGTATGTTGCCACTTGTTGATAGGTGTTGGTATCTGCTAGTGCGTTGGCTTTCTTGATATTATTGAGCTCTATTAAGGATTATTGTCACGCGTCCTTTATCTGCCAATGGGATTACGATGTTTCTGTCTTTCTTGAGTCTTTCCAGGGCTTTCTTCTCTTCCGTGTTGAATGTGTTTGACTTACCTTTTCTGCTCAGTATTGGTACTGTCATCTGTCTAATGGTCTGTTGTATTCCCTCTGTGAGTTCATTGCTGTTCAGTGTCGATTCCAGTGCAGCCAGGAAGTCAGCTTTTTTTGGCATTTCTGTAGTTATAATTCAGTCCGGGTACTAGGACAGTCTTTTCAGTGTCTGTAAGTGGTCAGTCTGCGATGTTCTTGATCCATGTTTCTGTATTGTCCGTGTCGCCGTTGTGAGTGAGTTTGGATAGTTTGTCTTGTAAGGCTATTGTTTTCTTTGTTCTGGTCCTCTGTTGTTGAATGGTGATGGCTTGTTCCAATGTGGTTGTCCATTCTTGGTCAGTTGTGTTGGAATACAAAGTTTTTTGGCGTGCCATTGCCCGCTTGTATTTGTGGAGATGGTTGTGGGCATCGTTGATCATAACCCTTATCATTCTGTGGCTGTTCTGTGCAGCTGTTCTCCGTGCCTGTGGATTGTTGATAGGTGGTTTATATTTTAAACTTTGTGATAGTACCTGCTTTTTGAGGTGTACGTGCAGGAAGTATAGTTGTTCGCGAGTTGCCAACAAGCCACCAAGAGACACGACCAATTCTCACTTGTCTCAATACACACGGACGAAGAAGGACGTGAATTCAACTGGGACAAAACATTCATAATAGCACAAGCCAAACAGAGACATGCCAGGGAATTCCTGGAGGCCTGGCATTCCAATGGAACTCCATCAACAAACACATTGAACTGGACTTGATATACAAATCACTGAAAAACAAAACTGGATGTAATACCAACCACCCCAGCAAACCGAGGCATATAAATAACAAGCCAGACAGAACACCAACGCTTCACCGGAGGCACACTGACGATGTTACTAGCAGGGTGATGAAACGTCTACAATCAAACACATACCAGCTCGGCCAGCAAGCCTGCAACCTCATCAACAACATGAGCTACAAATCTTCTCAAAAATGTTAGGTGCTATATTCATTTATTTAAAATGTCAGATTGTAAGATTAATAATTTCTGATTGCATTAAGATCATAGCTAAAATAAAATCAGACTTTAAAACAACTGACTTCAGGTATGTCCTTTCTGTTTTCAAAGTAGAGAAATTTGACATTCCACAAATGTAAATGTAGCTTTTCAGGGCAGATGAGAGTGTTTAATAGTAATTATGAATTTACTACACTGTTCAAAATCTGATTGTTTAGTGAAATGTAAAGTGTAACTTTGAAAGACTATTGCAATGAAATGTACAGTGTAAGAATGGAAGTATTTGACAGGCCATAGATCTCCCCCTCATTTAAATCAACTGTGTGGAGGTTTGGTAGGGGGGTGGTCTTTATAGCACTTCTGACCACTTTGCTTTTTTTTTGCAATGTAAAATAGAGCATTGAGCTGTTCACACTTCTTAAAGCAATACTTGCAGTTGAACAATTAAAAAATGGCTTTCTCCTTCAGACTACTGTTGAATAAACACTTATGCTTTCAATTTTTCATATTTCTATTTCCCTAATTTTCTTAAGTGTCCTTTTTACAAATAACGTTTCTTGCAGTTTTACCTGTTTTTTAAAAGAAACAATTATGATAATATTTGTTCGTTTAATGAACGTTTCAAGTCTTCTAACTTCTCAGCGTTTTCCTTTCTGCAACCAAAACATTTTAACTAACTTTGGTTGTCTGCAATCGAGCACTATATCACCTTCTTCCCCTTGCAGCTTTGGTGAGACCGCTTGATCTTCTTCAGTTTTTTGATAACTTTTCGCTGATTCCACCTGGTTTGAAATTTTACAGACAGGTTTAGTGCTGCTATTGCTTCTGCAGCCTTTTTACTATTAGCCGTCACTTTTGCAGAAGTGGACATGCTCTTAAGCTGCTGAAAATATAAAGATGTTTTTCTCACTGGAATTGTTTCCTTCTTTCTTCTCTGAAGACTAGGGTCTTTGTAGATATGAAGATTTATTCAGCCTACAGCCTAGCACTATTGCTAGTGTATTTTATGTGAAAGTGATGCCAACTGCTACTACTACCTTATATAGTATAGTGAGTTGAATCTTCAGCCACCCACCATCTTCAAAATGTTGGTTTCTGCCAGAATCATCCATGATGTCTTACGCAGATTCAATGCCACCTATCGTTCTGGCTGTCATTTGTCCAGGCCACTGATACCATGGGGGTAATGTCTGAGGGAGAAGATCACGCATTGTTTGTTTCAATCTTAATATCTCTATATTCGATATGATTCGCTTAAGCTTATTCATTTAGATGTGCCTATTTATCAATAAAAAGTTCTTTCTCCTGAAATTCATCTTTCTATTACCATCAACATAATTGGAGGGAAAATTCAGGGTTTGCACAAGTACGCACTAAACTGATGCCGCTGATCTTACTGATCTGTCTTTTTCCAAAATAAATAAAGTCAGTAGTCTTACAAACACTACGACCAGGCTGTCACCCCATTGGTCTGTTTATCTAACAAAACGGAATAGAATTCAACACAGTCATCAATTTTAAACTTAAAGACAGTGACTTAGTCTACGGCAGATTGAGTTTAACTAACCATATGCACTATAATTGTTTAATTATGCAATAATTTATCATGTTTGTTAACTTAATATTGTTTGTTATAATGTTATTGTTCTGTCATCGTTTAATAGCATTGTTGCTGTTTTCCAGGTCTTAATGCATGCTCTTAGAAATTTTAATCTACCAAAAATTGTCAGCAATGATGTTCCTATTTTTCTGGGTCTGATTGGTGATCTTTTCCCATCGTTGGAGGTACCACAAAAGAAAGATTTTGATTTGGAACAGATGGTGCGCCAGTCTATTTCAGAACTGCACCTGCAGCCAGAAGACAACTTCATATTAAAGGTGGAAATAATATTTTTATGCTTAGTTTATCATAAATCTAAATGAGCTGATTAAAGGTTGTAATGTTCACTGTTGTAAAATGTGTATCAAGACCCGCATTTCTAACATCTGTCTAATGTTTTTACTATGCCAAACCATGAGCATAAGCTAACAATTATTGTACCTACAAAGAATCTACTATATCTGTTGTGTACATTATCCCCAGGTAACAGGGTAAACTCCTTTCGTATTATCATTGTCTTAACTAAATGTGTTCCCATTAATATTGGTTGATGAATTAGATGTAAAAGGTACGTAAAGTTTCTGTAACTTTTATAATAAAACATTAAAATAGTAAAAGCATGCACATAATCTTAAAGAGTTTGTAGATGTTCTTAACCTATTCAGGCATGCTATGAAGCAGTTCTGGAGCAGGTGAGTTTTGAACCAAGGGCTTTTGGCCCAGAGATAGGGGCACTGTCAACGTACCACAAAAACCCCCTTTTTAAAACTGTTTCTGTTTCTACAGATGCCAGAGGAAGTGGTGGAGATGGATACAATGACAACATTTAAAAGGCATCTTGATGGGTACATGAGTAGGAAGGGTTTAGAGGGATGTGGGCCAAATGCTGACAAATGGGGCTAGATCAGTTTAGGATGTCTGGTTGACGCGGATGAGTTGGACCTAAGAGTTTGTTTCCATGCTTTATAACTCTATGCTGAGTTTCTCCTGCATGTTTTTACATAGGTATTTTAAGTGACCTGATCAGATATGTTATACTGCATGGCAGATGAGAATTGAACCCAGACCCTCTGGCTCAGCGGTTAGGACACTACCACTTTGCCACAATATGCTCTGTTCTGTAATTATCTAATAAACCTGTTCAGGCATGTTTTGATACATCAGACACAGGTGGGACTTGAACCACAGTCTTCTGGCCCAGACACAGGGAACCTACTGTGCCACAAGCATAGCTATTTCTTAACAGCCTCATCTTTGAATCTGTCTCTCACCATGTTATCCAGCTCTGTGTGTTTCTGATCACTATTTGCAGTACTCCCAAATCTTGCAACCGGTTTATTGTGTCTCTCTGGGTTTCTTCGCAGTTCATTCTCTCTATTTCTTTTCCCTCAAATGCTCTCTATTAATTATGTATTAATTGTACATAATTACATACAAGTGGATATTAACTGGGGACTCTGTTATGCTCCATTAAATATGAACAGACTAAAATTGTGGTGTTTGTGATGTGACAATGCTGTCACTTCAAAACGGTTATTTTGTCCTTGTTTTTTTTGAAGTGAGGTTGTAAAGGCAGAAGTGTCAAAGAGTCTAGGGAGTAATAGTTTAACATTGGAAGGGGAGTGCCCAGCTCTCTCAGTTCAGGTTTTTGTTAGTTTTTTTTGGGCTGCAGCAGTCACAAGATGTTTTGAGTACCAGAAGTGTTGCAAGCTTCAGTAAAAGGATTCTTATGACTTTCTGTGAAATCTCTCTCTGGATGTTGTTCCCACCTGCCTGGAAGAATCGTCTTTGAATTTATCTTTTTGCCAAGGGGTGTGCTTATGAGATGTTACTGTATTGGAACAGTTAATTAATTAAGTTGCTATATCAGCTTGGTTAGATTTTCCAATAGTTAAGTTGCTCTAAATTCTGCTTTCTTTTGTTCGTGCTTCAACTGTGGTGTTAAATAAATTTTGTTTTGCCTAAGGCCGAGTTGTTTGACCAGTTGCATCACGCCTGGAACACCCACTTCACATCTACCTTTAAAATAAGAAAATGTTAGGGTCTAGGCTACCTTTTTAAAATGTTTTGAGGGGGTCTGGTCTGGTCCATAACAGAGATCAATTTCCTACTTGTAACGTCTTTCTCTGTAAAAGAATGATTAAACAAAGACTTCAATTCTATCCTTCTTTACCTAACTTTGTGGAATATGACATAGTAGCAGAGGATGGCTGCCCAAGGTTGAAGCTTGAAACTAAAAATTATTTCAGACAGAAAATTAGAAAATTACAGAAGGCAAATGTAAGTTGTAAGGGCATAGTCAATTCTTGGAGTCTGAATCGCAAGACCAGTGGAAGAGTGAACTGGATATATGGACATGTGTTATGCCCCTTCCAAAGAGAGAAAGCAAGATACAATCTTAGTGTTGTCACTTCCAATAAGAAATCAATGTTAATTTTTTGTCAGATGGAAATGGATGATAGTTTAGGGCTTCCATTAGAATTGTTGTTGGATTTGACAAAAGAGGCAGTCTACAAAATGTCTCCCAGGCATGATCAGAATATGATACATTTCAGAAAATTAATGGCTATACCATCGAGAAGTATGAACTTGAACAGACTGTGTATAAAAGATTGATGAATTTCAGTTTGACGATCCCAAAATTGGCACTGACATTTAAATTACTGTGTTGTGCTGAGGTGTCTCCTATAGACAAGCTTCTGATTCTAACTGGTGTTCAGTTCTTAGCGAAGAACACTCTCCTGGGTCAAGTGTCTGCAGCCTTAAAAAATACATCATGGGGAAACCATCATTTCCTTCATCATTCATGGAATAAATTACATTTTTGTAGTAATAAAAACAATATAAAACTCAAAGATTGCCTGATTTCAAAATGGTCCAGGTACTAAATGCACATCAACACAATGGAAGGGTTAAAGCCAGGATGAACTCCAAAGAAAGAGTCCCATCAGACGGGAAACATTGACCCTGTTGCATACAGACCTGCTGAGTTTCTCTAGCACTTCTGGTTTTTATTTCAAAGCTCCAGCATCTGCAGTACTTGATTTTATTAGGTAAGGATGAAAGCAAACCTGTTTATCAGAGCAGAAGGGAAAATTAGAGCATAAATAATGGGAACATGAACCTCAGGTATGTTGACTGAACAGTTAGTTAGTGCTTCAGGTATGCTTCAAGGTATTGAAGGATGTTGCAACATAACTGTTGTAAGTTTTGCCTCGGTATATGGTTTAAAGAAGGCAGCTGCCATAGCTCTAGAAGCATGGGACAAAAATAGAAATACTTTCGTCTTTTTTTTAGAGCTATCTACCAAATTTAGTATTTGTACAATAATACTTTACAAGGATACGAGGATTATTATGGACAAAAATATGAAGAAATGGATAGGAGCTGGACTTGAGCTTGACTTAAATTGAATTTGCCCATCATGAGTTCAGAGCTGTGTAAAAATATGAACATCATGGTTGCGAATACAGCAGCTGAGTTTATTCTGCATACCTGGGATTCATTTTCCCACTATTCTGTTCTGATTTTGTTTTCTGCTAATATTCAGATCTGCTTGCATCCTTATTCACCTTATCTTTAATCTCCCCAAAGTCTATGAAAAGCAACGTGGAGCAATGAAAAACTGCATAGATTTTTAGTGATCAAACTGCAAGTTGTCAACATGCAAAAGTTCACTCCAAATGGTAGGAGAATATGGAGTCAGTTGTATAGCATGGACATAGACCCTTTGGTCCAACTAGTCTATGCTGAGCATGTTCCCAAACTAAACTAGTCCCATTTGCCTGTGCTTGGCCCATATCCCTCTAAACCTTTCCTATTCAAGCAGGGTAGACCAAGGAGAGCCAATGGATGTTATCTACCTGGACTTTAAGAAGGCCTTTGATAAGGTGCCACACAGGAGGCTGCTGAGTAAGATAAGGGCCCATGGCGTTAGAGGCAAGGTGCTAGCATGGATAGAAGATTGGCTATCTGGCAGAAAGCAGAGAGTGGGGATAAAGGTGTCTTTCTCAGCTTGGCAGCCGGTGACAAGTGGTGTTCCACAAGGGTCAGTGCTGGGACCACAACTTTTCACTTTATACATTAATGATCTAGATGAAGGAACTGTGGGCATTCTGGCTAAGTTTGCAGACGATAAAAAGATAGGTACAGGTAGTACTGAGGAGGTGGCAAGGCTTCAGAAGGATTTGTACAGGTTAGGAGAGTGGACAAGGAAGTGGCAGATAGAGTACAATGTGGGAAAGCGTGAGGTCATGCACTTTGGTAAGAAGAATAAAAGCATGGACTATTTTCTAATTGGGGAGAAAATTCAGATGTCTGAAGTGCAAAGAGACTTGGGAGTTCTAGTCCAGGATTCTTTCAAGGTAAACTTGCAGGTTGAGTCAGTAGTCAGGAAGGCAAATGCAATGTTGGCATTTATTTTGAGAAGACTTGAATGTAGGGATGCAGGGATGTACTACTGAGGCTTCATAAGGCTCTGGTCAGGCCACATCTGGAGTATTGTGTGCAGTTTTGGGCCCTATAACTCAGGAGGATGTACTGGCTCTGGAGCGGGTTCAGAGGAGGTTCACAAGAATGGTCCCAGGAATGGAAAGCTTAACATATGAGGAACGTTTGAGGACTCTGGGACTATACTCAATGGAGTTTAGAAGGATGAGGGGGGATCGGATTGAAACTTTCAGAATACTGAATGGCCCGGACAAAATGGATGTTGGGAAGATGCTTCCATTGGTAGGAGAGTCTAGGACCCGAGGGCACAGCCTTAGAGTAAAGGGAAGACCTTTTAGAACAGAGATAAGGAGAAACTTCTTCAGCCAGAGAGTGGTGAATCTATGGAATTCACTGCCACAGAAGGCTGTGGAGGCCAGGTCATTGAGTACATTTAAGACTGAGATAGATAGGTTCTTTATTATCAAGGGGATCAAGGGTTATGGGGAGAAAGCAGGAGAATGGGGTTGAGGAACTTATCAGCCATGATTGGATGGCGGAGCAGAATCAATGGGCCGAATGGCCTAATTTCTGCTCCTATGTCTTATGGTCTTATGGGCTTATTCATATACTTATCCAAATGTTTTTTAAATGTTGTAACTATACTTGAATTCACCACTTTTCTGGCAGTTCGTTGTACATAGAAAATCACTGTGTTTTAAAAAAAAAGTTGCCCCTCATGTCCCTTTTAAAATGTTCTCCTTTCACCTTAAAAATATGCCACTGCTTTTGAACTCCCCCACCCTAGGGAAAAGACCCTTGTTATTCGCCTTATCAATGTCCTTGGTGATTTTGTAAACCTCAATAAGGTCATCCCATAATCTCCTAATCTCTGATGGAAAAATGTCCGGGTCTATCCTTATAACTCAAGCCCTCTATTCCCAGTAATATCCTGGTAAATCTTTTCACAACCCTCTCCTCTGTAATAATATCCTTCCTATAGCACGTCGATCAGAACTGCACACAATACTCCAGAAGAGGCCTCACCAATGTCCTGAACAACCTCAACATGATATTCCAACTCCTATACTCAAAAACTGAAAGAACTGCGGATGCTGTAAATCGGGAACAAAAGCAAATTTGCTGGAAAAGCTCAGCAGGTCTGGCAGCATCTTTGAAGGAAACAACAGAGTTAAAGTTTTGGGTCCAGTCCTGAAACGTTAACTCTGTTTATCAATTAGCAAAATCCCAAATTGCATTCTGTCTTGTGTGACAGTATTCCTGCATTGAAATGTACAAGAATTGGTTTAATTTTTTCTGTATAATTGAATGTTTTACATGTTGGAAGATAGGAATTAATCATGGCCAAAGTCTCAGAAAAAATATGTAGAATGCTGAGCCATCAAGATGAGCTGAGGTGTGATTTAGTACAGGAGTGATAAGGTAAGAGGTTATGATGGTAAAATTGTATTTACAAAACATGGCAATTGAACTATTAAGGTACGTTCTTTATTATTTGGAATCAATTGCAACATTTCAGACTTTGAGCAGCAAAAAGGAATAAATGAGGCATTTTATACATCAAATGTTTTGTGTTTTGTGGTGAGGGCTTTGAGAAACAGGATGCAGTTGATCAAGGGCTAAAAGTAATGTGAGTGACCCTGGCACACATGAGAGGGGTATCACCTATGGAGGTCCATTTCCAGAATGCGTGTACAGCAGAGATATTTTCCAAAGGGATGTAATGAATTGAGGGACGTAACAATTGTGGAATGTGAAGGAAAAGCTACCGGTAAGTTTGAATAATGGTTGAATGTGCAAGAGATGGACAAGAAATATGATTAATGCACTGGCAAAATATGTTGAAAGCATTAAAAGTTAGAAAAAATAGTGCGAGAGGATAGTCTAGAAGTGACTTTTCAGAAAATGATGTATTTGAGGAAAGAACCTTTGATAATGCAAGAGGGAGGTCTTGCCACTTAGTCTTGACAGATAGGAAAGTTGAATTAGAGTCTGATGGGTGTATAGATTAGACAATAAAATAAAGGCAACAGAACAGTCCTGTAACAAACAGTGATAGCCTTGCCCCGGAAAAGTTATTGCAGATGGCTACAAGGGCTAAAAGCTCCAACAATACTTGGAAAGCCTGACACAATCCAAGATAAATCAGTTTGTTCGGCACCCACCACCCACTTTAAAATTTTCGCTACTACTAGCATACGGTGGTAGGTGTGTACCATCTACACGATTCGCTGTAGGACCTCACCAAGGTCCCTTCAACAATACTTCCCATACCTGCAACTTATCAGACCTAGAGAAACAAGAACAGCAGATAAATGAGAGCACTGTGACCTGAAAGTTCCCCTGAAAATTATGCATATCCTCACATAGAGTTATATCAGAATCCCCACATGGGCAAATAGTAGAGTGACCCAAAGCCGAACTTGCCAGCATTGTGCACATCTCATGAATGAATATAAAATAAATTTCAGATGAGAATGGAACAGGCTGCCCTTTAGCTCGCAAACCAGAGAAAATGGCTATCTCTTGTTGAGGGAGTGGGTATGGTATTGTGTTGGTCAAGTAGTTTAGGTGAGATTCAGTACAGTTGGCAAATTAGATGTATATTCATTGAATAATAAGTAAATAATCGTATGTTGGGAGAAGATGAGCGTTCAATGAAATATGTGAACGAGAAAAGATTAAAGAAGATTGACCATCCCAGCTTGAAACAAATGCTGCATAGAAGGTAAAAATAGGAGCAGAAATACATCATTCTGTGCTGCAATCCTTCTGTGCCATTCAATAAGATCATGGCTGAGCTGTTCATGATTTGAATTGCAAATTTCATCTACCCCGACAACTTTTGATTCCCTTGTCTGTCAAAAATTTATCTGCTTTTGTCTTAAAAATATTTAATGACCCTGCCTCCACTGCCTTCTGAGGGAGAGGCATCCAAATTTACACAACCCTAAGAAAGTAAAGATTTCTTCTCATCTCTGCCCTAAAAGAGCAACCCCTAATCTTAAAGCAGTATTTCTTACTTCAGAACTGACACACAAGATGAAACATCCTTTCCACTCCCATCTTTTCCAGAAAATTCTGGATCTTGTATACACCAATCAAGTCAACCTTTATTCTTCCAGACTGCAATGGAAACAAGACTACCCTGTCCAATCTTTCCTCGTAGGTGAGCTCACTCATCCCATGTATCAATCTAGTAAAAGGAAAAAAAAACTAAACAACTGTGAATGCTGCAAGTTAGAATCAAAAATAGACATTGTTGGAAAAGTTTAGCAGGTCTGGCAGCATCTGTGGAGAGAAAGCAGAGTTAACGTTTCATGTCCAGTGACCCTTCTTCAGAACTCACTTGGAGTTATTAAGAAGGATCATTGGATCTGAAATATTAACTTTGCCTTCTCTCCACAGATGCTGCCAGACTTGCTGAGCTTTTCCAGCAATTTCTATTTTTTTTATCAATCTAGTAAACCACATCTGAACATCCTCTGATGCATTTCACCCTTCCTTATATAAAGAGACCAGAACTGCACATATTTGAGATTTGGTCACACTAATGTCCAGCATAACTGAATAACTAAATTCTTCTCTTACGCTAAATTCCTGTCATAATAAAGGATAGCATCACATTAACCTTCTTGATCGCTCGACTGTTTGCCCATGTGGGGATTCTGATATAATTCCATGTGAGGATCATATATAATTTTCAGGGGAACTTTCAGGTCACAGTGCTCTCATTTATCTGCTGTTCTTGTTTCTCTAGGTCTGATAAGTTGCAGGCATGGGAAGTATTGTTGAAGGGACCTTGGTGAGGTCCTACAGCGAATCGTGTAGATGGTACACACCTACCACCGTATGCTAGTAGTAGTGAAAATTTTAAAGTGGGTGGTGGTTGCCAAACAAACTGATTTATCTTGGATTGTGTCAGGCTTTCCAAGTATTGTTGGAGCTTTTAGCCCTTGTAGCCATCTGCAGTGACTTTTCCGGGGCAAGGCTATCACTGTTTGTTACAGGACTGTTCTGTTGCCTTTATTTTAATGTCTAATCTATATACCCAACAGTCTCTGATTCCACTTTCCTATCTGTCAAGACTAAGTGGCAAGACCTCCCTCTTGCATTATCAAAGGTTCTTTCTTCAAGTACATCATAATTTTCTGAAAAGTACAGTTTCTGTCAAAGTTGCAGCAATGAAGTCGGAAATTCCCTGGCAAAATTCAGCTGCTTGCCATGGCCCACACTTGTGATCAGATGTCTCGTCATGCTCCAGTTAATAGGTTTGCTTTGATAAGTGAAGCTTTGTACTGCAATTGCTGCTTAGTTGCCAACCTTTCATAATTGTTGTTTATATTTTTGTTAGGCTACACAACTCGAGGAGTTGTTGGCAGTGCGACATTCAGTTTTTGTTATTGGTGTTGCTGGAACTGGCAAAAGCCAGGTAAGTGAAGGCACTCTAGTTACATCACAGGCTAAACCTGGAGGAACATGGACTGAATAGAGCTTGATCCGTATTACGTTAATCTCCCTTTTGCATGATGATTTTTAAATGACAAATTAAAAACACATGATTCAATGATAATCTGTCATAATCACCTACTACTAATGAATTTAGAGCAGATGTTCATACTCGATTTGGCAACGGTGAACACTTCATTTAAAGAAGAAATGTCAATCTGATACCAAACAGTTCCTACAGGAAAATAGGGGAAATTGATGGACAAGTAAAAACAGGCTTTTCTCATGTAGCTTCCATTGATCGGACTAATACTTAAAAATTCCAAGGGAGAATCTGGGAAAGTTACAGAGTACACCTAAATAAAAAGGGAAATTTTTAAACAGTTTTTTGTTCATTGAACAGAATTATAGTTTTTATCAGTGGTTCTATCCTTAATTATGTAAAAACTCATAACTGTTTAACTCAATGATCTCCTTTAATATATTTCTTTTAACAGTTCAGTTACCATAAATTATACTCGTAATAACTGAATATTGTTATTAAAACTAAGAAAAATGGTCAAAACACACATATATTGCATCAACCATTATCTACTCGTTCAATTATAATTATTAGTTGCTCTCATTTTATTTCATAAATCTATTACTTTAAGAAACAATCTCGTAATTAACAGCCTTCAGGCTTGTGCATTTCAGTGTTCTGATTGCATTGTTTCTTTTGCATTATTTACTCCTGTAAAGAGTCAGGATAGCATGAGGGTTAGAACAGCCATTGCAATGTATAGAATTGGATTACTTAAGTACTCTCTGTTCTATTCTGTCTAAATGTAAGTATTTTTCTCAAGTTTGGTGAACAAATATGTTTTGTCAATTATTTATTTTCCCTATTGTTGACTGATAAATTTCAGCAAGTTTCTGATGGGGAAATTATGCTGTCATCTTAGTTTCCACAGAAGAATGAGTTTTGTTTGCATTGAACAATTTGTTTCTCTTAAATCCCACTGATGATTTCCTACCTGAGCAGGAAATGGCAGAGACTCATGTCAGTTTATGGAATGGGGTAGATCCTGGAGTCCACCTCACTGGAACAGGATCTTGGAAGACTAATGGATGTAGAATCTGAAGCATGGTAGAAATCAGGACCCTTTGTGCCCAAGGAGCTTGAATAAAATTACCTATGTGCAAGGAATGCTTAAAGACTGTAAGTAAAAGGGGACAATCTGTCTCAGCTAGATTTAAAACCAGATGAAGAAGCAGTCTCCAAAGCCAATGCACTTTCCCGAGATTGTAAAGAATCGATGAAAGGCATAAATCAGTGACTAAGTATTTATAGGAGTGTATTCTGTGACTACAAGCCTATAAAAATATGATATAACCTTTCCGATGCCTACAGATATTAAGAACTCTTCACAGGACTTATGCCAACATGAAGTTAAAGCCAGTGTGGTGTGATATAAACCCCAAGGCAGTGACCACAGATGAACTATTTGGATTTTTGCATCCTGCTACACGTGAATGGAAAGATGGTAAGTAGAATGAGGTTGTCAAGTTCAGCTTTTGGGTTATCATAAACAATGGTGATTTTGTTTTCCCAAATTGTTGTTGGATACATGTAACTTTCCAGTGAGAGTCGCTACCTAATTATTCAGTGGGGAACAGCATTTCAACTCGGATCATGTGTTGCTGCCATAATGGACAGACACTACAGGGAACTGCTACAGCAAGGGAGATGGAAGGCCAAGAAAACAGTCTAAACTGAGGTCACTGAACCAAGGGTGTTGCAAAACCAGAATTGAAGAAATCAAGGGGCAGATGCAAAACCTAGCAGGTCCTGGTCTAACAGAAGATGAAAGTTAACAGACAGCCAGACAAAAGCAAGAAATCTTCATGAAGGCTGTGATAAAGGCAGGGAGAATTAAGTTGAGCTCTGAGGAACAGGTATAATCCAGGGGTAAAGCTGCGAAAATATCACTATTGGGAACACACACAGTTGGAATTATTCAGTAGAAAATGTTAAAGAAGCAGGATTCATCTCTAAAAGTCAATTAATAAAACAGAAATTAAAACAGACGTTGTTTATTAAAGCCACAGGCAGTGGGATTCGTTTAGTAAAGCTGTTAAGGAAACAGGAATCAAATGAAGGTGCAAATGGCAGGCATTCTTCATTATAGCCATAAAATGGTGGGAATCCTCCATTTTAGCTGCAAAATGCAAGAAAAGGCTCCTGTATAGTATCACAGAGCAACAGCTCTGCTAATAGTGCAAAATAAAAGCCTTTAAAGTTGGAAAATAATGAATTACATTCAGAGGACATTATATTAAACCATTATTGCAAGAGAGATTTAATTTGAGTTGGGAAAAATAGTTTACAGAATTGGACATGGAGTCATGCAATATGGAAACAGACCCTATGGGCCAACTAATCCATGCCAACCAAGTTACCTAAACTGAACTAGTCCCATTTACCTGCATTTGCTGCATATTCCTCTAAACATTCCTATCCATATACCTGTCCAAATGTCATTTAAATGTGGTAAATGTACTCGCCTCTACCATTTCCTCTGTCAGCTCATTCCAAACATGCACCACCTTCTGTGTGGAAAGGTTGCCCGTCAGGTCCATTTTAAATCTTACCCCTCTCAACTCAAACCTATGCCCTTTAGTTTTGAATTCTCCCACCCTGGGGAAAAGACCTTGGCTATTCACCTTATCTATGCCCCTCATCATTTTATAAACCGCTATAAAGTCGCCTCTCAGTCTCCAATGCTCCAGGGGAGAAAGTCCCAGCCTATCCAGCCTCTCCTTAACACTTGAACCTTCCAGTCTCAGTAACATCCTTTTCAATCTTTTTTGTACCCTTTCCAGTTTGATAACATGTAGGGTGACCAGAATTGTATGCAGTCCTCCAAACGTGGCTCTACCAATATCTTTGCTGCAACACGACATCCAATCCCTGTACTCAATGATTTGACTAATGAAGGCAAGCATGCCAAATGCCGCCTTCACTACTCTGTCTACCTGTGATGCCACTTTCAAGGAACAATGTATCTGCACCCCTAGGTTTTTCTGTTCGACAGTATTCCTCAGGACCCTAACCATTAACTGTGTGAGTCCTGCCCTGGTTTGTATAACAAAATGCAATACCTCGTATTTTTCTAAATTAAACTCCATCAGCCATTCTTTGCCCACTGGCCCAGTTGATCAATATCATGTTGTACTCTTAGATAACCACATTCACTGACCACTTAATCACAATTTTGGTGTCATCCGCAAACTTACTAACCGTGCCTCCTATATTCTCATCCAAATTATTTATATAACTGAGGAACAACAACCGATCCTTGTGGCACATTGCTGGTCACAGTCTGAACAACAACCCTCGACCACCTTTGTTCCCTACCATCAAGCCAAATTTGTATCTAATCTTCGAGAAAGATTCTAAATAGAGAACAGATTCCAAACTAGATACTAAATCAGAAGCTGAACAAGTGAATACTCTTTGAAATACAATTGGGAGTTGATGTTATAGTTTAGCAAGGGCTAAAAGATTCATGGAATCCCTATAGTATGAAAGCAGGCCATTCAAACTGAGTCTACACCAGCCCTCTAAAGTGCACCCAACCCAGATACACCCCTGCACCCTATCCAAGTAACCTTGCATATTCCAAGGCTAATGACCTAGCCTGCAGATCGTTGAACACTATGGCAATTTATAAATGGCCAATTCACCTGCACGTCTTTGGACTATGGGAGAAAACTAGAATACTTGGAGGAAACCCATGCAGACATGGCAAGAATGTGCAAACTCCACACAGACTATAGAATTGAACCGAGGTACTTGACGCTGTGAGGCAACAGTGCTAACTACTAAGCCACCATGCCGCCCAGGAGCACCAGATTTTTTTATTTGAAGTGCTGAAAGGTTTTCACAATAATTGTCATCTTAGAACAAATAGTATGTTTGAAAGATCAGAATATAATATTTGAATTTGAATGATTTATCGTCACTTGCATTTTATGGTGAATAATACGGTAAAATACAGTGAAAAGCCACAATCGGCACCGTTTTGAATAGTTTAAAGAATAAAAAGATAGCCTATCTTCATTCCACTGCCTCCACCGTAAGTCCTGAGCTGGCTCACCAGCGAGTAACAGCGGCATTTTAGCTCAAAGTCCTCATTGAAGAAATTATAGAGATAAAACATTCCTGACAGCAGAATTAACGGAAGAAAGGCATTTGTGAAGAGAGCAGAGATGACAGAATATTCCAGAAGACAGTCTGTCGAAACTTGGAGAGATTAAGTTATAATTTATTGCTTTTTATTAATTGGATTTATATTAGTGGGACTTGTCTTTATTTAAACAGCATTCCAGTAGAATTTAGACCAGTTAGGGGTAGTTAGTAGTCTAAGGGAATTGTCAGTTTGTTAGTAATTTTGTTAATTTGTTCATTGTTGGGTTAAATAAATAAATGGTTCCTTGTTACTTGTAAAGTGGAGATCAGGAATTTTCTTTTTTCTAAACTGCTCTTCCAATTGATAACGAGGGGAAAGATGAGCTTCTCTGGGTGTTTAGGGGGTAATTATTAGAGGGGAACCCCTACTCCTGTCATAACAGATCAGAGCTTGTGTTTTAGTTTAATTATCAGAGGGGTTTGGCCATTCCCCGTCGTAACACTCTCCTCTCACCTGAAAATATGTGTTCCCCAGTCTTGAAATCCCCCATCCTAGGGAAAAAAAACAACTACCATTAACTCCATCTATACCTCTCATTATTTTATGAACTTCTGTCAGGTCACCTCTCAACCTCCTATGCCGGAGTGGAAAAAGTCCCAGCCTATTGAGCCTTTCTTTACACTAAACCTTCCATACCCAGCAACATCCTGATAAATCACCTCTGAACCCTGAGATAGCAAGAACTGCAGATGCTGGAGTCAGAGACAACACTGTGTGGAGCTGGAGGAATACAGCAGGCCAGGCAGCACCAGAGGAGGGGTCCTGACCTGAAATGTTGACTTTCCTGCTGCTGTTCTGAACCCTCTCCTGTTTAGTAATGTCCTCCCTTTAACTGGGCGACCAGAACTGGACATAGTATTCCAGAAGCGACCTCACCAATGTCCTGTACAGCCTCAACTTGACTTCCCAACTCCTATACTCAAACGTCTAAGCAACGAAGGCAAGTATGCCAAATGACTTTTTAATGACCCTGTCAGTATGTGACACAAATGTCAAAGAATTATGTTATCTGTACTCCCAGGTCCTTCTATTCTACAACACTACCCAAGGTCTTACCATTAATGGTATATGCTCTACCCTTATTTGTTACACCAAATGCAATGCTTTGCATTTATCCAGATTGAACTCCATCTGCCATTTTTCCACCCACTGACCCATTTAATCACAATCCCTTTGTAATCCTAGAAAACCTTCTCACTGTCTACAATGCCACCAATTTTGGTGTCATCCGCAAACTTAATCACACCTCTTTTCTCATCCAAATCATTTATATAAATGACAGACAAAAGAGGACCCAGAACCAATTCCTGCAGACCATCGCTGGTGACAATCCTCCAGTTCAAAAAGCAACTCTCCACCACCACTCTGTCTCCTGCCATTAAGCCAATTATGTATCTAATTGGCAAGCTCACTCTGAATCCCACGGAACCTAACTTCACTAATTGGTCTACCATGTGGAACCTTGTTGAAGGCTTTACTAAAATCCAAATAAACAATGTCTGCTGCTGTTTGCAGTTTGAGCTCTCTTCACCAGTATCAATAGCAGTGGAAAATATTTCTGGCAATCTAGTATAGTTGCAGGTTTCCATCTTCATCTCAATATAAGACTTTTTTAAGGAAACGTATTCAATTTCAGTGCATTCTATGTTCTATTTAGAGTCCATAGAATTCTCTACCATTCCCCTTGGCTGCTTGTTCTATGACTGGCTGCTCTTTGCCTTGTTGCTTCTTGTCTTCAACTCCTTTGACCATTCGCTTGAGGGCAAAACAAATATTCACAATTAAAATTATTGATTGTGCCGGCTGCATAGGTTTTCAACTATTTGACACCCGTCATGTTAGAGAGTTGCTAGTTGCAGACCTTTAATCTCAAATATCTGTATGTCTATGTAGCTGCACTTTTGTTGGCTGTATTTCTTTCAACCGTGGAATTTAAGTTGAGGAAGATACAAGCAGCCTTGGAGTGGTACGTGTGAAGCAAAGATATTTGCAGCTCTTTTAGAGTCATAGAGTTTTTGTAGCCCAGAAAAAGGCCACTTGGCCATCGTGTCTGCACCATTCATCAAACATCCATCTGTTCTAATCCCATTTTACAGCACTTGCCCATAACCTTATGTGTTGCAACATTTTAAGTACTTATCTAAATAATTCTTAAGTGTACTGAGAGTTCCCAGCTCTACCACGCTTTTGAGTATTGATTTCCAAATACCACCTTCTAGGTGAAAACATTTTCCTCAAATCTCCTCTGAACCTCCTGCTCCGTATCGTAAAACTGCATCCCCTGATTATTG